TTTTATTAACTGTGGACTTCCTGTTCTGCTCAAAAGACTAAATGGGCCTACAAGTGCCATATAGCCACACAATACAAGGGAAAGTCTAAGTATAGAACCATTCACATTGTAGAAGGTCAGTGTGGCATGCAGTGTTTCCCTGAACCTTAACTTATCCTTAATAGTCTAATAGTACAAAACTCAACACCCTTAGCAGCTCTTGCAAAAAGTAGAAGTTCAAACACTCATCAAGGTCTGGAAAAGGTGCAGTTGGAGTCAATGGCAAAGAACTACTTTGGTTTCCAGCTAAGTGGGTGGCAAAGAGTGCTGCATGTATGCTTAAAAACAAGAGTAGTGAGTTGAATGAATCAGTTAAATGTAATATTGTTTCCAGTTGGCAGTTGATGCATTTCCACTTGAAACAGAATGTGCAAAGGTCATATATAGTATTATCCTTGGTCATGATAAAAGCTGCATGTCTCGTTGGGCTTCACTTCATTTGCTGATATTCATAAAGTAGATTATTGAGGCTATTGTTACACTTTGAAGATAATAACTGTTTAATAAAGGCCTCAAAATCAATGTCGTATCTCATAGGGTCAAGAAACCTGGAGAGTGAAATGCAAAATGCCACCTGTGTGAGTGCATGCCCTTAAAACCAAGCTGAGTTTCAATATATTCAAATCAAGTTTTCAGGCAAATTCGTATTCAAAACAAGTTTAGAGTGCCCACATTTAAAATTAAGATGCGAGTCATCTTAATTGTTTAAACATACGCTGTGCATGGAACAACTGTGTACTTTTACTCTGTCATGGAATTGAACCGCCAACTCAGTGGTTTCCAATAGATGCTTCCAGCACTACTCCGAAATCACCACTAATAGTATAAGTGCTTGTTTGCAGGGTGCATAGAAAGCCTTTGGGATCCAGCCTAAGTAGGAGACACTTAATGTATTCTACAGGCCATGTTACTACCAGCAGGATGTTAAAGAGGAACTCTTCCATTGTTTAGCGTAATGGCGCCAGTTTGGTACGGTCATGCTTAACTGCCAGAACATGTCGTTTACTGTATATGAGGGATATAAAAACTGATTTGATATTACTCTGGTTTAGGTTTATGTTTAGGTCTTGATGTTTGAATTTGATGCTCATTGGTTTGTGAGTCAAATCTAGTAGAGGGTTATTGATTTTACTCTGTTAGCACTTTTAAATGTTGTGTTGTTTTTAGTCAAAGCGTTGTTTTTTGCACATGTTCTTCATGCTTGCCATTTCTCTTATACCAGCATGTAGCACCACTGACAAGCAATAACATAAAGTGAACCATAAAAGGTGCCTTTTGCTTTTCCTGCCATCTTAATGACCTGTTTTGGAAACGATTCCAAAGCGGCTGGTTTTATCCGTAACCTTAGCTTTGCACAGGTGCTCTGCCACCACTGACCCATGAGAAAGGCCTGGCTTAGACTTTGCTCCAACCTCCTTATATAGCCATAGGGCACTCAGATACCGATCTGGGTTGACTGCCTTTTCTGAATGACAGTGATATGAACAAAACGTCCACAAATCATTGTGTTCATTGACGTTCATTTGGATAAACCATGGTGCTAAACAGAAAGTAAGAGTGGGACATTTCCTAAGGAGGAAGTTTAAATAAGTTCGAAGAAAAGCTAGTGCAACAGATAAAGACAAAGAAAAGAAAGAGATGATCTGAAAGTCTGATAGGAGTCATTAGACTGGAACTAGGCCTTTTTTACGCAGGTTATCAGGTGTTATCAGGAAACACACCTGCTTAGAAAAAAAGCATTCCTGTGTGCGTGAGTAAGTGTTTTTGCACATTTCAGGGACAAAAATGTCCTGACTTTGCAGAAAAAACAGAGAAAACAAGCTTAACTTTCAATGTCAAGACTAATAAAACTCCTTAATTTGCCAAGTGCTTTTTTACAGTTCCCTATGTTTCACTGTTTAAAACTAAAAGGGCAACAATCTCTTTGTTTCTGGAGTTATGGTTAAGATTAGTTTTACAGGTAAGCATATAGGTACTTACATATATATAATATATATGGGACATTTGTTCTAACATTGTAGAAAAACAAGTGTGTCTGTGTAGGTGTGCACACACACACTCTGTGCACAGGATCTAAGGATCCTACACCTTCCAGCTTCACACACACAGCAAAGTATACACATCCTTATTGACACAATGAGATGTCAACTAAGCCACAGCCCACTTGTCAAACTTTAGTTTTGGCAGATGCCCTCGATCTTAGTCATGAGATTAACAATGTTCTGTTAATCATCTAGCAGGAGAATTAAAATATTGCTTCATTTGAATGCATATGCTAACTGGAAACTGACTCCTTCTGACAAGATTGTGAGCAAATAAATGGCCTCTTTACCGAAGCCATTTAAAACACTGTAATACTGTTATCAGTCTTACTGGTTACATAAAGCTGCTACTGAAGCTTTAAGGTGTTGATACATTTTCATGATGTAAGTCTGATATCACAAAGCAAGCTAATGTATTGTATTTAAAGCAGTTGGCCTGTGTAAAGATGAACTTGGATGATCTTTTTTTGTCAGAAATGGCTTCAATTTTCTGTTGTACCCTGTAGCTCAGTCATTTGCAGAATATGGAGGATTGTTGTCACATGCAATAAGTGTCTAGTACCTTCCAGAAATTTACCCAGCATTTTTTCATGTTGCTGTGGGCCTCTTAGTAGCTTGTTATCATGTCAGTAACATGTCAGTGTCCCTGTGGTCTTCACAGTGGTCTACGATACAATGATACATCCAGTGGTTTGAATATACTTTTATACCATTCTCCTGAACTTTACAGTAAGATTCTGTAGATGTTTTGTCAGCTTCTTATGGACCATAGCTATACCAGAAAGATGCAAATATATAGCAAGTATTTTATTTTTAATTATTTTGTTATTTTCTTCTAATAATTAATAATTATCTATTTATTTTTTCTAATGAATTTTGTTGGAAATTATGGCACCTGGTATACTGTATGTATTTCGTTCAATATGTTAAACTAAATAAAATATCATATTTAAGTTTGCTCCCTGTGTTTGGAATGACATTTAAAAGCTAGACTATCTGGACCTTTATTGGTGTGTTCCTGACAGCTAGAGTTGGTTTAGCAAACAGTAGTCATGAGTTGAAAGACTGTTTTCTCTTCATCACAAGGCGAAGATAGGTACACATACATAATATTAAAAAGCATGTGTGATAATGATTTAGAGACAGTTTACAGCCAAGCATCTTATGTTGACATACTGTATTTACCCACACTCCCAGCAGGAAATTTTCATAAACACATGCTGCACATTAGTCCATTTTAATATTTGATGAACATTATGCATTATTATCCAAACATTTGAGTACAAACTAAAGACACTACAAAGTAAATTTAAAATGTGATGCTATATCTTTTTATTATCAGTCTGCTCAAAATTTACATACTCACATTTTATCAATTTGCTGTAAGTAGCAAGCTCTTAGTTAGTACAACCTTATTGCAGTTATAACCTAGTCTCTATCTGAAGTGTATGGTAGATTACCCAGTGCAATAATTTCCTAGAATTAAGAAAGAACAGAAAACCCTGTAAAGCACCTACTCTGTGAAAGCACCAGCCTGTGCGAGTAAAAGTGTATTTTGAGTCAGTTTCTGTTCTTTTACTAAGCACATGGAAACACATTGAAACTATTGTCTGCAATACAGATGCAGCAGACAGAGATTACATAAAAAATCATTTACTAGTCTTAGAATGTGAAATGTAGGATAAATCTTCTTTAACTGTAAATGATATGTTTCACTTTAAAGTAAATGATCAAGTACAAATGCTCAAATGTAGCACTTTTCTTTTTTCTCCTGCCGGAAACTAGATGACCAAATGGTGTGATAGCTGTGTTGCACAGAAATGTGTTTTGAGGTAAATGTCCCCTGAACCATTCTACATGTCTCAATTAGTATGCAGACAACGCCCCCTCTAGACGAATCCCAGGAACTGCATTATGCATGCTGCTTCAAAAAATAAAGGCGCCAAAGAAGAGTCTCTGGAGCAATGCCATGGAAGAACTGCTTTTGGTTCCCTAAAAAACTTTTCAATAGATGATTCTTTAAAGAACTCAGCTGAAAGCTTCATTAAGGAACCAAATGTAGCCATTCCCTGCCATTCTTTGCTCCAAAGAACTCTTTTTGGTTCCACTTGGCCTCTTTATTTTTAAGAGTGCTGTATCACTACTGTATATTATTATTGTTATTGCTGGTATTAAATTATTGTATTCAATGCAAATGTTATTAAAATCTTACATATAGAAATATATTGTCATGGCAATTACTACATTATCTTCAAGGCTAATGGTGTTACCTAATTCAAAATATACGTATTTAAAAGGTTAATAGTGGCCTAAACAGCTTCACATTGCACGCTATTTCAGTAATAGTCTGGAACTGAAATGTGGTGCTAAGTTGTTAAGAGTCAAATGGGATTCTTGCCCATCTATTGTACACCAAATACTCACTGTCTACCCACTGCCAACACTGCTAGCCTACTGCTTCTTTGAAACAATATGTTGCTCCAGTTAAACATTCTGTTCACTCAGGAATTCACTCCCCATTGCTCTCTTAACCACACCATCAAATTTACATCCTCCATCAATCCTAGATAAATCTCCACCTGTTTCAGTGGGACTCTGACTTCACCAGCTTTCTGTTTGAAGTCCACTCTTTTGCACCAGTTCACTTGCTCTGCTACCTTGTAAAGGACTTTTAGATAATCCAAACTCTCTGAAACCACTGAATGATTTGTCTTTTGCATTTGTTTTCTTTTGATCTTCCTCAGAGTCTGCAGAATACCCCAGTCCTATCGTACCTCAAAAAAGTTCAGAATCATTCATCTTGCCAGCAGAGGGCCTTATCCTCTGATTCTCCGGAACAGAAAGGAGGAGAGGAGGCGTTCCCCATGCTGAATCCTATTGAAAGGGCTCAGCCATCCATGGATGTGCAAAGAGAGCTGGGTTTTGGCAAACAGGACTGCAGAACCCACTGTTTGGCATGAAGGATCTCAAGCTTTGGCTGCATCGCATTTCAAACTCTGCGGGCTCAGTGTGAACTGTGCTGAAGAGGTCCACAACTATCATTATTTTGTGGAGATTACGTGAACTTGAAAGATGGAAAAGAGCACATTCAGATTGATTTACTTAGTGATGCTGGTTGTGCTTCTGGGTGTCTGTGCTTCAGGAGCAAAAACCAACAGGAAGACTGAAAAGTCTGAGTGGAACCAACAAGAGGATCAAATGCTTCTTCCTAAAAGAAAGACCCTTGGCCATGATGGAGATGGCAGCCTTGATCAAGATGATTTGCATGTGGACATGCAACAGGAGAAAATGCCTGTAGAACAAATTGAGGATGATGATGGAGGTTCTATGTACACACATTCTGAGGAGTATGAAGGAACTGTCTTAAGTGTAACACCTTACTCAGACCTGTCCAACTCAACCATGACTAATAGAGTAAATGATGCCACCACTGATGGCACAATTGCCAAGGACAATGTCACCGAATGGGGCATCACAAGGATCCACAACCCTCTGTTTCCAGTGACAGACAGCTCCTACAGTGCCTATGGCATTCTCTTCCTGGCCCTGGTGGTATTTGCTATAGGGATTGTGGGTAATTTAGCGGTTATGTGCATCGTGTGGAATAACTACTTCATGAGGAGCGCATGGAACTACATCCTGGCCAGCCTGGCTTTCTGGGACTTCCTGGTACTGTGCTTCTGTCTGCCTGTGGTGGTCTTTAACGAACTTACCAACAAACGGCTGCTGGGGGATTTCTCATGCAGGGTTGTGCCTTACATGGAGGTGGGTCCAACTTAGATATGATGTGTTCCAAAAAATAAATAAATAAATCATGCTGCTGACATCATAGCAATATAAATAAATAAAATATTGTTGCTGTCCAAAAAAAATCAAGTATCTCCAAAATGGTAACTTTACAGGAGAGAACAAAAATGTTTTTTAATTTTAATATAAGTTAATCTATAGAGATTTTATTTCAGACAATTTTGGGGCATTTTTATTGGCCCATTCATGATGAAATTTTCACACAATGTAAGGGAAAAATATAAATAGGAAAAAATTGAATTTTTTTTTGCATAGCGACAGTATCTAAGTGTACAGGTAAGTGTTCTATATAGTACCAAAATGAAAGGTTCTATAGAACCAATTAAAAGTGTTCTATAAAAAAACATACACAACAAGTTCTCCATCATGGAAAAGAACCACTTAACCACACAAATAACCATTAATGCATTCAAATTCAGTGCTTTGAGTTTTTGTGGTTCTACATACAGTTGAATGCAAAGGTTTGTGCGCCCCGGTCAAATGATTTGTTTTGTTGATTGGGGAAAAAAATAATATATAAAATGTGGCCTGTGCAAAAACCTTCTGCATACAACTGCACAACCTTTGCCATTGCTAAAGAACCCTTGAAGAACTATTTAATGCATCCAAAGTGTGCCTCTCTCATGACTGGAGAACAAATGCATTTAATGCATTGGAATGCATCAAAAACTTTGTCAGCACACTATTTATGGAAAATTCATGAAGGAATATAGAGGACCCAAATGATTACAGTATGGATTACTGGTGATGTGATATGTTACTTGAGGATTTGAATATGTAGCTACATTGTGAACAATTTGAAATTAAGCATAGGTTAATGCTATCGAAACATCTGGCACGTACTTTATTAAAAGACATGCAGGCGAAAGGCTGTTAACTGCTCTAAAATCTTTATATAACTCTGCAGGTGACATCATTGGGCGTTACTTCCTTCAGCCTTTGTGCTCTGGGTATTGACCGTTTCCATGCTGCCACCAGCTCCCTCCCAAAGGCCCGGCGAGTGGAGCGATGCCAGTCTGTGCTGGCTAAACTGGCTGTGGTGTGGATTGGCTCCATGGTTCTAGCGTCCCCTGAGCTGCTTTTGTGGCAGCTGCACCAGACCAAGTCCCCTTCTCTGGGTGTCCAGGTGGACAGCTGCATTATGAGTCCATACCCAAACCTCCCAGAGTCCATCTACTCCTTGATTATCAACTACCATGACGCTCGAATGTGGTGGTACTTTGGCTGCTATTTCTGCCTGCCTGTGGTCTTCACTTTGCTCTGCCAGATGGCCACCTGCCACGTCTCCAGCGGTAGTGGAAGTTCTCCCAAGCGTCCCGAGGAACGTTCTCCTTCCAAAAAGCAGAAGCTCCAGCACGCTCAGCAGGTCGAACGGCAGCTCAACTGCACCGTCATGGCGCTGGCCGTGGTTTATGGCGTATGTGCCCTGCCAGAGAATGTGTGTAATCTCACGCTGACTTATGCCCCCATACAAGTGTCTGAGGATGTGATGGCTCTCCTTGCCCTCATAAATCACTTCTTCCTGTTCTTTAAGTCTTCGGTGACGCCAGTACTGCTGCTGTGTCTGTGTAAGACCCTAGGCCAAGCATTTATGGACTGCTGCTGCTGCTGCTGTGAAGAATGCCAGCCAAGCAACTCCTCTTCCTCCCAAAATATCGCTGAAGGCAAGCACAAGAGCACAAATGAGACATCCTCCTCCATTTTCTTTGACAAAGCCAAGGACAGCACCACCATCTTGTCAATTGGCAGCTGAGTCAGCTGACCCTGCTCCTGAGCGATGAGGTCATGAGATGACCTAGAACAGGGGTCTCAAACTCCAGTCCTGGAGGGCTGTTGTCCAGCACTGTTTGGTAATTTCCCTGTCCAAGTACAGCTGATTCAAAGTTAATTACAAGGTTTAATGGGCTGTTTGTGCAGGGACATCAGCAATCTGTTCTAGACACCGGCCCTCCGGTTACAAACCCCTGATCCTAGAATCATTCCTCACATCCACTTGCATCACATCTCCCAAGTAGTGGCCATCTTGTTCTCCAGACTCTCTAACATATATGGAAATGCACTGAGCTCTTAGATGGTGCTAGAATTTTCCCATTTGCTGCTTTGATCTTTCTCTTACCATAGCTAAGATTTCAACATGGGTAAAGCCAATTTATACAATACATACTGCACCAGCATGTCAATAAGATACTGTAATGCCACCTCAAGATGCATAGATGGATCTGTAAGTCATTAACATCTTCATCAGCAGGATATCAGGTCAAGTCTCTGTAGATTAGTAGTTCATATCATTCATTGATGTACTATTTGTCTGTTTGCTCTGATACACTTGTGTACAAAGTTTGTGAATTTTATTAATAGTTGAGAGGATATTGTACATTTAGTGATCAAAACTTCTTAGAATGGAAGAGATTCAATCAGATAATAGGTCATTTGTTCAGATAGAAATATCTTGTGAGATTTGGGGTTTTGTTTGTGCAACAGCTAGTGCTTGAAACTAATTTTAACAAATGCCAGAGTTTTGGCCATAACCACTTTGCAAGCTTGCTCTTTATTTTTATCGACTATTGTACATGCACTGAATTGTTTTAATAGAATGTAAATAAACTGAGGATTTGGAAGCAAAAACTGTTACAGAATTCAGCATTCAGTATTTTAAAGACATTTATTTAAATTAAGCCATATTTTCTTGAAGGCCTTTTGTACACACTGTGCATGGCTGATTTCAGGACTTGTCACTGAAACAATTTAATAATTTAACTGTAATGCAATGATTTTATTATTAATTAGAAGTCTCATACTTACTTTGGTCAAATCATTGTGTGTAAATGATTCTAATTAAAGTGTAATGTACAAAATGTAATCAAAGCCTGAAGGATTGCACAACAAAATGTGACTGGCCTGAGTTTGTTCTGAATGTCCATCTTTGCCTGAAGGGAAAAAGTTTTGTCTGCTGAGGCCTGGTTGGTTTCTTCTTTCCCATAAGGTTCTCATTGTTCTCAAAAGAAGATGGAGGCTTCTACTGTGAATATCAATGTCCAGACTACAGCTGAGTTGCCAAGATACCATCCAAAAATTCACGTGGATTTCAGTTTAGCCAAGAATGAACACAAAAACCTTCAACTTTCCCACCTTTACTTGTCGTCAGAGGAACTAGAGTTTATTCAGTTAACAGCAATAAGTTTGTGTTCTACATGTTTAACCAGTGAACTCATAGTTGGTTAAGTGAGTGATGAATTATTGTTGTAACATAGAACAAAGGTACTGTTTTCCCACAGCTAGTCCACTTTCAATCAATGTTTCGGAAGTCTGAAAAAATGCACCAAACCATGCATACATACTAATATGTTTTCTAGCATTTGCCTTTATATTATGTCTGAAGACAGGAAAATAAATGATGAACGAATGTCTGGTTGGTCTAGAAAATGTCTAATCGTCCTGGTAAAAGAACTGTTTGTTACAGAGGCAGACATGGGTGTTCCTGTAGAGGGGTTGACCTCTTTAGACTCCTAGTCTTGGCCTGTGTTCAGTGGCTGTCAGGGATTGGGAAGACGACAGAGAGTGAGAATAGCCTCATTAGAGAGCTGGAACTGGACTTTAAGAATGGAGCACTATTGGCACTAATGACTGAGAGGGAACAGACTAGCCTCTGTTCGCTGTAATGAAGGTACACCACAAATCAGCAGACTCCACCACCGTATATTTAACCTACTGAAACAGTATTATTATTTGAATTATTATAATTAATAATAACAGGCTGTCCTGTCCAGCCTGAGAAGCATATCATTTTATGCTGTGTATTTCTTTTAACAAATTGTATAGTTTTACTTGTCTACTTTAGTACAGCCCTCTGCAGTGATGACATCCATCATGCAATTGCCAATTAAACCATTTGTCTGCAAATGATGTGACAAATTGAGGATGGCTAACACATGGCCTCTATTCTGATGCCAGTGCAAAATGCTGCAACTATGCAAGACAAAAGCACAATCACAAGTTGCCTGCGTCAAGGGCCTTTTTTTACAGGAAATGAATTTGCCAGTGTGAATGTGAATATTTGTGAATCAACACATACCCAAGGTGTTAATGCCGCCATTGAAAGCTACTAAGAACAAGTAAGTGTTCATATCAGAGGACAAAACTGCAAAAAAATGAAAATACTGCAGTTTATATTTTTCCTAACAATGGAGTGGCATTTACCATAAAACTGTGTTCAACGAACTGTAAAGAAAATTTCAGTTATTGTGTAACTGGGTATCTTTTATCCTTTTTGTCTATTTCCCTTGCTCAGTAATGGCTTATTGACGCATACGCATCCTTTCAGACCCATAACGTTGAGTTGTTTTCTCACAGTGGAAGGATGGACAGAAACACCTTTACAGATCTGCAGCAAGAGTGGAGACTGATTTTCTCCTCTCTCTCAAAGATGAAAGCTTTAGGTACTGTTTATCTGATGGTGACAATTTTGGTGGTCTTCTAAGTTCTGGAATGGTTATTTAAACACCTCAGTGTCACTGCTGGACTGAGAATAGTCCACCAACCAAAAATATCCAGCCAACAGTCTCCTAGGGGCTGCATACTGTGACTACTGATGAAGGATGATAGAGGATGACCAAAACAAACTGCAGCAACAGATGAGCTATTGTGTCTGACTTTACATCTACAAGGTGGACCAACAAGTTAGGTGTGTCTAATAGAGTGGACAGTGAGTGGACACAGTCGTTAAAAACTCCAGCAACACTGCTGTGTCTGATCTACTTGTATCAGCACACATTAACACACCACCACCACATCAGTGTCACTGCAGTGCTGGGAATGATCCTCCACCCAAATAATACCTGCTCTGTGGTGGTCCTGTGGGGGTCCTGAGTATTGAAGAACAGGGTAAAATGGGGCTAAAGAATGCAGAGAAACAGATGGACAGTCTGTAATTGTAGAAATATAGAGTGCTCTTGTACAGTAAGTGGAGCTGATAAAATAGACAAGGAGTGTAGAAACGTGCTCCAAATAAAGACCTCAGTGAGTGTATAAATCACTTATATCACTCATATATCCGTTGACTATACCCTTCCTTGTGTAAGTGGCTTGTCTTACATTCAATCTCCTCAGAAATACCTCCTGAAAAATGAATAATATACTTAATAGAATTTTAAAAAAAGGGTGGTCTCACTGTTTGCACAGTTCTGTAATATTAAGGCATAACCTTAGCTGTATAAGCTGTTCAAGAGCTGCTTTAACTGGAAAAATATATGCAAATACTTTATACTATACTACATTTTTGTGCAACTGCTGAAAAAGTAGCCTGGGTAAGATGGCATCTTGCTAGGCTCACTCTCAGGCTTAAAAGTCTCAGAGCACTGAGTGGAGGATGTGTTGAGTGTGTGAGAGAATGTGTGTGCACCGTCTCATCTTCAGGCTAGGCTCAATGAGCGAGGACTAATATGACCTGAATGTCTCTCACTCGCACACAGAGCACTGTCTCTCCTCGCCTTGTTAAGGGGACAATGTTTGTTTTGTTTCGTAAGCTTCTGAGAGTGGAGGTTGGGGATAAGGGGGAGTGGGGGTGAGAGTGATTCAACACGGTTACTGAGGCAACCAGCTTTGGCCCCTAACATACAAATCAGGGTCCCAAGGCAGGAAAACCCACACAACCACAGGCCTAGACCACCGTGTATTCAGAAGACAGGAAACTCAAGTGAGTTTCATTCTGATTCAACAAGTGGTGATGCCAGTGCAGGGAGAAAAAAAAGTTTTTCCATTGCATTTGTGGACAAACTTTTGTATTCAAGTCCCATGGCGACTGAAACAAGGGTAGGTGACGCGAGGTCAGGGAAAGGGGACAGGAGGCCCCATTTCTCTCCTTCTCAAGGATCTAAAAACATCTCAGCCCACTCTTTCTCAATATGTGTGCCAAGCCAGTGGGAGAGAACAGAGCGGATCTGTTGATGTGGACTCCCCTAATCGACCAGGTCGAAGAACAGAACACCATGCACCTCACTGATACGGAGCACTAAAACAAAATTAGTAGGCTTTTGAAAATGTTGGTTTAATTCATTGTCAATTATACTGCAGAAACTGCTTTCAGATACCTCCATGTTTACACATATATTTGCTTCGCACCTGCCAAGCTTCTGTTTTCTTCTTGGTTTTCCTTTGTTTTGTCCCTTTGCTACACAAAGCCTTTGGCAGCTTTTTCAGCATTGCTCTGCATTATAGGATAATCATAATAAACTTCTCAATATTGCTGTTTATAAGGGGGCAAATAGGCAATTTTCTCCTTAATATAATTCACTGTGTTGAATCTTTTGCAAAAAGATGTTAAAAAAAACATTATTTTAGTATAACATAATTTGCCAGCAATAAATAAATGAACAACAAGCACTGCCTGTGATTTCGTGAGACTAAGACTTTCTGAAACGATTGAGGTTTTATTTTTTAAACATATCAACAGCGCCCCCATGTGGCATCAACTACTCTATGCAACACTCTTTACTTTTTTAAAGCGAGGATTCATCAGTTCATCAGAAGTTCACACCAAGTGCCCTTAGACTGTGTAATAGCATTTGTCTTCAGTTTCACCATGCTGGCTTTATTTTTTTAAGAATGAGAATGAAGTGGACCAAGATTTGGGCAGAGGTTTAACTTATTTGAACAACCTGTATGGAACTTAAACTTAAACCCATACTTTAGGTTAAGTAAACACGTGAAAAACCAGCAACCCTTTCCAGACTTGTCTTTGACTAACTGAGGTACGTTAACTATTACTTGCATTATGGACATATTTATTAGGCCTCAGTGGCTATGCCAGTGCTGCAGTGATGGTGCAATGCATGCTGGGAATTGTAGTGCGAGAACATCAACAGAGGAAAACATTAAAATGATTCAAAGTCATGAACTCTGCGCTACAGAAAACTACATAACATGATATATATTAAATGCTAGTTTTATGCAGGACCTTATTTTTACTAGTTCAGTCCCTTTTTTTTCTTGTTCCAACCTAACACAATTACATTATAAGAATGTATATGAATAGAAAAACAATGTATGCTCAAAATGTTCAGATACTGTACATTGTAAAATACTGCATCTACACACGTATGTGCTGTAATGCGTTTTACAGTATAAGAAATAAGCTACAGACGTCAAGACACAAGAATAAAACTCAAGTCAATGAAACCAGTTTCAACAATTTACTTCTGTCATCAGCCTGATTTTTGCACAAGTACAACTGTATACAGACTGGAGGATACAGAGAACGTGTAGACATAAATCAAACAAGTATTTCACAAAAAGTAAATAAAAAGAACAAAATAAATCCAAATGGGAAAAAGAGATGGTTCACTTAATCCACTGTGACAAATACAGGCGTCTACAACAGCACAGAGAATTTACAGTCAAAAGCACTCTCAACATTCAAAAATGAAGTGAACTCTTCACCTGGTCAACAGCCTGTTTTTCAGTTTTACAGTTGCAACTATGCCAACAGCAGGTCCAGGAACAGCACAAACACAAGTTCAGCACAGTTTAAGAGTCAATTACATCTTAAATGGTCATCAGTGCACACCTAGGCAGAAGGTTTATGGCCTATATCTACACATTAGAGCTATACAGAAAAAGCTTTGTTGGACACCTGGAGTGGTGACACTGTAAACATTTTAGCGGATGGAACGCCTAGTTTGCACTGAAGTTTGCTAATTTGACCAGCAAAAATTTTTTAGTAGCATCTAGATACTTTTATGAAGGTAAAATGCAATTACACAGATCGGTCTGCTTTCAGGAAACAGAAGAACTATGTCCAATTATGCACTTTGACTGCTACTTTTCAATGAGGAGTACGGTCAATTAACTGCTTTTGTGCTTGTGAGTATTCTTCCATTAAAAAAGCTTGCTGTTGTTCTGTTGTCTTTGTTCTGTGTTTTTGCACAAAGGCATGCTTGTGATTCCTTCAATTATTGATTTTGGTCTGTGCGGAAAGAAAAAGGAAAAAAGTAAAAAAAAAAAAGTAAAAACCTTTGGATATGGCTGTAACACAATTCTCCTGGTCTTTTTCTGCAACAAACTACAAAAATGGTTTTAGTGCTAAGCGCAAAGCAGAGAAGAAAAAAAAGCAGGTGCCACAGACCAGCTAGAATGCGAGATGGAGAGTAAAAGGTCTTCTTGTTCTTTACAGTTATCTGTGTCCCTGAGGAGAGCCATCACCCTCATTATCTATATAACACCATGACACCTCTTCCTCCTTCACATCACTTCCCTTACAAATGTACTGATGCCTGAGGCTTTAAGAAATCTGATGTGAAAAAAAGGGGAAAAAAAGAGAAAAAGTCAAATGCAATTCCATCACAGTTGAGGGTATAGAGGAAAAAAAAATATACAAGAGAACATGTTAAAGATTAAACCAATTTCAGATCTGGGTTAAAAAAAAACTGCAGTACCTCTGAAGAAACCATCTATCTGTTAGACAAAAAAGGTAACAAAGAACATGTTATTTTCTCCTTTGGAATGTGTTAGTTGTCTGTTGTCTGAATTTTTAAATACCAAATGTATGTAGTTCTGATTACTTTCAAAGTACATTTAAGACTAACGGGCAGATGTTTCTCATTCGTTTAATCACTTCATGTCTACTATAAAAATGAAAACAAAATAAGCTCATTTACAGCGATGAACCTTCTTAGTGTACAAAAAATAATAATAGTAACTGACTGAGACTAAAAAGAAACGAGAAAACAGGGTCTTCCTGCACAATCTGAAAGTTTACGTTAAGTGCCAGACTGAGGTGTGACCTCAAGTCCACAAAGAGTCAATTTACAATTTAAGGAGGCAATTTACAATTTACAGTCTATTTACAATAAACCGTAAGACTTGTTCACTATAAATCTGTAGTGAAGAATAGCCGTATACAGTTTAGCCTTCTAGATTCACACCTCAGTCTTAGCAGCGCTTCTTTGTGCTTCAGGCCCTGACGTTAGGCATCTGCTGGCTGAGGTCCGGCCCCGTTTGACCACGGAAAATACAAAAATACACTAGAGTCAGTCCAAGTTAGTCAGATGACCTTTACAACATGGATGCCTTTTGATTCTCTGAACACCACTGCACTATAAAACATCCTAGAATCATCTGCTTATGTTACATAGTTCTTTGTACACAAAACAGAAATGGCCAGATGGGCTACCTAAATACCCCTAACAAATCCGAATCATTAAAAAATGTACAGCAAAAATTTACAAATCAATTATCATTATCTACCATGCTACAGTGTCCAGGAATCTTTTTTCCATTTTACTATGTTCTGTTTGTTGTTCATATTTACGCACAGTTGAAACACTGATACATTCAACAGGGACTAACAAAATAATAATATACAAAATCCAACTATAAATCTTTTGATTACAAAAAATTAGCAATGTACCATTTTTTGAGAATTTGAGAAAGGAATTAGTCATGAAAAAAGTAGTAGTATATTCCAGTGTAGCTAGAATATGCATCCAACAACAGGCAGGTGCTGGTAGTAAAGGTCTCCTAACCGGCTGCATAAAAATACTCCTGAAAGACTGCCTACTTCAAAAATCTCTACATCCCACTTGATATAAAATGTTTCATGATACTATAGTAGGTATCAGTTTCCTGTAAATGGATGTGACATTTATGTACATGAAAGTAACAAAAAATGAAACATCTTAATATTTCAAAAAAAATTTGAGAGTGTGAATGGAATTTTTTCTTGATTTTGTCCTTAAATCATCCATTTACCCCTTTTCTGACCAAAAAACAAGTGCATTAATACTATACATGACCCAAAGTAATGCACCCTAACACCCTATACCATCCATCCATCCATCATCTAAACCGCTTATCCTTCTGGGTCGCGGTGGGGTGCTGGAGCCCATCCCAGCCGTCATCGGGCGGAAGGCAGGACACACCCCGGACAGGTCGCCAGTCCATCGCAGGGCAGACAGACAGACATACACATTCACACACTCACTCACACCTAGGGGCAATTCAGCATGTCCAATCAGCCTAACTGCATGTCTTTGGACTGTGGGAGGAAACCGGAGTACCCGGAGGAAACCCACGCAGACACGGGGAGAACAGGCAAACTCCACACAGAAATGACCCTGGTCACCCAGCCGGGAATCGAACCCAGGTCATTCTTGCTGTGAGGCGACAGCGCTACCCACTGCGCCACCGTGCCGCCCTACACCCTATACCCTCAGAAAAATTAAAAAATAGACCAAAAGGAACCTCTTTTTTTTTTTTACAAAGCTGGTTTTAAGAGATACACTTCACAATGTGCTGTGTTCAGTTGTTCAGTGCTGTGTTTGCTCACTTCAGTTGATGATATGTCCCTCTAGCTCTTCTGAGGAAAAACAAAGAGAAAAGAATATTTAAATATTACATACAAATACTTGTAATATGTAGTATATAAACACTGTTGAAATTTCTTCTTGTCGTTCATGCCACAGTCCATACAGTCCATACATATTAACTAAGCTGCAAAAACAGCCCATGTTGAACTCACTGTTTCTGTGATGTCATGGAAAACAATCCATTTACATATATATACCTATTCAGCCTACAGCAGCTTAGTCCCACCCACTCAAACTGAAGTGTTTTAGCCCAGACAGCTTTTTGAATGAGGCACAATAAAGTGCCGCAACCAGAACAAAGATCAGTCACATGTATCAGTTTTAAAGCCACAGTAACAAAAACAGCCTCTTTAATTTTAATAGATAAAGAACTGTGGAAAAATGGTCTTATAAAAATAAATAAATTAAATTATTAAAACAAATGAATTGATGTTTTTGGTACATGAAACCACACAAACGTTGTAGTGGACCTCAAGGAAAAAATACAAGAAAAATGTATGTACACACAGGCCATTTAAAACAACATGGCTATGAAATTAGTTGGAGATTAGAAGAGATTTTCACTTACCATACTAGGCTGGTTCCCGTTGGCTGCGTGGACAGAAGTGATTTCGGCAATTTGTCGCTGTAGCTTGTGAGAGGTGGAAAGGGTGTCGTCATCTCCTTCAGCGTCTCGTTCCGATTCTCTTTCCCTCTTACCTGTGACGCTTCCTCCTGTGTGAAGCAGACGTCCTGCAACAGCATTAGGAAGAAGGCCATTGGTCAAAAGTCTGAACAGAGCATTTTGTATTCAGGATTCATATTTACATTCATATGAACTCATAGACTCCAGATTCCAGTGCCTTCCCATTTACTCTGCTGTGATCCTTTTTGGACATTTTGATACTCATGACTTCGATGACTCTTTCCTGCTATATCAGTTTGTACTAAAACATTCCAACTCTCCTTGTCCCTTACCTGGATGCCGAGGACCTGACATCTCATGAGAGATTTTGGACTGGTAAAGCTGACTGCTGCTTGCAATGACCTGGCTGGAGTCTGGCATTTGGTGGTAGCCTAATGAATGATCAGGAAACAAACTTGTCTCATTATTATTGAAATCTTACAAAAAACAAAGGATGTTAATATTCATACCACATATGATTACCAGCAGAATAAGCCATAGTGAAATACAAATCATAGTCTTCAGTCTCACCTAGCTGCTGCTGAATCCCACTTGGTCCCTGATTCTCCTCACTGTCGAAGTTCAGCAGAATACTTCCACTCCTGTTACCACTGGCAACAGAGCTGCTCGACACAGGTGCTGTTGTAACAGTATAGGGTTAGTTAAAAAGGTATAATAACACGCTATTTTGTGATATTCTCAGTGGTTTCGTTGATTTAGCTTCCTCCATCTACTTACTGTATATAACTATTTACATACAGTATATTAAACTGTGAAGTACTGAGTCCGTCTTGAGGTATGACTGCGTGTCCATGTCTGTACATGAGGCCTCATGCATGTTGAGGTTGTGCTGGTACACCACTGTTGCCACAAGTTAGTTCATGAAATATTTTCCCTGCTAAATCTGCCCCAGTCAACAGTAAGTGCTATTATTGTGCAATGGAAACAGCTTAGCCATTAAGGGGTAGATCACGCAAACTCACAGAGCAGGGCAGGGCATCACTCACTATAGATTTCTAAACTGTCTCTGGAAGCAATATCAGTACAAGAACTGTGTGTCTGAGGCTTCATGAATTGGGTTTCCATGGCCAAGCAGCTGCACACAAGCCAAAGATCACTATGTGCAATGCCAAGAGTTGGCTGGTGTGGTGTAACAGGGGATGAACAGGAACGTCAAGTGTGAGCCAGGCCTTTTCGTCCAACATCAGTGCCTCACCTCACAAATGCTCTTTTGACTGAATGGGCACAAAGTCCCATAGACACTTTTCAAAATCTTGTGGAAAGCCTTCCCAGAAGGGTGGAGGCTGATATAGCCGCAAAGAGGGGCCAACTTCATCTTAATGTTCATGGTTTTGGAATGGGATGCCCGACAAACTGATGTAGGTGTGATGGTCAGGTGCCCACTAACTTTTGGCCTTATAGTGTAATTTCAAGGTAAGAAGATGAGTGTTACCTGGTGTGTTGGTCCCGGACTGCTGTTCTCCTGGAGAATAGGCCATGCCGTTCCCGTTCCCGTTATGTGTAGATGGCACTGAGGCCAGAAGTCCTTTTAAACCAAAAAACAGGCATCTCAGGAGAGCCAATATTACAGTGACAGACAACATTAAATGGTTAATTAACATGACAAACAGTCTTAATGTTCAGAATGTATCTCACTCACAAAGATTCTAGAGTCACAGGCTAACAGTCCTACTCTAGTCTCTTGACAACAGTCCAGTTTTGATCAGCAACTGGATGGACAATTTTTTATGTATTAAGCGAGAGGGAAATATCCAGTGACAGTGTTGATAAGCCAAGAAGTTTTTCTTAAAACAAAGACATTACTGTTGATTTGCAGAAGTCAGTGCAGTTTAGATAGATATATTTTCAGCTTGACATCGTAGACTGATGCATGCACAGATAATAAATGCAAAAATTAAGAGGTTTCCAAAAGCCGAAAGAACTGGCAGAATTTGTGCCACACAAATGGCACAATATCCCAGATAGACCTTAGAGGCAAAGAATAACAAATGCTGGAAGGCTTAAGGCATAATTTAAACGTATTTGCAAAGACCAAATATTATTTCTGTGAAGCTAGCTAGCAATGATGAAGCTCCAGGCCAGAGCTTATAGCTAAAATCTGACCTAGTCCTCTGTATCGGGAAAGTTGCTGGTAGATCTGCTTCATCCTCTCGATGTTAAGGCGGCTGGCCTCCGCATGGTTGACCATGGGTTTGGGGTAGTGGACTCCGATGATGCACTTCGCTGCAGCCTGTACTGAATCTGGGGCATTCCACGGATCATATATGTACTTGGCCGGAAAACCTCGGAGAACAGGTAAATAGCGTCTGGAAGGACAAGGAGAGATTAAACCGCAGAGTCTCATCATAGATACAGGAGCAGCTATGCGTAGTGGTGGTCAGGTTCCCAATGCAGAAAACATGAAGTTAGCGGAAGTAGCCAATATTAAAAAGGTGCAAGGGTTTCCAATGGCAAAAAGCTTTAAAATATGATTCAAATAGCAGTGCATTTGTTGCAACAAAGGAGCTTGTGTGAACTGCCACAGAAAATGGACTAGAGTGAAAAACACAACTGTCTCTTAGAGAAATAAAAATAAATGCATGCTTATAATACTCAAAAGACAGTCATAATGCGGCTTTGCAACAGCTGTGGCAACAATCGATGATGCTTAAGGCAGACTTTGTCCACACACCGTGACTCACTTACAGATGATACTTGCCATTTTACAATTCTTAAGCAAGTGTCACTACAACACCATAAGGAGACAATAAAAATGTCCAAGAGTGCAAGGTATTGCATTAAAGCCCTACTGGAAGTCAAAATGAATGTTGTTCTTCTGGGTCCCAGGGACAGTGAAAGGCCACCTACCTACATGTTCCACCTTACCAGAGCCAGGACAGAGGGTGGTCGATGGCACCACAACGTTTGCAGACAGGCGGTTTAAACCAACAGATCCTGCCTGTGCTGAGACACTACGGAGATTCCTACTATAACACGCATTAGAAAGCAGAGGCAGTGACCAACCCCTCCCACCCAGCCAGATCCAGCCAAACACCTCCCTCCCGCCCCTATCCCGCCTAACCTTTCGAATGTCAGGGTTGAGTAAGAGGTTCAGGTTCATTCCCTGCCCCTCGCACTGCTACTGATCGCTTTTGAGACGACAGTGATCCCAAGCCAAGGCAGAGAAACCTGCTAGCTGTCAAACAAGCAACACAGTATACTGTCCTCCGCTGCTGGGTGGCCCCCTCGTTTTGCCAAAAGGGACCACAACCCTTTCGCCAGGAACATTCACATCCTGCCTGGACAAGCGATGAAAAACAGAACCGAGGAAGGTTAGCATGGGCATTGGGTGTCTTTGGGAAGGCCACTACATGCAATCGAACACATTAAGCAGTTGTAGGAGTTTGCTGTTCAAACAGACTGAGATGTCTATGGACCTCTCAGTAGCACATGAGCACAAATGGAACTCTCAGCAAGTTCACTTAGATCTATAGTGATTGAGGCCAAGACAAAAAAGGCAAAAAAAAAAAAAGAACAGTACATAGTTGTTGCTCTCTTGCACAGGCAGGGCTGCATTTAACACCAAGAGCACCACTAAACATTTCAAAAAGAGTCTGATAAGGAGGAGTTGTCCAAAGCTAGATAGAAGTATTGTTATCCCCGGCTTTGGACCCCACCTCCCATCATGCCCTCTGGGAAATGCATTGTGGCTCTCTATGCATTAAATACAGGCCAGGCTTAGTATTTCCTTACCAAGCGGTTAAAATCCCTTTTGATGAAACGAGATGCTACCGAGCTAAAGAACAGGCTACTGTATTGCCCAGAGAAAAAGCATCAAGCTTCAACCAGAATCACAGCTAACAGGCTTCCAAATGCTTTGGCTAAGAATGGCTTTTGTCTTAAAAGCAATCAACCACAATTTCCAAAGGGGAAAGGGAAAGCTGAACTTTTCACCCAATCCCCGAAAAGACAACACAGAAACACAGCACAAACAGGCTTTCTGCTATTACGCTAATGACACATAATGCAGTTACTGTATTACTGTAGCAAGATGGTCTCTGATTGTATTACACAGTTAAGCAAGACAGGACAACAGAGTTAGGAACATTAAAAAAAATGACAAAAGTGTGTCTTATGGTTCTATAGCTTTATCTATACCTGATTGATTTTTGAAATGTGACTTACCCATACCATTGAAAATAAAGCTGAATATTTTGTGCCTGTTTCTATTTACCACACTTTGAATGAGGGCTGATTACTTATCTGTATTGTGGTCTTGCAGCAACAGCTCAGCTGTCGGTGTACTATCGACTACCTAGCAGTGTATGCATTTGGTAACATTACCAACCTAATGAAATCGCCGTTAGGGTCAGTGCGCCGACCAAAGCCCACCGGACAATAGCAGTGGAAGAACTGCTGAAAGAAGGAGCTACAGGAGAGCCACATCCAGCTGCCTGCATTCACACTCCAGTCAGCGTCCAATAAGAGCTCCTCAAACACCTGTCAATCACAACTACTATTACAGACTAGCCAGTCACATACAGGGCTTCACATCCATGTCTCCCAGCGACCATTAAACACTTCAGAAACTATTTACCATGACAACACGGCACAACCATTTCAGCATGATCAGACATGTACAGTCAAAACTATGGTTACACAAGTTTGGGGACACTAGTCTTTCTGTTTTAAGTAAGAAGTTCCCCACTGTCAACACAACCTACTTATTATCCACTCACCCTGCAAAATAAAACTCTAAGGTGGCTTCTCAAAGTCCACTATAACAGCTTGGAAAGTAAGAGAACTGGAGATGTCTCATATGGAAATCTATAGTTTTTCTGGTAAGTAGTAAATGCAGGGATTCATGAAATTATGTCAAGATTAGATAGCCAAGCTTTTTCAATATGAAAAGAAGACATACACTTTGGGTCAGACTTGGTGGTTGTATCCTGTAACCTAAAGATTCAAAGAGTGGTAAAATCATTGGATTTCTGTGGGATAATGGAGGAATGAGGGATAGGAGGATTAAATAAGTGCTAGGAGCATAAAATGCACTCATGTTATTTGAATATAAATTTGAACCTCTGTACCAAGTTTGATAGGTCTAGCATGAAAAAAGACATCACAATAAGATGAAGAAGAAAAAAATACATTTGACTATTTTACTTTGCAATAATAAAACATTTTTTTGGCTTCTTTAAAATGTTTGAAAATAAATATAAATTGCCCCACATATAAGCAAAGCACCTTCATGCCCTCCTCCCAGCTGATCCACAGGTCTCCTCGGGTGAGGAAGCAGGCCACAGCATGCCGGGCCAGGTGGTGGATCCAGCCCTCCTGCCTCAGCTGGGTCATGATGGCATCAATCCATGGGAAACCAGTCTTAGCCTCGGCCCACTTGGCCAATGCTTCTGGGTTTTTATCCCAGGGGATACGCACACAAATGGGGTTGCCCTCCATCTTGTCGAAGCGTGGGTTGGTGGTGGCAGCGGTGTAGAAAAATTCTCGCCACAGCAGCTGGCCATAGAGGGAGAGGGGAGGGGTGCTGGTCTTTTTCACCTGGAAAGTGAATTTGGGATTATAACGCTAACCTAAGCTTCACCCAGACAAAGTGCTGGTCCAAATTCTTAGTGTCCCTAATGCAAAGTAATACTTGCATAGATTTACTGTCTACAGCCTACAAAAAGACTTGTGGCTGAAGAGTCAACCATGATGAACCTGTGGAGCTTCAATGGGGCTATTATGAAAAAGTGGGCAGGATGAAAAGGGCTAAATATGTAAGATGCTCCAAGACTTCTATACTTCTGTTTTCAGAAATCGCCAGTTAATTATAATGATACTGCAAGTGTCTACTACAAAATATGTCCCTCAGGTTTGTGTACTCTGCACAGCTAAGTAGTTATGGAGTACCTTTCTGTAGAGGTCTGTAAGTTTGAAGTAAAAGAGGCGACAGGAGAGGCAGCCGAAGCGAAGGTACGGGCTCAGGCCTGTGGGGCTGGCCAGCAGGGAGTTGGCATTCATCCTTGGTCTCTCAAAGTTTGCTACCCAAGCCTGCCAGACACATGTGAAAAAAAATAGAAAAATGCAGAGACGCTTAATGAAGCAATATTTTTGAAAACCATCTGGATGTTCTGAAATGTGGCAGCCAAGCTGTACAGGCAATAGATGTCCAACAGATGTTCTTTGTGTTGATTCTAGCTCAATAACTGTGGCATGTACATTTTCCCTACATTCCAGCTTGCAGTCTGGTGCTTATGCCAAAGGCTTTGTGTAAGGAACCAACAATGACATGGTAAAGTGTTTGATATTTTAACTAATGTACTAGACATCCCATACCTTTCTCTCCAGATGTCTCTCAATCCTTGTTAACGCTTCAGTCTCTCCACCTGGCCAGACAGCAGAGGGCAGTCCTTCTGTGTCAAACCCTACACCCAAATTTAAACACGTCATTCAGACACGCTTAAGTATGACACTTTATATTAGGTAATAGGAAAAGACATCATGCTAGAATACGCTATTCTAAGAATTGGGGTCAATTTCATTTTAGTAAACAAAAGAGGCCAACTAAAGTTCCATTTCACAAAGTCAAAATGGTGTTGAGGAAATAAGTTGAGTAGGAGGACCACATCTGAAGCTTCTCCTCTTTACCATCTGATGTCTTATAAAAGATTAAAGACTTACAGTTTAGGTGTTTATCTTTTAGAAAGGAAGCACAACTAGAGCAAGTAAAACAGAATTCATGCAAAGTTACATTATCTATATCTCACCCAGCTCTTCCAAAGAAGGCACGCCATATTTTTCCCCATGGTCTTCAGACACAGGCGTGACGCAGCAGCCCATGAGAGCACTGGACAAGGTCTCCACTGGCATCTCTGGTGGATCCATGCGGCTGATTAGCGTCTGGAAACGCTTGTAGGTGAGGGGCGGCTGACCACCATTCAACTCAGTGATTCTAGAAGATAATACAGAGGAAAAATGAGCAGGTAAGTAAATAGGAGACCATTTTTGTAGACCAGAAAGAGGACTTGTCTAAGATTTTCCCTTACATACTGTACTAAATATTACAAAATGTCTGATAAACAAGCCATAAAAGCGTTCTAGACTAAGCTGTGTCAGCAAAACGACCTTCAGATGAAAAAAAGTCACTGTGTATCTCATTTATAGTTGCTCATACCTCATTTATATATTGCTGTGTCATTTAAGCAACATCAATAACATAACAGACTAACGTAAGACATAAGAATAAAAGAATATACAAGAATAAAAGAAGCTCCTACTTGTCCAGATTGTACAGTGTATGTGAGATCTTGACGATGACTTCCACCCCAGCCTCCATCGCAAGCTTCTTAATGGCAGCATCCCGCTCCTTCCCAAATGGTTCTGAGTCATACTCGAAAGTCAACCTGGATATTTCCCACTCCTGAGAAGTGGAAAACAAAGAGGAGGTACTCAATTAATCAAAGAAAATTCTGTTAAAGTTTCTGACTCATAGAGGTATGAAAATCAGAGGGTGGTTTTTAGGAGTCACTTAAAGACAGTGAATTTCACCTTGAAGAGACGTGGGAAAACATTGGCTGGTTGACCTCGAATGACAAAAAGGCGGGAATTGAGTTTCCGGAGATTGGAGTCGAGATCATCTAGGCACTGAAGGAGAAATCTGCAAAAACAAACACAGATACAAATCCTTGTCGTTCAGAAACCACACAATCCATCCTCAGTGTATTTCAGAATTGCCTCCAAATATATTACTGAAATACAATATTAAAATCTTAAATAATTCAATAATGTCTGTGACCTGTGAATCATTAATTGGTACTAATTTATTACATCTGTGATACAATATCTGAAAAACAGGAAAAATTCAGATTGAACAACATTGTTCTAGTCTATAATGTGTTGTCCCATATCTTCTGTATGATGACACACTGGTCACAACATACTGGCATACCTGGTCATTCATTTAAATAATACAATTCATACTATTATAACTCTACTAACAAAATGAAAAAATATATTAGTGTAAAACAAAAGCTGAAAAACAAAACACTCTATTATAGACACCACATAATGTCACTAGATAGCAAAATGGGGGTATTCATGGATTAAAAATATATAATGTCCCAAGCTTCATAGACAATATACATTTTTAAATTTTAATTATGATGTACAGTTATGCTTTTGCTCACTCTTAATCTACAGCCTTTACTAGAACAGTTAACTGCTGAGTAGGCATACATTCTTTACATTACCACACTACCCACTAGTGTCCAACAGTTGTACTGCAAGTCAAAAGAATCAGAACACATTGCGGAAGTGTGAAATGCAGACCATGCAGGTCTGTTAAAAACCTCAGTGGCTGCACATGCAGCTCCATCTTGTCTCTGGATTTAACCCTGGAGCTGTTCTATAAACAGCCTACCCATTCCTGGCAGGCTGGAATCTAACTTCACATCTGCTTGTGTACAGCTTGACTCAGCAGCTGACAAATGTACAGTTCAGAGGGTGCTCTGGGTTTCCACCTGTCAGGTAAATCTTAAGCGTCTGAACAAGCCACAATTAACTTTTAATCTCTGTTTAATTGAGATGGTAAAACATAAGAAGACAAATTGGGGTGTGGGTTACAGGTGGCAAACAAGATAAGACGAGTGTTCCTAGCTTGCTTCAAAAAAGAACATGTGAAAGAGCATACAGTGCAGGCCCTAAGTAGCACTGATGTAAGTTTCTTGTTTTGGCACTACAGACCAGCACCATGAGGACTTAACTATGAAGTTAAAATACAGAATGTCGATTTAGAGGCACATACATCCAATTCAACCATGTAGAAAATCCTACGGTCCTTTTATATTGTGTTTTCATGTTATAATTGACCAATAAACAGAGTAACTCAGGCAAACGCCACTGCATCATTAGCTCATGCGAATGAAAGTATGTTAACTGAGGCATAGAACTGGTTGTAGATTTGTATCCTGACATGTACAGAAGTACCTTAACTGCCCAGAATCAACCAAATGAACAAAAACAAAAAGACAGTGCTTTACCTTGCAGCAGTGTCCACACACACAGACACACACACACAAACATATATATATACATACATACATACATACATACATCATCTAAACCGCTTATCCTTCTGGGTCACGGTGGGGTGCTGGAGCCTATCCCAGCTGTCATTGGGCGGAAGGCAGGATACACCCTGGACAGGTCCCCAGTCCATCACAGGGCAGACAGACAAACATACACAGTCACACACACACTCCTAGGGGCAATTTAGCGTGTCCAATCAGCCTGACTGCATGTTTTTGGAGTGTGGGAGGAAACCGGAGTACCCGGAGGAAACCCACGCAGACACGGGGAGAACAGGCAAACTCCACACAGAAACGACCCTGGTCGCCCGACGAATCGAACCCAGGCCATTTTTGCTGTGAGGCGACAGCGCTACCCACTGCGCCACCGTGCCGCCCTATAGATATGAATTACTATGCAAAAGCTTCTGGTGTTTTTAGAACGATGACTGACCAACACAGAGTGCAGACCTCATCACTGAATGTGTTTGGGATTAATTGGACCACGAGAAACTGAACTTTGGAAGTGCAAAAAAATATCCCTGCAGATTTCCTTAAAAAAATTAAAGCAAGTCTCTCAAAGGATGGACGTTTAAAATAGTGAATAATTTGATATTGTATGTATTAAATATAAACCAAAAACAAAACTGCCGAGTTGCTTATGGACCACAGTGTATGATAATACAGTTAATGCTTATTCAAAAAAAAAAACAAAAAAAACAACTCCATAAGCTTCTGCTATACAATTGCTGCACGTGCAGATCACAGAGTCATTAGCGCTCTAATTCATTTGTTCGAGGTCAGGACATGCCCCCCTGGCCTGGTTAACCTTGTACCTGTGTCTATGTTCTGGCTCAAGTGTTCAGACTGAGCCCAAAGTCAGACGGTCTGCTAGCAAAGCCCTGATTAGAGACCAGACAGTAAAGCTGCCCATGCTCCAAATACACGACTAGCCACCCAGCCGGCATACTTCCACATACAACTCCCCTATCATCACTAACACACATGTAGCTTATTAAAAGGTCATTAGCAGCCCTTGTACTTGTATTATCTTCATACAAGTGACCAACTGTTTTTATTCACTGGCGTGCCATATCTGTGTAATGCCACCTCTCAGTACTTTAGGTAAAACAGGTAAAAATGGTGTGGAATGGACTAGATACACCGGTTGCTGATTTTCGTTTCTTTTTTCATCATGGATCACCATATGTAGTTTTATATAATGATTATATACTAGCAGCAGTTAATGTATGGGTTACAGTGGCAGTTTTATGTGTAATGAATAAAGGAATGAACAGATAGGGATGTATGTGTACTGCCAGCCAGGTCCAGACCACTGTGATCTCGGGAATCCAGTGATGACTGAACGACAGGCAAACCGAGCTGCTCCTCCTTTACAGGCTGTCATAACACTTTATGTTTTACTTTTGTTTATTAGCATTGTTCTCAGCAACATATTTGCCACTGACATAGACTGTGACCTCTGAAGAGACTATTGAAAAACCCATTTTTCTAGCCCTTTGCTCAGTCATACATCATCCCTTATGTAACTGTCCTGGCCTACATATCAGCGCGCAGGCGTGCAGCCACTGGAGGGCATAAAATTAGCCTAGTGACCTGCTTTCAACTATAACAACACTGCATACACCTTCTAGGAGAAAAGAATAATTGCCATTTCTGGCACTAGCTCCTCTGGGACATGCAACAGTCTGACACTAAACAGTACAATTGAATGGATTTTGTCTTTAATTGAAGAAAAATTAATAGATATTAAAGTAGAAATGGGACAAAAATGGGTGTGCTCATATTGTTCAGACACAACAAAGCAAATCTCTTCTGGTTGGCCACAATATGTTTCTGCAGTTGACGCACCAAGGCATCACACGATCACGCTTTTCACCCTCCAATGGACAGCCATACAGAGTATGACATTTAGGGCAGTATTTACATTATTGCTTTCTCGCTGCCACCTACTGCTTGATGTTACTTAAAGTTTGTTAAATGGAGACTAAAATGGGTCAAAGAGCACTGAAAACATCAAAAATAATGCCCATAAAGTCAACGAATTAGATCAAAACATCCCCCTTTTAGTTTTACCAACAGTAATTTGACAGATTTACCAGTGGCTTTGTTTAAAACAGGTGCATTTCCTATTCACGCACCCCATTAATGACACCCAAACATAGGAATTCTATATTTATGTACAGCATTTGAGGTGTATAAATATCACTTTTCATTGCATTCTGATTTACTCTCATACATAATTGGTGTCATAAAAGCTCATCTCTAAAAGTGTAACTGTATTGGGTTTATGATGTATTAATGGAAATTAATTAGTTCATAAACACCTTAAAATCATTAATACACCATTATAACAGCACGAGAGGGCAACAGTGATGTTATACCTAATGAATATGAATATTTGATAAAGCTGACAGGTTTAATGTAGTCTGATGGAGAAGACAATATAAAATTAGTAACCAGCAGGATCTCAGGTTTAACAGTAAAAATTAATGTGGACTCACTATTTGGCAAGCAACAGGTCACTGGTGCTTTTATTATTTATTATACTTCTTATTAATGATTTTTTAAAGTGTTGATGATGTAATTAATAAGCATTAATAATAAAGGGTAGTCTCACATCTCATATCTCCAAAAACTTTACATGAGAAACACCTAATTAGTCATTTTGGGCCATTTCTATTAGTCTTTTCAAAATTTTGAAAGAAGAAAAAACTGTAAAAAGATACAGAATGGGAAGGAGAAAACAGTTCTTAGTATACATTAATGCGAAAGTACATTACATGTAATCTCTCTTGGTCCACTCAAAACAAAACAAAAAAAGTTGTGAAGATTTGATATGACAGCAACAACACAGAGAAACTCATGCTTTGTTAAGGTTCTTTCATATGTCAGTTGTGAATGCATTTCAAAAACTTCATTATTAATATTCTAAGTAGAAACGGGGCAACCCATAAGAAGAGAAGTGTCCAATCTTATCCGCAAGGGCCAGTGTGGCTGCAGATTTTCATTTCAACAAAGCAGGGGCTCACAAGATCAACTGTTAGAAGACTTAAACCAAACTGATTAAACAAGCAGAATCAGGTGTGCTTCTGCTTGTTTGGAATGAAAGCCCACACTGGCCTTTTGCGGATAAGACTGGACACCTCTGCATTAGAAGAACAGCTGACAAATGCAGCTTGTTCTAGGTTAGAGTGCAGGTAAGGCACAGGTTAACTTGTAGGTGTGGGTAAGACTGAGCAGATCCAAGACTGCTAAATCCTCTCTTCATTCAACAGGTGTGTCCTGTGCTTAAATAAGACCGGGATGGCCATCTGCACACCTGCAGCTGATGCGACAGACCTAGTCACAGGTGCATTAGTTTTAAATCTGGTAAACTGACTTTTAAAGCAGACCAAAATAGCCCATTCAGAAGATGATTAGAGATGAATGGCATGGTCAGTGACAGACCGCCTCAAGTTTGGACTGACTGATTCCCAGCTTTTCCACAACAGCATCTGCTGCTCTGTTACTTGGCCTACATTTCAAAAGAATCAGTGTCCATTCTGGCACTACAGTCATCTTCATTTGGAGAGATTTCTTTGTGGGTGTGTGCTTAAAAATAGTAGTGCATGTATCTATTGATCAGTGGGACCGCAGCAGATCTGTGGCATTATCTGTTTTTAGCTTAAAGCCAACCTGCTGTGCTGAATGTCAGAAAGCACTTAAGTGAAACTAGGCGGCGGTGGTCAATTAGTGAGTCAAAGAAACTAATCTGTAATCTCGAACCTGTGTGTTTTTGTGTGTAACTGATAATGAAATAATGCTGTCGGATGATTAAATAATGATATTGATATAGAATCATCTGTCTATTGTGTGATGAACACTTTGTATAACTGATTTTGAAACACATTATGGGAAAAATCCTGGCAAAACTCTATAAATGGAGGAGAAAGGCTAAAACCTGTGCTGCAGGTTTTCATTTTCATTAAGCAGAAACACAACTGTTTCTACTTGTTTAATCTAATGATCTCAGTCTTCAAACAATCGATTAGTTATGTGAGGTGTGAAAACCAGCCATTTACTGATAAGACTGGTGACCCCTGGTTTAGGCTAGTGCACAATTCTTTTCATATAAGTCATGTGCGTTAACAAAAGAAGGTGTGCAGATATGGCCTAATATATGAAAGAGATATCTTAGTGTTAAAACATGTTTAGATTTTGTCTTGTGATTTTTAATAGATTTGGAGAGTTGGTTTTATATCATTTGAAAACAAGTGTGCCATGTGGGATGCTTAGGAAATACCAATAGGTACTGCCAAAAGAATGTCATTTATGTAAGGTGTGTACTGGACCAAAGGTCAACTCATATTTCAGGTTTATGCAACAGTGGGGTCATTCACTGACAATCATTACCAACAAATCAAAATATATTCGAATAAATCCATTCAGTTCATGAAAGTTAATGCCTTTTACTACAAGGAGATTGAAAGATCCACCTGGACAGACCTAAATGTCAGTCTGTGATTCCTTTATTTATGTAAGCATAATGTAACACATGCAATGTCACATAAGCAACACGTAGTTCTTCTCATTTTACCATTGAACCATTGTCTAATAGAAATTTTATACAACTTCCACTCATTCTGGCACAGAAACCTTTCATTATTCAAAAAATATTTTAGGAACCTCTGAATGATCCAGTAGTAATATCAGTTTCCCTGTTTTCCAGAATGACCCTGTCTACTTGCAGCACTTTTATTAGAAGCACTACATTTGAATGAGAATTGCAACATCTCTCTTGTCTTCTCTGCAACATCTCTGTTTGTGTGTCTGAAACAACTCTGCAGTGCTCCTTAAGCTCTGTGTGGGTTTTACAGAGAAGACAGCAACAGAGAGATGGCAAATATAACTGAGCTAATTTTAGAGGCAACCACTTTGGTACATACAGAACTGGGTGTTTTAATCATAGAACACAGCAGGAACTTTATACTACAGAAGGCTTTCATTGGACATGACGAAAAGTCAGAGACACACTTACCTCCACCTGTTGACCCCAAGGTTGGAAGACCCGGCGAACCAGGGGTCCAAAAAGTACACACAGCGGATGGTGCCTGCACCCCGCACTGCCTCCTGAAGTGCAGGGTTGTCATGGAGACGCAGGCCCTTCCGAAACCAGTGGATGGAATTTGGGGCCATTTTCAGTGTGTCACCTTTTCATGATAAAGAATCAGGACAAGAATCCATCAGCTGAAACAATCACACAGATCGAAGAGGCTGAAATGAGGCATCAGGTTTAACCTCTTAAGCTTCTTTGCATGTCCACATCCTAAGGCTTATTATTCAGTGAAAAGTGAACCGACCCATGCTCATGAAAATTCACTGGATCATATCACATTGATCATGGGTTTAAAAATGCCTGGCATCCAGACACAAATCAGTCTTCTGGGATAAGTCACCATTGCCTGTTATAGGAATGAAGCCTACAGCACACCCAACAGACAAAAATGACGCACTTGGAGTAACTTCTAAAACTTGCGCAAGTAAATATAAGTTTGTGCAAAGAAGAACACGCAGTTGTCTGCAAAACTTTGAACACCCTTGGTCAAATTACATGTTTTGATTTTCTATGCAAAAATAAGTTAACACAGCCTCTATAAGGAATAAACTTAAATATGCCTTTTTCTGCAAAATTTAGAGCAAAGTTTCTGTTTATTTGTTGAGTTTAACATATTGGAAAAAAACATAAAACATAAATATAAAATGTGCCACAGTTTTTCCACAGGTCACAGTAAATGTGTATAGAGTGTAGAGGATGTGTATTCATTTTCACTTGGAAAATGAAAACATAAAAAAAAGACCAGGGCCAAATTTTTGCATACAACTGTATTACAATGACCTTTAAGACATCAGAAATAATCAGTTCTGCTCAAGTCTTTTTTCCTTTCTTTGTGTTTTCCATGGTGACTAGGGACTCCTCCAGCTTCTTCTGACATTTACGCTGTCCATCTGAGCTATCTGTCGCCTTTCTTATTCTGTGACATTCAATTATTGGCAGATTCCACATCTGACTCACAGGACTGACACAACAGTGATGTCCACATTGGAAGACACTCAAAATGGAGATTCCACAATGTTAACAGTTTGTGGAATAATGTGGCAAAAATGAGCAATCAGCTCCATTCAAGAGAATCTAGCTAATAATCCATTCAAACTCTAACACTATGTTACGTTGAAACACTGCTAGACTGTTGGGCAATTTAAGGGATAAGGAATCAACTAACAGCTCACTAGATATACATGCATTACAGTCTCCATGTAATTCAGTTAAGAGTCCTAATTACAGAACAAAGGAGAATTATGTTTAATGTTGTCTCTATCTTTACACCACGCTTAAACTTATCATCAAGTAATAGCAATATGAAGCAGTGTATGTTTCACTACTGTTTATCATTTTCGTAAAAAGATGCTAGCTAAGTACGGATGCTAAGTCCTTTCTCAGAGCGGCCAGCCACAGGTCTCTACAGCACAGAGCATCTTGGAGTGGAAATTAGGTCAGTCCTAACTAGGTGAAACTGACGAGACTACCTGGGTAAACACTCATGTTGTAAAGTCGTCTGGAGCCCCAGTACCTTCACAAAATATCGAGACGGTCACTACAATGTTCAGCAAGCATGTATTGACTTTGTGGACAGCGTTACTATAAAACTTTAACATAAAAATAGCGGTGAAATTGGGTCACCGACGCGCGAGTTATGTAACCTAACTATGGCACTGCGTTTTTTTTTTAACGGACGCCATATCTTTTGTCAAAAATAAGTGCAACGGATACATTACCTTTAAATGTTATGTCAATCCTGAAGACAAGACCATCTCTTCCCACAGTATTTCGGGGAACACCACTCACAAAGCTGCGGATGTACCTCTTACCCCTCCGGGGTGCTCGTTTCTGTCTGACTCGCCTGACCAGCTCAGCGCCACTCTCCCTCTGACGCTGTTGGACTAAGGGCCAAGCCGCCTCTGATTGGTTAAAGCGATGTCACGAGGCAAGTGCACGCTCACGTTTAGGAAGCGTGGAGTGTCACCGAGGCAACGATGGCTGGCCTCAAACTGCTCCCTAAGCCCTACGTAGTGTACTTAATAGCAAATGAAAGAGTTCCGTGCACTAACTATATGTCTATCCGGGAGGCATTGGGGATTGAGCCCTTGAATTTTCCAGCGGGCCTGTGAAGCGTGCTGCCTGTCCACCAGCTACGTGCGCAAGTGTTCAGTACAAATCTTCAAATGTTTCTGATTTATGAGTTAAGCATTTATCAGTTTACATTATTGTATATTGTAAAAGCTTCCCCCGAACGTATATTTATATATCTCAATAAGTCGATTGATTTAAGTAATTCATTCATTAATTAATTCACTCATTCAACGTTTGTTTGTTTTTTATCGCGACACTGTTGTCACTGTCACTGTCTGAAATAAAATGATGTAGTATATAAAAGTATATAAAAGAGTTTGATGTAGTATATAAAAATGTTGAAATGTTCCCCAGTTCTTACATTTTAAATATGGAAATTAAGCTGCTAAAACAGCCTGTTTTTAATTCATTGTTTTTAAGGTCGTTAAAACCCATATTTACATGTATCTGAATATTCAGTTTACAGTAGTTTAGCCCCGCCCACTCACGCTGACGTTATTAGGTGTCTTTCAGTCCAGACTGCTTTTTAAATGAGGTGCAGTATATGACAGCCTATCAGAACAGAGGCGATTTACATATAACAGTCTTAAAAGCACAGTAACAAAAACAGCTTGGTTAATTCTAAGGCATAAAGAGAGGTTGGAAAATGGTCATGTAAAAATGAATTACTCTGCAGCGTCATCAAAACAGTGGTTGAGTGACACTGGAGGTTACTTCCCATTCCAGAGTTCTGTGTAGGCAGCTTAGCCATGTTATTGATATTTGGTGTAACTTCCCTGGGGCAAAATGAGTTAACAGACCCAGATCTATCTTCATGATTCCAACCTCACAGAATTTGCATTCAAATGCTCCTGAAAAGTTCAATTATGAAAATATATGACATACTCCGTTGTCAGTATATAAAATATATATGGCATAATCCCATCTGATTTGTCAGTGAGAAGAGTTAGTCATTACAGCAGGGCATTGAAGCACTGTCCCTTTCAAACTGATATGGGGTCCTATAAAACTGCATTTAATCCTTAGGCATCCTTGTTCAGAAAGCATTGCCTTTGGGGTCTCACTGACTAAGCAGCCTTTCATGTAAGGGGGGGGTTACAGTGCTGCTTGAAAGTGTATGAAGCCTTCATCATTTTATGAATTTCTACAGAAATGTGACCTAAAATATGCTCTTCATTTAACTTATAACACTAGATAAAAAGAGCACAATTAAACAAATAACACACAAATATATAATTTTTCATTGATTTATTTAACAATGTGATCCAACATTAAATGTCTTTGTTGGCAAAAATATAAGAACATCTGCTCTCGGTAACTAGTGTGACCCCCTTAAGCAGCAGTGACTTCAATCAAACGGTTCCTATGTCTGTTGATCATCCCTGCACACTGACTTGGAGTAATTTTGGCCCATTCCTCCTTACTGAGCTGCTTTAACTTTGTTATCTTGGTGGGCTTGCATAAACCTTAGGTTCTGCCTCAACATATCTATCAGATTAAGATCTGGACTTGGACTCAACATTTCTTCTGCTTCAGCCATTCTTTATAGACTTACTTGTGTTACTAAAGTCATTGTCTTTCTGCAGGACCCACCTTCTGTGGGACGCTCTAACATTCTCCTGTAGAATTTCTTGATACCTTCCAGAATAACATTAAATGATGGCAAGCTGTCCTGGTCCAATAGCAGCACACTAGCCCTAAACCACGATACTGCCACCACTGTCTTTCAAAGTTTGAATGATGTTCTTATGGTATTGGTTTTGAATAAATCTTTATCGTCAATAAATAGAATAATCATTTAAAATTAGTTGGATGATCTGAAACATTTAAATGTGACAAATTAGCAAGAATAATAGAAATTGGGTGAGGGGCACATACTTTTTCACAGCACTGCATAAACTCACAAAAATCAGTGTATATTTTAGCAGTGTTTGTATACTGAATATTTCTAAAAGCTTATACAATTTTGTGCTGTGGGTGGGAATATGATTGAGTACAGTTTGCAAGATAGGCAGGTGCATAGGTTCGAGAAGAACATACGTAGTTTCTTGTTCATAGACATTAAACAGGAATTTGGCCTTGCTTTTAATAGCTGTCAGTTCAATGGAGCTCTAAATTAAGATCTTTGAAAGGCCACAGAGGCAAACACAGTATTTCTTGCTAAATGAGAACTTCAAGAAAAGTTGCTGGGAGTGAAGATGGCTGTGCACGTGGGTCATCCTAACATAGGTTAGTCGGTAGTGCTCACCACTGAATATAGAACAGGCTTAAATTTGCAATTGCTAAAGGAAGCTAGTTAATGCTAGCATGACCTTTACACATTACATGACATTAGAGTCAGTCAGCAAGCTTCTGAGTACAATGTGTTGTATCAAATTTGGAAATATCTTTTAAATACATATTTCTGGACACACTGAGGGGAAAATTAATCTATAGCCTGTTAACATGTTTTAGCCAACTTTAATTTAACATATGGGAAAATATATTGATCTAAATCAGGCATGTCAAACTGGGGACCTTCCAGGCCAAAGTGCCGCAGATATTAATGTTTACCCTCATCTAACACCCTGAATTCAGTTCATGAAGGCCATGCTAATTGGTTGAGTTGAATCACGCAGCGTGCTAAAGTCTGCAGTGTTTTGGCCCACAAGACTAGAGCCTGACACATGATCTGAATGTTGATTTTATTGTTATATGGTTGTATATAACTACACATTCACACTCATGCACACAATCACCTTTCAAAGACTTTCATGGGTTTACCCAACACACACAACCATTCTAGTTTGCTTAAATGTGAATTTCTTAATTGAATGAAAACTCAATTAAAATCTGACTTCACATTCCTTGTTTTTTCCTTTATTTCCAATTTACATTAATTAAAATCGTAACAAAACCAGGATGGAAAAAAGAGAACAAACAAAAAAAAAGATCATAATAATATTAATTAGAACAAAAATATACACACCCTCACGCAAATGCACACATCCTGCTCGGGACACCGTTGCTATGGGAACTGAATAATGGCTCTTCCAAAGGAGCCCCTCCTTTGATTATTCCGCTTGTTCTGCGTCCTCAGAGCAGGCTGTGTGAGTTGGGTGAGGCTCGTAGGGAGAGGGTGTGGGGAACTTGGGGAATAATGACTGACAGATTTAAACTAATAGCACCTTCTGAAGATGGACTGAACCAAGCCAGGACATGTCCTTCTGTCTTAGATCCTCCTGATCTACTGATGATGAGTTCACATCCGGATTATAACTTTGGTTTTCTTTTTCGTTGTGAGGTAGCTTTTTTATATAAAAATGAAGATAATACAAATAAACAAAACCAGAAATATCGTCCAAATTTATTTTACTTTTTCTCTTTTGTAATGGGACCAACACTTCCTAAAATGGGCAGTCAAGGGGAGAATAATGGAGCACACTACAAAACAAAAAAAAATTGAAAACTGCACTTCCCAAAAAAAGTGTTGGTGTGCATAGACACGCACTCGCTCACACACAAACACATAATTGTGAAAATATATAGATCTGGCTGTTTCAGAACAGACTTTTACAACAACTGAACCAAGATTTTTCTTTATTATACACAGTAAATGTTAACTCCCGCCCTCCCCAGTTTTAACATTTCACAATACCTAGCAGAATGTGATGTTTCTTTTACTGAGTCACAGTCAGGAAGCAGAGGGAGGGGCAGAGTGGGACTGGGTGTGGTTCGAGATGATCTTAGTGGGAGGGGCTTTTGTGGTATTCAACCAAAATTGCACCCAGCTCTAAAGCACCACCCACCCTTGCCATATGTGATGACATCTAGCCATGTTTCTGTGCTTTCCATCTCTTACTCGTTTAGTCTCTGCTTGTTTTCTTCCTCCTCGGCTCCCGTCAGGAGGAAGGACTTCACTGAGGCTTTGAGGGGGAAACATGGCTGGATTTCAGAGGGAGAGACTCATGGGCCAGTGCTGCTTAGTGCTGGTCTCCAGGGCACTAAACGTGGACAACACAACTTTTGTGTTTTAGAGAAAAAAAAGCATTCACCAATTTTTCAATTTTTCAATTTCCTTTCCTTTTCCTTCCATATTTCTTTATTTGGAGAGTGTATTGCTTCTTCATGGAGCTATTGCTTATCATTTTATATCTTTCCATGTCTTATATCGTGTTCCACTTTTGTTTTGTTTTTTTTACAAGAAGCAGACTGGTCCAATGTCCGCTCCAAACTCCTGGTTAGCTCCACCGATGTCCATGGGAGCAATGTCCACGATGGGCAGTCTAGATGTCTTCTGAGTTTTGTATTCAATCACAGTCTTACCCCACTGACCTGTGTGCTTCTGTAAAGTAGAGAAGTAGAATCCATGTCAGTGAATATAATGTCTTAAAAATTTAAACCTCTAACATTATTTATAAATGTAGGTCAAATTTTATCATCATCGCACTCTTAGAAATAAAGGTTCCTAAAGGGTTCTTTGCTTGGAGACAAGTGTCTAGAAAAAGTCTTTAATTGGTATAGTCCCTTTGCATTATGTGGAAGTTTTTTTAAATTTTAAAAAGGTTTTTCGCACTGACACATTTCGCATTGACACATCTCACATATCAAAATGGGTCTTTAAAGAAACAAACATGTTTTTTGATGTGTTTGCCTGCTTGTCTATTACTGTGTGAATCTTACCGTGCAGCCATCCTCCAGCACGGCGTATGTGAATCGGCTGTTGCCCTCCGCTCTGATTTCCACATCGTTGGAACCCTGCAGCAGGAGAGCCTTCTTCAGGTTGCCGGTTGCCTGGTCCATGTAGGCCACGCTGTTCTTGCAGTGGTAGGTGATGCTCTGAGAAGCTTCACTGGACAGCAGTCTGAGGAAGTTCAGCTGAATGTTGGCTGTGCTTGGCATCTGGCCATTCTCAGCATAGCTGAACTGCAGGAGAAATGTATGAAGATGACATTTGTTACAACAGAAGAGAAAATGTATCATTAACAGAAAGAACTGTGTGACTAAAGACAACCCCTCTTTTATCTAACATTGCCTGCCTCAGACCATGACACACATTCAGAACCTCAGAGAGTGACAGCAGGAAAATTTGATTGGGTTCCAAGCAGTGAGAAAATTACATGGGAGCCCAGTCAAGCAGGGGTTTATAACATAGCTGCAAATCACTATTTGCTATTCATGCTTACACAGAAAGAGCAAGGCATTTTTATTTAGAAAAAGCCTACTTGTCTTCACAGTTTCTATTTCTAGAAAGGATTATGCTTCTTTCTGTGCGATGTAGGTGTTAGGGAAAATATGTGGGTGATGAACACTATGAGTTTCTTTGGTTCCTTTCAGTGAGCATGTTAAATGCATGTTGTGGCTTTCACAAACACAAAGATATACACAAACACTGTTGTGTTTTGCTGAGGTGAGGTGAATTACTTGGGAGAAATTCAGATAAGAAAGGAAGATGAGATCATGGTCAGAGAATGAGTTATTATTTTGGTTATAGCTCAGCACAATAAAGTTCTCCCTCTCTGTTTTAGTACAACACAAGTATAACATTCTTGATTTACATGTAAAGGGCCCATTTTTCTTGTATGTTTTTTCCACTTATGACATTTTTGTAATTTTATATATAAAACAGTCATAATTTGTTTTATATGACCATTTTCCAGTCTCCCCAGTACATAGATTGTATGAACTGAGGGATTGAATAGCATGGTTTAGAATTTTAACAGTGGTCACATACCCCATCAAACTCATTCCATTTAAGAAAAAGTGGGGAAATCTTGTTTTTTCACGATATGGGTCCTTTAATGATCACAAAGTGACTGCTATTCACTTTTGATTTTTCTGTACAATGCCCTCCACTGTGAATCCTCTGTTTTAGTACAACTCTGACATGACCTTTTTGAGATACACTTTAGCAAACTAATGTATGAATGTTTCAGTGGAGTAAATGTATTACTCACGTGGAAGCCACCGCCCATGCTCTCTCCGAACCACACATGCTTGGATGTCTTGCTCTTGCTGCTCCACCAGTTCTTGCGTGGGATAGTGGGGTTGCTGGGGCGGACGCAGGTCTCTCCTGTCTCCATGTTGCAGAACACCTTGATGGCATCAGCAGTGCTGCCAAGGTTAGGATCCACCCAGTACTCACCTATGGACAGTGGTCACATTATGGTAAACATGCCAATGCACCAGTCAATTATGATAATTATAATCATAATGTGTACAGTGTTCTCATGCTCATGGTGTAGTCTATAAGCACTTGTCTAGTCACTTTTCTTTTCTTAATGACATAATGCTACCTTTATATCTGATATTTTGTTTTCATTTTTGAGTACATTTATCGATTAAACTCCTCAGTTTAGCACTCTCATAAATACGTACCTTACAGTTTCATAGTAGTTACTGAGTAATTTTTATAGTTGTTATAATATGCAATAATAAGGCTTCAGATTAATAACTGAATAATAAGCCCAGAGTTCACAGGGTTCCCTTTTACTATCTCTGTCTCTGTACCCACATTTCACTCTCCCTTTCTCTTCTATTCCTACTTGATTGCTCTCTTTTTCTTACCGCTCTTCCACTCAGGATGGCAGAGTTTGAGATCGCGGCAGGTGCGGGCAGGGTTCTTGCGAGAGCCATCAGGGCTGCGGATGTCCTCGATCTGGCTGTTGATGGACTTGAGCGTGGCATCCACCTCCACATCGTGCTGTCTCAGAGAAGCAGAGGCCTCGTCGGCACGCATGTAACGCAGGGGATCAGGAGCCTTCTCAGTCTGAGACAGTCCGGCGAAGGCAGACATGTCAATGCCAGGGCCTGGAGGACCAGGAGGACCAGGGGGTCCGGGGTTACCAGGAGGACCCTGAAGAGAGAGGCAACAAAGGAGAGAGACAGAAAAAAATCAGACATGTTCTTTTCCCATCAGGTGGACCCAATCTTCCACTAAAGTTTTTGAAGATGTTAATGACCGGAACTCAAGTCTAAATCTATGCTCATGATTATTCAGAGGCAGCATTGTGGATCTGCAAGTGGTAAAATATTCCTTCTGATACATTTTATGATTACTTTAACCAACATGAGGCACTTTGTGTGACAAGTGCTAGAGCATGTAATTGAATAAGTTGAATAAGCATCCATATATTTAAACTCACAGCTGGGCCAGACTCTCCAGAACGTCCACGAGGTCCAGGGGGTCCAATAGGTCCAGGCTGACCATTTGCTCCATCCTTTCCAGCAGGACCAACTGGTCCAGGGGGTCCCTACAAGAAAGAGATCGGTTAAGCAGGACTCATGCACAACTTCCTAGGTCTTATAGCAATAGTTTTCCAGTGACATTTTACACAACCTGTATTAGCAGATCTTACAAAAATCTAAGATTCTCACCTTAGCTCCGCTAGGTCCAGCAGGTCCAGCAGTACCCTGGTCACCAGGAGAACCCTGTAACACAAGAGCAAAATCAAACCCATTGCTTTATTAATCCTTTTACATCCCAGGCTTATTACAAACAAAGGATTTTATTCAGTAACGACAGGGACTTCAAGGCAAACTGGTTGAGCTATTGCTGAGTTATAGAAGTCTGTAATAAAACCTGTTAAGGGGTTAAACCATATCACAGATTTGTTTTTCCTGTTTTGAGAGGAAACACTTATAGACAAAGGAGTTTGAAGCAAAAACTCACAGGAGGTCCAGGAAGACCCTGAAGACCGGTGAATCCTCTATGTCCCTTCTGTCCTCTCTCTCCAGCCTCACCAGTCTCTCCCTTGTCTCCACGTGGTCCTTGAGGGCCCTGTAATAGAGAGAATATCAAGATGCTCAATACATGCTGGAAGCACTACCCTCTATTTATCCAACGACTAATACATATTCTTCAAAATCTTGTATAATGTATAATCAGTAACATGTACAAAACTGTGCTCTTTCAAACAAGTACTTACAGCCATGCCTCTAGCTCCAGCAGGTCCAGGAGGTCCAGCAGGTCCTTGTGGTCCCTAAAGAAAAGAGAATGGTATTGCTTTAGTAACACCAACGATTATCATGAACAAAATGATTAATGCAAAAGGCACAGGCAACCTCAAAAACCGTGTAAATGCTACTGATTTCCTTGTGGTATGGTAGTCTTGATGATTGTTTGATGTGGATTACCTTGGTAATATTCATGGTAATGAATGAGAATGTCACTGTAAAAGAAGACTGGCATGGCTAATTCTAATGTTGTGTGCTAAAAGCTTGTTGGAGTGCAGGACACTTTTGTGGATTAAAAGTCTTAAGATTAATAACTGAACAATACACCTAGAGTATAATGGCTGAAAAGGGTCTTGATAAGACATTCTAGAATCTATAAACATTTTTTGTCTCTTAGAGGTCACAGAAATCTGTAACACCATCACAACCACTAGATTTATAACAGGGATTCCTAAATACACCTTTTTCATGCCTCAGTTGTGAGACTGAACTTATTCCATTATGAGCCAAAGCAATGTATATTCCTATAATAAAAACTGAACAGACTCTTAAAATGTTTTATTATTTTATGTTGGTTTGCATTGGACGCACTGCCTTTGAAAACTCCAGGCTTGTCCTGTTTGTGTTCTAGAAAATCAAAAAACATTGCTTTGTGGTTTCAAGATTCGAATAGATTTCTTTAATCCAACATAGTTGCTAGCAATACTTAATGTTAAAAAAATAATAATGTTATGAGTATTAATTTTGTACCCTTTCTAATTTTGCACATTGCCATTCTAATAGGATAACACTGTGCAGAACATTGATCCATCTGCTAAATATTTCACAGGTAATAATGTCATAATTAGTAGATGCAAACGGGCAGTTGATGCTATATGTTTGTCTGATTGGTGGATGATTGTTTGACATGGGTTATACTGGGAGTTTCCACAGGCATTGGTGAGAATATTACTATAAATGAGGGCTAGCATGACCAATTGTAATGTTGTGAACATAAACCAAAGACTAGTGAAGCTTTTTGAAAAATAGGACACTTTTGTTTGTAATCATATTTGTATGGTGATTTTGATAAGCTATCATGGCTGATGATTGAAACCAGTAGTTCTCAAATTGGGAGCCACAGAGGGCACACTAAGTGCAGTGACACTATCTACAAAGGGTGCCTTAGGCTAAAAACGTTTGAGAACTGCATTTATGATGGTATGGTCACTAATAATAATGCTGGGTCTGTTCATGTTGGAATGCGTTTTTTTGTTGTTGTTTTTCAAATAGGTTTGATAACTGTGCTGGTGTTATTGATAGATTTGCTGATGCTCAAGTTGGTGATTTGGTGGTGCTACAAAATATTGCAATTATTTAAACGATAATGAAGATATTAACAATTGTGTTGTGATGTACAATGGTGCAATCCCTAAACCCAATGAATTTCTCATCTCTGGGTGCAGAGTACTCACATTCTCTCCTCTGTCTCCCTGTTTGCCTACAGGACCAACAGGACCAGGAGAACCAGGGGCACCGGGAGCACCAGGAGCACCAATGGGACCAGTGTTACCACGTTCACCCTGCAGAAGACACATTCATTAACAGAAGCAGTCACTTTATTAGTACTTATGTTAGCTTGCTAATAATAATGAGTTTTAGGTAGCATTACAACATAGTATATCACACTATACTGTATGTGCTACATTTCACTGGTTCAGCTCAAAAAGTGCTTTGTGAAATAGACAGGACAATGTATTTGTTTCTGTCTTCACCTTAACGCCAGGAGCACCATCTCTGCCAGGAGGACCATCAGCTCCAGGAGTTCCCTAAAGGCAAAGAAAAAAAGAGAGTGATTTGTCTTTAAGCTTGGTTATTTTATCAAGGTCTTTGTTCTACCTTACTGTTCTGAAATCAAAACATCCAAGTCAAATGACTTAAAATGTGGTTTCAACAGTATCAGCCCAATTCTGGTCTATTCTAGCCCATCCAATTACATCAATGGCTTCTCAGGTCTCTGAATCACTCTCAGGTCAGTTTGGGCAGTGTGAATAACATCATTCTGATTCTTTTTTCTTTAACTCAAGCTTCATGTAATTAGCTTAGGGGAGTTCTTTACCTCTCGTCCAGTTTCTCCGGCAGGTCCAGTCAGTCCAGGGGGTCCAACAGGGCCAGGTGGGCCACGGTCACCAGCACCTCCAGGGGCTCCCTGTTTGCCAGGCTCACCCTGTGACACAAAGCAGAACAGAGTCATTAAGCAAGAAATAAATTAATCAGTGCTTAGAGTAAGGATTGTGATTGTGATATTTGAAACTCTTAACAATTTTTAGCATTTTCATGAGGCCCAACAGAACTTGCACTCAGATACTGCACCACTGTGTTCACTCCTATTGTTCACAATGAAGTGCTCATCAAATGCTCACTGAAAATGTACCTAATAGTAACTGCAATAGAACCATAAATGACAATGAAAATTAAAATCAGCGTTTGGATGTATATTGATCAAAGTAAAATCTGCCCAGGCCAAACTAATTAAAATTCTCAGTACCTCTAATACCAATGATACCCTGTCTAAAAAATCAATCATATATTCATACATTATTCTTCCCAAATATGTATTTCTATCTAAAGCTCTATATCATTCTCTATCTCTATGTGTTTTGTGGAGTGATTTGGTGCTTTTTATACTCACAGAAGGTCCAGGAAGACCAGGGAAACCTCTCTCACCACGCTGTCCAGGCAGACCAACAATACCACGCTGACCAGCAAGACCTGCAGGACCAGCAGGACCATCAGCACCCTAAATATGAAAGAAGAGGAAAAGCATGACAAACGTTATTAGGCTTTGTGGTGGGCAGTATGTAGAGATGAGTGATTCACAAACAAATGTGACAGTGGAGGTGCACTGGAATGGACAACTAAGAAACGAGTTTGAGCCTTACAGGGGGACCATCCTCTCCAGGCTCTCCTTTCTCTCCAGGGGCTCCAGGGGGTCCACGCAGTCCAGCATCTCCTGGTCTTCCTGCTGGGCCAGCATCACCACGAACTCCCTTAGGACCATCTTTACCAGCAGGACCGGCTGGGCCAGCAGGGCCAGGGTTACCCTGAGATGGGGAAAGAGGAGAGAGATGGCGAGAGAGAAGAAAATATAAAGGAAAAAAGGGTACAGAGGGGGAAGAGAAAGGAGAAATATGAGATTAGATCTTATGAATTAGTACTATGACCTGTACTGTATACATTATGTATTTGTACGTAAATGCATATTTATTTCCTTTTTGACTAAATAAAGAAATACTGGAAGATCATACTCATATACATATTTATTTTTGCAGATGCACACAATATAATCTCTATAGAGTGGAAACAGTGAGACGTTCATGTGAAGTTGTAAAGGGCTTACATTGGGACCAGGTGGTCCAACTCTTCCAGCAGCACCTGGGAAACCAGTAGCACCCTAGAACAGAAAATATAACAACAATAACATTAAGTCTAATTCTAAAACATGAACACGGTAATTGTACTGCCCATAAACTCAGTAATTAACCAACAGAGCATTAGCATTGCCTAAAAAGGTTACTCAGCAAAGCTTAAACAGAAATCGCAGTAAACAACCACAGCTACATGATTCAGATAATTAAGATAATATAACAAAGACTCACTGGGGCTCCCTGTGCTCCACGAGCTCCTTTAGGACCAGAGACACCAGTTGGGCCCTGAAACCAAGCAAACAAACATTAATATGTCACAGTATTGATGTTCAAACTGATGTTCAAAATCACACAAGGAAAGTACAGGGCAGAGCATTACTTGTTTCCACAGCATGCTTTGATACCTAACTTATGTTTTGTAAAATGTTACTCACAACTGGGCCAGGTGCTCCAGATGGTCCTTGAGGTCCTGGGGCTCCAGCATCTCCTTTCTGGCCTGACTCTCCCTGCTCTCCCTTAATTCCAGGCTGGCCATCAGCACCCTGTGGAGAAACAAAACAAGGGGCTACATGTGGTGCATTTTTAACAGTGTTTACATACTACATAAAACTCCTTTATTTCCAAAAAGTGAGGAAAATTGATTTTGATTTTTTTTTTCAAAATTCTAGTATTCTGAAAAAAATGACAATGTTCATTTAAGTAAAGCAGTTCAATCTCAGATCAGTTTTAGTACCTGTACTACAAAAAGGCTTCAATAACAGACACAACCTCACCCATTTCCATTTCTGTTTAGCTCAAAATCTAGTGTTTTCACACATAACTTTCCCACATCCCTCTATTACTCTGACAAGATGTTCACTAAATGTTTGATTATGTTTGAGGTGTAATTATTGCTGATTTTTTTCACGCTTATTAGGAAAAATACATATTCTAGTGATGCTAGAATTAATCATCACTCATGACTGATGACCGTAATGTTCATTAATGCTTTTGATGATTTCTGTCAGTTACGTAATATTGTGCTTTTAATTATATTAGTTTATAATTATAATAATAGATGCAGCTCTACTCACAGGGGGTCCAGCAAAACCAGCAGGGCCAGGAGGTCCAACCTCACCACGGTCACCCTTGAGAGAGAAGAAGAAACAAAGTTCAAGATGAGAAGAGCTGAAAGAAATTAGATCAGATACCGTGGTAACACAATCTCGAGCAGAATAAAACATAATCATACTTACAGGAGCACCACGGGCACCAGCAGGTCCAGTTGGTCCAATAGCACCAGTTTCACCCTGAGAAAGAGAAAGAGTGGGTGGAGATTAGAAATGAATCCACTAGAATCCCACTGCTCTCGTTTAATAAAAATGTAAAAACATAGCATAAGAGATTGATCAAAGGGTCACCTTAGCTCCGTTGGGGCCAGAAGGACCAGGTGGGCCAATAGGACCAGTCAAACCCTACAGAGAAACACAAGCAGCGCATGTTCAGAAAGATAAGGCAAATACCTTTTTTAAACAATGAAATAATTTACCTAAAAAACATAGATATATAGAACAGTTTAAAACTCACTCTTGAGCCATCTTTTCCAGGAGCTCCCTCAGGTCCTTTCTCTCCACTGTCACCCTGAAAAGGAGAGGCCAATCAGCTCGTTCAATTGACCAATCAATAAGTAAATGAAACAAATCCATCAGAACCAAAAGGTGGTTCAAGCTCTGTTACTCAAAATAGTTTGCATGAGAGTACAGATTCAGAAAATTTATAATTTGATTCGATATGATACAGTGGTTTCTCGACTCACTGTTTTTCCAAACAGGAAAACTTACATGCCTTACATTGGTACATGTTTTCATTTCAGTTTGTTAGAGCTTTCAATATCATAGACATCATGAAAGTACAATACTTGAAACAAAAGCTGTACTTTATAGTGTCCTGATCTAACCCTCTAGCCACAAGCTAATATGTTAGCCCCAAGCTAACACACTAGCCATAGGCTAACACACTTGTCACAAAACAATACAGTACAATACAACACAGTGTAATACAATTTGATAAAATGCAACATATTGCATTATTACATCACTGTAAATGCACGAGATGCGAACAAATCCAAGGTTGCATTTTAGAGCATTCAGAGAAAGATTGTTGGGTGTGAATGTTTTGCTTACTCTGTCACCCTTAGGTCCAGGGATGCCAGAAACTCCTCTCTCACCAGGCATACCCTGCAGACCAGGAGGACCCTGGGCACCGGAAGCACCAGCTGGGCCTATCGCACCCTACAAGGCAAGATAAAAACAACATGAAAACAGCTTTAATAATCGCTGTGAACTATATGAATATGTAAGGGGCAATACTATGACATGGTCACACATTAACTTAAAATTTTTCTAATGATTGACCAGGCCTTCCATTGTTTCTCAAATTGTTCATGATTTTCGGTGGTTTTGTTTTAATTAACATTTAACATCATTCGCTGTTGTATTTACTATGCAAGAGCAGATGAGGAGGGACAGTTGCTGTAGGCCCTGGTCTTTGAGGGCCTCTGCCCTGTCCATTTTACTGTTTTTCCTGCTCTAACACACCTGACTGAACCAATCAGCTAATTATGTGGGTGTGGTGGTGCAGGTAAAACACCAAAATGGGCAGTGCAGGGTATTTTAAGATCAGGCTTAAAAACCAACACTGTAGGAGACATCAGTTTAAGATAAATGGTATGCAAGAGTTCCCAAACAAAAAATATGATGCCAACAAATAGTGAAGACATCTAAGTAAAGTGTCTTAAAGGGCTTCTATCTTACATTTTCATTATATTTTATTTTTTACTCCAAAGGTCCACTGGGACTGTTCTTGGTTTATGTGCCAAAACAGTCCCTGGCCATGTCACATCACCAATTTCAAACCTCACTTTAAACCTAAGAATCAAACAGGCGGTTTCTGTTACTGTGTTTTTAAGACTCAAATATACAAATGATATGATTGTTACCTTTTACTGAGCTTCATTTAAAAACCAGCTCAAACTGAAACACTTCTTATAACTTCAGTATGAATGGGCAGAGCTAAATTACTGTAGGCTGAATATATGTAAATGCCTTGGTTTTCATGACAGCACAAAAACAATTCATTCAACACTGGCTGCACATGCAGGTTAGTTTTCAAATATGGACCGCTTAGTTTTCAAATATGGACTGAGGAGTGAACATTATGTTTTAAAACTTCACCAGTGTTCACTCTTTAAACTCTTTTTTTCCATAAAATGGGCCCTCTAAATAAGACAATGGCAAGATGGAGGCAAGAAATTTGAAGTGGCTAACAGTACACATAGGATGTGATATTTATTATAGTGAACATAAAACGATGCATAAGTTATAGCTTTAGTAAAGTTATGTCAAAGATCTCACCTTGGGCCCATCAGTTCCTGGAGTACCTGGAAGTCCTCTTGGTCCCTGAAGACCCTGAGGTCCAGCACTTCCTCTCTCACCAGGGAAACCACGCTCACCCTAAGAGAGACACAGACTTACACAGTCATCTTCCTGCAGTATAATCCAGTACAAGAGATTCTACTGCATTCAGTCTGTGTGATACAGTCATCTTGACGGTAAATCATGGTAAAAGGAACTCACTCTTGGTCCTACAGCACCAGGGGCACCACCCTCTCCGGGAACACCCTGCAGAAGTAAGGAGGGAGAAAGTGGCCAGGATACTCAGTTATTATTACCATTACTGTCAAAAAAATATGTTCATCATACTAAAGTCATCAGTAAATGGGGTAATTCTTACCTGGTCACCTGGTTTGCCACTTTCTCCTGGTGGTCCAGCAGGTCCTGGCAGACCCTGCAGAGAATCAAGGCAAAGTTAGATTTGAGCAGTTTCAACAAAACTAGACGTAATGACTATAATCACGTATCAGCATAAGCATGCCCACCCTCTACACACCCTCTAAAGTTGTATGTGACTGTTGTATGTATTAATGTGTTGGTTTCTCATTGTACCTGGAAGCCAGAAGGACCAGGCTGTCCCTGTTCGCCTCTCTCTCCAGCAGGTCCCTGAAACGGCACAAAGCAATGGTTATTATTTGGTCTAATATTCTTGGTAGCAGTTTATCATTTCTTATCCTTATCACTTCCAAACTATTTAAAAAGTCATACATGTACAGACTTCAGCACACTGCCTCATCAGACACACCTGATTCAGCTCTTCAGCTAATTAGCAAGGTTTCCATGAACTGAATTCAGAGTGTTAGATGAGGGTAAATGCTAATCTCTGCAGCACTTTGGCCTAGCACGTCCCCAGTTTGACATGCCTGCCTCATAACTTTAGTGTGAATGGGAAGAGCTAAACTGCTGTCAACTAAATAGGCAGATTTATGGAAATGCACTGCTTTCTGTGACATCACAGAAAAAAAATAATTCAAAACAGGCTGTATTTGCAGTTTAATTTCCATATATAGACTGAATAGACTGGAGAGTGACTATTCAAACTTTAAAAGTGCTAATACACTTGGTTTTCCACAATGTGGGTCCTTTAAGGACTGATTTTCTAATGTGATTTATTATTATTACTTCTTTAATCTGTGAGCACTGTGATGGCACTGTGTAATGATTCGTTTTTCTCTGTATGTCTTGTTTTAATCAAATATAAATGATAAAGTAAAGCAGTACTTACAGCAGGGCCAGGAGGACCAGCAGGTCCAGTCTCACCATCTTTACCAGACAAACCCTGAAGAAAAACATGGTAAATTTAGGTCTCCTTTTGGTTGTTCATGTCAATTGAATACCACAAGTAACAGAGCTTGAATAAGGATTGCTTACTCTAAGACCAGGGCTGCCAACAAGTCCTTTCTCTCCTGGTTTGCCAGGCTCACCCTACATGAGAAAGACAAATGCAGTGAGACACAAACACTTTAAGCTGACCTCATGAAATATCTGAGGAAATTTGTAGTGTGATTTTAGTGATCTTTAGTGATCCTACATTGGCTCCCTTAGGACCAGGGAATCCCATCACACCAGGTTGTCCACGAGCTCCCTGAGGACCAGGGGGACCAGGACGGCCATCCTCACCAGGGGCACCCTGTCAGGGGGGAAAGAGATTTGTGTTATTTCTATCTCTTTGTGCCCAATAGCTGTGAATGTAATGTGATTATTTACAATAAACTTTGTCATAAGGGGTGTAAAAAGTGCATCAAAGTTATTCTGTGTATCTGATAGTGGCAATTCAACTGCATTGATTTTGGAACGCTATTATCATTACGATTACAATATTTACTCATTTTTTGGCCAAAATCAAATTCTTTGGCTATTTTCAAATGTAAAAATGCTACAAGTATTTTTTTTTCACTCTCTGTATTCCACTACTAATTGAATAGTCCTTCCAGTCACAATTTTAGTAATAATTCTGAATCATACCGAAACAATCTAATCGAGATTTAGTGACACACTCAATCGTTTCTCTAAACAATGAAAGCTGAATTTAATTGTTGTCAGAGATTTACACCCCTAATAAAAAACTTTTACAGACATCTGAGTCATGCATAGTTGAGTTGTTTATTTTTCAAATTATGCCTTCTACCTGTGTCTTTCTTTTAAGCATTTCACCTTTTACAAAAATACTGAATGTAAATATGCTGTGGATGCTGGGACACTCACAGATGGGCCAACTTTTCCTTGGGGTCCAGCATCTCCAGGACGACCAGTAAGACCCTATGAAGGAAAAGAAGAGAAAGAAAAAAAGAAAATTATCAGCAAGCAATTTACATGTGTAATTAATTAGTTTATATGTATATACTAAGAGTATACAAAAGCATGTCTTTTCTTGTGAGTTTATATAAAAAGTGCTTAACAGTGCTAAAAGGTGGCATGTCTTATAAAGAGCTGTCATGAATTTATTCAAATGTTCTAAGACATCTGCTGCAAGGGTGAAATGTATTCTTGTCATCTGAATGACCAAAATCACTGAGCAACTGAATTACTGAATACTGAAGAAGATACAGTCTATATAAACGAATTTTAAGGCAATATGACAATGACTTGTCGGGAAACAATCAATGTGTTTGAAATGGTCCACTAATCACTGTTTCCTACATTGGAAAATCAGAAGCACATTCTAGAGCACTATTATTGAGAACACAATTCAAGATTCAAGTAAACGATTTTGTACACAGTGCATTTTGGCAAGGTAAACTACTGACTGTGGTGCACTGAGGGATTTTACAAGCGTGCACTGGATTAAGCTGGATTAAGCGTGCATTTGGACTTAAATAATGCACTAGACAGTGAACAGGGCAGGGTTCTGGATAAAGCTAAAGATTTAAGTGTCTGTGGCAAAGAAAATTTCTCCAAATAAAGTTTAGTTACTCACTCTGGCTCCAGGAAGACCAGGCTCGCCTGGACGGCCAGGATCTCCAGTACCACCTTTAGGTCCAGTCAACCCAGGAACACCACGATCACCAGGTGCACCCTATTAAAACCACAGAGAGTTGTTCAGCATTCACACTAACTGGTAGATACTGGTAGCAAAATATCAGATATAACTTAAGTGTTCATTAGCTTTCACTCACTTTAGCACCAGCAAGACCATCCTGACCAGGGAATCCACGGTTACCTGGAGCTCCCTAGCAACAAGAAAAAGGGACACCATGCATAATTAGTTATCTGGATATAAAGAGATCATACTGTAATCTAGTTGCACTGATGCTAAATTGTGTAAGTCTGTCAGACTCACTCTCTCTCCAGGAGGTCCAAGAGGGCCAGCGGCACCAGGTTCTCCTCTTGGTCCTCTCTTACCCTCCTCTCCAGATGGGCCTGGAGCTCCCTGGGGTCCTGCTACACCCTGTGTAGAGTAAGCAAAGATGCATGGGTACATATTCTGGAATCTACAAACAACTATTAACCTTGGTTGAAGATTATATTATAGCCAAATGTAGCTGCCACACTCATAAAACTAGATTCAAAGAAGACAGATTCCAAAAAACATATTCCACTGAAACTGACACTAATGATGGCATTGAAAAAAGGATGATGTTGTCAACAATGCTGATGGTGACTAATTAATGATAATAATGACTATAATGATGGTGGAGGTGGTTGTAATGATGAAATGGTGTGGTTAATGATGATTGTCACTTACACGCTCTCCTTTGGGTCCAGCTTCGCCCTTAAATCCTGGGATACCAGGGTCTCCCTGTTAAAAGGCACAGTCTTTTTAATGCCTGAATGAGAATGATCTAGACACATGGCAAAATAAAAGAAACAGATAACATCTTGGTTAATGTGATGAATACTTACACTTTGTCCCTTGGGCCCAAGAGGTCCAGTAGCTCCCTGAGGTCCAGGTGGGCCACGGGGTCCTGGGAAACCTGGGGCACCAGCAATACCAGGAGCACCCTGCAGAGGAACACACCAAAAGTAAGTATGTTTTGCAAGTCCCATATGAACAGTCAGCAGTATTCTATTTCTCACATAACTTCGTGGTTGATGGTTAGTTAATAAGAAACATTCATTATATCACAAATGCTGAAGTGATTTTAAGAGGTGAAGCACCTCAACGACCTGGCTTGCAACTCATTCACTAACACACTCACATACTTCTCGCTCACTCCCTCACTCACTCACTTACTCACTCACTCACTCACTCACTCACTCACTCATGTTTAGCAGACTGAAAATTCTCCACAAGGGGCGCCATTAGCACTCAAATAGCTCTTGATAAAAACTTTGCCTAAGTTTGTTCTTGTTACAGTGCTTGTTTATGTACATACATGCTTATATTCAGTTAACTGTTCAGACAGTAACTTGAAATAAAATGGAAAGACATGGAAAAATATACTCACAGCAGATCCTTTGGCTCCTGGAATACCATCAGTACCAGGGTTACCCTACAAAAAATAAAAACAGATCATAGTTAATTTTGATAACAGAGTAAGTAGTGTCTGTAGTCACTGAACGTTTATGAGTGCAAAACCTTTTAAGACAAGTTGATATGATTGAGTAAATGTGTATACAGTTTCCCTGTTAACAGGTCATACATAAATGTACAGTATCTATGAAGTTTCTGTTGCACTGTCCAGCAATAAAAGTAATAAGAGTAACAGTATGTGAAGCAAGTTTGTTGTTTTTGGCACGATGAACTTTGCTGTATAGAAATTCAGGTTTAGGATGTATAATTCCTGTATGTTTGTTCAGTTCAGCCTGCAAGAAGTTCAAATGTTTGAATTTCTATAGTAGCTTTCAGCAGCTACATTGCCAAAGCATGAGGCTAGAATTATGTTGCTATGTTTTGATGAATAGGATTGTGTTGAAAATTTTGTACATTCAGTCTCTTGTCTTGCACACTGTCTAAGCAGACAAATGCAAGCAAAAAAAGTAAATCGCTATAAAAAATGTCTTTTCACTATGACATTTAGTTCTAACAGCATTTCAAGACAGCCTAGATCGGTCCTGTACATGATCTTGTATAGCTTGTAAAAGACTTTATAAGAACTTGGCATTAGTTTGATCTCATTTTTGTTGCATGAAGTAGGCTTAACACTGGTTTAAATATACATTTCGGCAAATTTACTTACAGCGGCACCAGCAGGTCCAGGTGATCCAGGTGTACCAGCCTCTCCACGGGGTCCTTGTGCTCCCTCAGGTCCGCGAGCTCCAGTGGGACCGGCCTCTCCCTGTAAAATGAAGATTATCAGTTGGAGACTTTTTCTGAACTAACCCAATAAGTACTCTTGTATGCATAGAATAAAAAGCTTATAACAGGTGGCTGAATACACATTCAGGCAACTGACAAGTATGAACTCACCTTGGAACCAGGGGATCCTGGGAAACCTGGGGCACCAGCAGGACCAACAGGACCCTACACATAATATACACAATATACATACAGAATCACTATACAAAATATACCAAAAATATATAATGCACCATCACTAAGGAAACCTTATTAACCAATTCATTCACAAAACGCTGCTCAGGCTAACGCTTTTTACAGTGATGTGTGCAAAATTACTGGTTGCCAACACTAAAGCACCCAAAACCAAAAAAATAATAATTATTACATTACTAAAAGTAAACTGTACTTTAGACTGTAGAGCAGTCAGTTGATAAAGCATACATGATGAATGGTCTATAATGATATTTTGAAGGTAGTACTTACAGGAGGACCAGCAGGGCCAGGAAGACCATCATTACCACGGGCACCCTGCAGGGAGGAAAGACAAGAATAAGCCAAATACAATAATTATGTTTTTAAATCATAATTCTATTTAATAATATATAAACAGAGCCAAGTTTCAGTAATGGAACCACCATAACTCATGCACAGTGTACTTTCCTACAGCACCTGTTGCAGCATCAAGCATTATTTATATGCTCTCTCTGTACAGTAAGTTACATGAAGGCATTCATGCCTGCACACATAACATTCAGGCAGCTAAGTAAAATAGAGCTGTTTTTTTGCTATGACGTTGGGTTTAGACTAAGCTTTAAGCTTTTGAATTGCCCAGAGTCATGTACATTTTACTGGGACATCTTACATAGAATTCTTCACCATATCAGCATCAGTGTCATTATCAGTATGATAATAATCTCAGTCATTTCTCATCATCAAGAGTGAGGTGGCTGATCACTTACAGCAGCTCCAGAGGGTCCAGGACGTCCTCTCTCACCAGGCAGACCACGAGGGCCCTGAAAGACAAAATCAAAAGAAAAGAAACAAACATTAGACATACAGAAGACTATGTGATGACCATTCAATACTGGGTCACCAAGGATACTGTATGGTAAAGTAAATGATGATGTTATGAGGCATAGGTGAAGTCATGACTGGTAATCTCAGTATTTCAGGTCACTGTAACTCACCATTGGTCCAGGAGCGCCATTCTCACCAGGAGCACCAGCCTCACCCTGTAAGAATAAAGGGAAGAAAGATAAATGTGTGAGAGAGTAATTCTTCATACAAAAAACAGTAACACATTAAAATATATCACAATAAAGTTTGTTTATATGTTTAAAAAGCTGATGACATATAACAATTTATTCATTTTCATAAGGTTCTATAGGTGCATTATTGTGGCAAAAGGGAACAAATGTACCTATATTTCCACTGATATATGTTGTATGTATAAATAGGAAAACACATATAGAATGACTGCATTTGTCTGCGTCATGTGAAGCTTGACATATTTTCAAAAACCTATCATGAATGTATAGGCGCCAGCTCCCCCCGCGACCCAGAAGGATAAGTGGCTTAGAAGATTTGTGTGTGTGTGTGTGTGTATTTTGAATGTTGTGTCTGTGAGAATGTGTGAGAGAATGAGAGAATATTAGCTTCATTCTCATGAGACCATCTATAGAAAGGTGGCATCAGTCAGTCTAAACATCTGATGCAGATGTGCGAATGGCACTGTATTGTCCTAATAGAACATGCTTTTAAGGGTGAATCTGAGGGATGTTGTATTTATACCTTTGCTCCAGCAGCTCCAGTCTCTCCTTTGGTGCCATCAATACCTGGGTGTCCCTACAAACACAAATATGTGTCAGTACTGCTCTGTCTTTACACAGATATACACAATGAGAGCTAGTCCTAGACTGCAGAAGCCACAAAGTCTAGAAAAGCGCAGACATAAAATTATGGATATTTATGAAATATTACTCCTGCAATCAGACAGTTTCTTATTTTTCAACTCACTCTGTGTCCCTTGATGCCAGGAAGTCCAGGAGTTCCAGGGAATCCACGAGCTCCCTACCAAACAAGCATACAAAATACAAGACTTTTAAAAAGAGCATACTTAAAACTGACATATTATGGATGCCCTATAACAGAATGGAGACTCTATAACTTAGTATTTAATGCTTCTACTACAAAATGAGGTTCACCTGAGGCCCTGGTGGTCCACGGTCACCAGGCTTTCCGGATTTGCCAGCCTCACCCTAAAGAAGAGGATATGTTAGCAACACGTATAGATCATGTGAAAGCATCAAGAGCATTTGTGTAAATTATGTCCAGATTTGGATTTTGAGTAGGCTACTCACATCACTTCCAGGTTTTCCAGATGGTCCAGGAGGGCCACGGGGTCCAATGGGTCCCTGGTGAAACAGACAGTAATGTGAATATGAATAGCTAAAAACAAATAAAGTGTTATTTCAAGGTGTTGGATGCACTAAAGATGGGCCAGCAAAAGCTCCAGTTTCTGTAAGAAAGGCATGTGGAGGTGTATGTAGGTTTTGTGTTCATGTATTTTGGTTAAACATGTAGTGTCTTGCAGCGTCAGATGGAAAGCAGCCATTTGTGTTACTCACAGCAGTTCCGGGTTCACCAGGCTCTCCGGGGTTGCCTTGGAAACCTTGTGGGCCCTGGATTTTCAACAGATGAGAGTGTGGGGTTACGTGTGGGCATGTACGTAGGAGATACACATTTCAATCAGTGACTCAATCTGAAATTAAAGGACAGCTTTTACCCCCAAATCATCAAGCATCTTCCGTATAATTCACAAACTGACTCATCCCCCCACGCAGTCAATTTAATGGAATTTGATTGTATTGTCCAGTGTACTTCAAAGTTTAATATCTGCGTGTACTGTTTACTATTCAATGTTTCAATATTAGCTGCAGTACTTGCACAGTTTAATGCACAATGGATGTGACAATAAAGCAGACTTGATTTCTGTCCAAACATGCATCCCATGAGCAATGTTATCAAAATTATAACAAGTGTGTAAATTATAATGTGTGGGTGCATATATGTGTACACTTACAGGAGCTCCAGAGGGGCCAGGGGGGCCACGGGGACCCATGGGGCCCTACAAAAAGAGAGAAAAATAAATGAATGCATAGCTTAATAAATGAATAATGTAATTAATGCATAGTTAAACAATAAAACACAAACTCAGTGTACATTTAAGTGATTTACAAAAAATGATGTAATATAAAACAATTTAATATAATAAACTGATTATCTGGAATTCATAGTAAGTTGTTGAACAGTGTAACTGGTTGCCTTTAAGGGAGTTTGTGTAACAGGTGAATTCTGAAAATGGCAATTCTTTTGTTCACCAATAGAGGGCGCAACTGACCAACTAGCCAGCTGATATCTTTTCCTTTGTTAGAGTTGGAGCTACATATAGCATATTTTGGATTATTTAGTTCACATATTAAAAGAGAGAATGTTTTGTATTGTGATGTGCAGGAATCAGTGTAAGCTTTTTCTAGCTAAGGTATTTATCTGGGGCATCCACAGCTAAATCTACACGGAACAGATTTACAGAACAGATTTACAGAACATAGAACAACACAATTTGAAGAAACAGCTGATGAAGGCATTAAGGTGAGTGAGCACCAAAACTGGGTATAGCTGTTTATTCAGTCTCAATCCAGTTCCAGTTCTATTTAAAACACTACTCTCTGCATGTTGTTCTTTGCTGTAGTGCTGTTATTTTTCACTATGGGGGGCATATTTGTTTTTTTTCCCTCTCGAACCAGCAAATAAGAGTTACTCAAACAAACATTAGTGGTTTATTCACTACATTATTATTTACCAGAACTGTCCATAATGAAGTGTGTCTTTCTAGGCAATGGATCTAAGAACCTTTGATCTTCTACACTCACATAGCCTGACTTTAATAACGAAAGATTATCACATGTGGATCATTTTACCAGTAATGATGCTAATGTGTTTATGCTGGAGGTCATCTCACCATTGGTCCTTGCATTACACCCATCTGAACTCCTCCTGCTTTCTCATCAAAACCACCAGCCATCTGAGCTGCAAAATTCTGTAACAGAAAAAACACAGACTTAAAGAAGAGCAGACACTGCAATCTCCTACACTGACCCAAACACTAATTCACTCGCTCTTATGTTCATGTCATTAAGTAACAGACTGGGCAGGAAGAGACAAGAAGAAGAGAAGACAGACAAAACTCACTCCTCCAAGTCCAGGGGGGCTTGGGCCTGGTGGGCCGGGAGGTCCAGGGGGTCCGGGGTTGCCTGGAGTGCCGGGCTCGCCATCTCTTCCTCTGGGGCCTGGACTTCCCTGAGAAACAGAACAGATGAAAAGAAAACAAAGTGGAGAGATTAGCAAAATCCCTTTCACATGACAACATCCTGCTGAGTACTTTCAGTGCCCCCCTCCATCACACTGAGATTACAGAGAATTAGGGCTGACTCATTACTCCGGCTCTCAAGACTGGAAGGGAAACTGTCAGAAAAGCAAACTGTCTTACCTTCTCACCCTTAGCACCTCTCTCTCCGCGTGGGCCCTGCTCTCCAGGTGGTCCCTGAAACAGCAGCCAAGATCAAATGCTTTACCCCCAGTAATAAAATCTCTAAATAAAACTAGCAACTATTCCACACTGTGTCTTTAACTGTAGTTGTTTTAACTCCACAGTGAAGAACTCAGCTAGGGCCTTCCACTACATGCAAGCATCACATAGTTAAGAGAAGCCCCCTGGTGGAGATGTTTGTAACTGCACTTTAGCACTTTGGCAGAATTCACCACATTTAATAGGTTACTGAATTTGCGTTAAATTCATCAGAGGTGTCATACCATGGGGCCAGCGGGTCCTCTTGGTCCTACAACCTGCAGAAACACAAAAGAATAAGAACATGAGTGCAGGACAGTTTCAACCTAGCTAATCAGTAACTACAGCATTTTTCATTTCTGTCAGAATTTAAAAAAGTCTTGTTCTACTTTATATGGCAGAAGAATTTATTTAAATTATGTTCAAAATCGGTTACTTCAATATCAAAATCAAGTCACAATCGCCATAAATATTTGTGTAGAAGAAGAGCAGATTTAGATGGAACTCACATCTGCAATCTCGCCGGGTTCTCCTTTCTGTCCCTGTAATGAATTACAGTGAAAGATTTGAGAGAGATGTCACACAAACCCAGTGTTTTGAATGTTATAGGGTATGGAATAGAATCATTTTAGTAAAAGTTGTGATCTGCAGAATGTATTGTTCATTATATTGCGTTTAATGTTTGTATTAAATCTCTATTCCAGTTACTCAAAAGAAAATAACTTTTTCACTCACCTTTGCACCAATAGTCTCTGTAGTCAGGTAACAGAATGAGAGATGGAAAAAAAGATAATGTTAAAAAACATCAAAATTAATAAAACATTACACAGTTTATAATAATCCTGTAACAATTAAAAAGCAACACCATTAATAGTTCAACCAAGAAACACCGTAGTAACTTTGGAAACTAATGAAAAATCACCATGAAAACAACAGGAAGGTCACACTGGGTCACTAACTATGTGACAACAGAATAATCTGAAATGATTAGAGAAATCAAAAAAGACTGCCCCTCAAAATAAATTGCTAACTGCAGTAATTAGGAAACTCTGGCCTTTAACAATGTCCTTTTCACCCTGACAAAACCAATCAACAACTGCTCCTGGAAGGGACCAAGCAAAAGGGCTCGAAACTGGAAAACCGAACATCGCTGCACTAATTAGTGCACCAAGGCCGCATCATCCTCCAAACCCATTCTGCTGCAGTTAGTTTAGGAAAAGCAATGGTTCAGTTAACAGTTACTGGTACAGCAATTACAGGTAAAGCAATTAAAACATTTCTTGAGCTGCTCATTCTATTTTAGTGTCAGCAAATACAATGAGACACTGCTGAAATGATTAAGCAAAAGCATTATGTTTCACACAGTATGTGTTAATACTGTTGTGTGGATTTTGCCGATGGTGAAACATGATTTGATGAAGTATCTGCATGTAAATGTATCAGTATTCAATTTATCTTTTAAAACCTTTTCATGCACCATGTTTGATTAGGTCTATAAAATGAAAAAGTGCTTTTAAAAACATTGCTGGTTTGACTGAATATACTGAGAGGTGCATCAAAAGCTTTCTTTTGGAAGAACACTTCTCAGTTTTATGCCCTTATTGTAACAAAAGCATTATCAGATTTCAGCTAGAATGTGATTGCTTTTGAAAAGTAACAGAATCAGACTGTTAAGAGTCTATCTTTGAGTCTTTTAGTAGGAGTTATCAAACTGTGTCTGAATCTGCTTGAATTAATCACTTAGCATGTGACTCCATGAGTCAGCAAAAGTGATTCTTTAATAAGCTTTTGAGTCTGATAGATTTGACCGATTTACACTAGTGTCTGAGTTTGGTTTGTTTATAGAGGGGTTATGGAGTTTATTATTTATTAGAAGGGTCCATAAAACCTCTTGCTCAAACAGACTCAGCTGACCAATGTAAATACCAGAGTAAGGCATCTCAAACATATTGATCATTAAATGAAAGTTGTCTCAGCACTGTCCATGATCCACTGATGAACGTAGTATCCAGTCTCCAGCCATAGTATCCAGTCTCTTAATCCGCTGTCTGAATTTGAATTCAAAAGGAGCTGTAATTAAAACATTTTTGTTGTTTGCCAATATTTTTGGAGCTAAACAGGCTCTGAGGTCAAAAAAGTAATAAAAATACTTAAAAGACAGTAGCAAGCTAAAAATATAGAACTTAATGTATGTGGTATGACTGTTCATAGAGTCTAAAATTGTAAACCTACATTTCATCATGCAGTGGATTAGAAGCCCAAACAACATAATTGGCAGTTTTGACTTCATACAATGTGAGTCCAATGACAGGCCGGATTCACTTTGAGAGAGCGTTAAAATAACTCCATAATAAGGAGTACACAAAACTGAAAAAGGCTGAGAAACTTTCATTCAAGACACAAAACTTTGAAGTGTTCTTTCCCCTCCACTTTGACTCTTTGTTTTGAGTTCCAGACTCAGTCATCACAAAACCATAGCCCATCCCACCGAAGAGTATGGGGGTGGAGCTTGGTTAAATGGTAGTTGTGGAGCTCAAAACAGACAGTGTGGAGGTGATGGTGTGTGAAGCAGCTTTGCAGGTGTGTTGAGCAGAGAGAGAGGTGTGAGAGAGCGCGGACCGATGGGCTGGTCGTGATCGGCAGGGCAGATGGGGCAGCACTCTCCAGGTGGGATGATGGGATTGGCGCAATCCCTCAGCTCCTCGCAGATGACCTCATCGCACAGCACCGCCCCTGAGTCGCATACACAGACACGACACGCCTCCGGCTTCCACACAGCACGGTCCTCATAGTGAAGGCCGTCTTGGATACAGCCGCCTAACTCATCCTCTGTAGCCACCAGATGTGTAGGGGTAAGAGAAAGGTCAACACACACATGTTCATGGCATAGTCACCCTCACACACACAAGCTAACCAATCCCACATAAATGATAATTTACATGATTACAATCTAAATTGACTCGTTAAAGGTCTGTATGTGACCCCTTATTTCGACTGCTCACTCTCACAACTACATGTCTCACATATTAGTTTCATAGTAGTTACTGAACAATTCATTGGTGGATAACAAGCCTAGAGTTTAAGAGTTTAATTCTGCCAGGCTACAGATCATGGGTTTATGAGGGCCCTGGGCACATGTACCTCTGTGTTAGGGGGATTTTAATACTTTAAAATTTTTATCATAATACAAATTTGGTTATACACAAACCTATTCAATAACCTTATGTTTACATCTTCAGTGGATTGTCCCTAGTCTTTGAGCCACGTGGTCTGAGGTGCCCCAAGGCCCCTGGCAGTCAGCACCCCCCCGGGGCACTGGCCCCATTGGCCCAGTCAGTAATCCATCCCTAACTGTTACTCATTTGATTGACTATGAATATATTTTGCATGCCATCTTAGAGCTGTCACAATGAATCAACTGAATTAAATTCCTCAATGAAAAATAAAAATATTAAAATTAACCTTCTCAGTAATGATTACAAGGCAAGTTGCATGATGATAATGCATATTGTGAATTCTCCAGCGTGATGGACACTCATATGCATTGAAGCATTTTAAAAGGCTTTCCGATTTATCTTTTTCTGTATTTTGTAATATTTCAAATTCTATGGATTTGTTACTGTTCATTTATTGTTATTGTTTGACCTTTTCTAAAACTCAATAAGTCATCAAAGTAATCTGTAGATTATTCAATTACTAATAATACTGATAGTGACAGCTCTAATGCACATGCAGGTACACAAAGGGGTTTCAGAGTTGACCAAAATTATTAAGCTTAATGTCCACACTGTTTAAAAAAAGGTGCGACAAAGGGTTCTTCGAGCAATTCCATAGATGAACCATTTGAGTTCTCTGAATAACCATGCTAATAAATGAGTAACATTGTCAGTGTGAAGAACTTTTTAAGGGTATAAAGAGCTTTGACATAATGTAACCCGGTTTAAGGGCTCTTCCATGAACATTATGCGGAGGCTGCTCAAACTCATACATCTCATTTACAAAGTTGGTTCTCTAAAGAATCAACCACTGAAGGGTCCTTTAGGGAAGCAAATGTGGTTCTTTGATGGCATCACACAAAGAACCCTTTCTGGCACCTTTAATTTTAAGAGTGCATGACCAGATACACTGTTAAAGTTATGTAGTTTTTTGTGAGACTGAATGACATCAGTGCATGGGAGATGCATATCTTACACCCTACTGTAAAATGTGGGCTTCTGTGGTCTGTCTGTGAGTGAAACTAAATCCTCCATCCACTAACCTGGCCATGAATGGGCCTTTCTCACCAACACAGGGTAGCATTGACGGACTGGTGCCTTAAGCAAACACATCATACTCACAACCTCCATCTGGATCTAATGGTCTCGCCCTCCGCCAGTGCAAACACACCTCTGTGGGTCGCAGGGAGCGACCCTCAGACACAAACACACACATACACATAGCTCTGGGGCTGTTTGTGTTTCAACTGTCGGTATGAAAGAACTTCCATCTTAGATATAAAGTGAATGGCTCATCTGTAGTTGCCTAAGCCATAAAATGTAGGAGCTGAATGAGTCCATCTATAAAATTCCTAAATTGCTCTTGATTCCTGCACTAGGGGTTATATGGGTCCTCCCAAATAACTAGCATAGTAATTAACATTTTCTCCTTGTCTGATTGACTGCAGGCGAGAAGAGCTTAGTGAACATAGGAGGAGGCATCCTAATTAGCTGTGCATGTCAAACCTTATCACTGGAGGCAATAAGGAAAGAGCATGTACGGAACATGTAGTGCACATTTTATACCTCCAACTTATTCATTTATTACTCTCACCCCCAGCTGGTTCTCGTGTCCCTTTGAGCCTGCCAGTCTAATGTTTTCCCTGGTGGGTTTGGTCCCCTCTGACAACATTCCAGAGGTTTTTGCCAAATCTCCAGATCTCATGAACTATGCCCTAACACTGACCAAATAAACCCTATACCTTCTAAACCCCTTTTGAATGTTTGCTGATTGAGCACCATTTGATCCTTCCCAGGACCTGCAGCTAGTCCTAAGCTCTCTCACACATGCATACACAGGTGCACGTGCTAGCATGCCGACTAAGAAGCAAATGGGCAAATACTTCGCCTCCTTGTAGAGATCAGTGACAAATGGTGCTGCAACATCTCATTTGTTAATTTATCACACTAGGAGGTCCTACACTACAATATGACATAAGAGCACAAGATGCCTTCATTTTGTGCCTTGGTCATTACTAGTCCTAATAGCGCTAATTAGCAAATGAGAAATCACACATTTTGTTTTGTTCAGCTAAGTTAAATTAAATTGAGTTGAACAAAATTACATGTGCTGTTTTAACTACGCTAACCAGACCCTAAAGGTTCCTGTGGATTTAGTGCTCTACGTTTACTTTTGGTCAATATCAAAATTTGCAGGCTATTTTTAATCACATCTCATAGAAAACGTTCACTTACTGACTGGATTAAAGTTTTGTATAGTAAAAACACTAAACTATGAAATGTTAGCAACACTCCATTTTCACAAACTCTCACACTGCCTAGAAACTAATTCTTAAATCTAGTTCTCTGGTAAACTCACTACACTGAAAAATAAACTTAAACTTTTTTTTAAACAAATGTTCAGCTCGGCAACACCTTGACCAGACACCTGGTAAGGGTGAAGAGTTTCCTCAGGCCAGGAGAGAAACTTAGGCTGTGTCGAAACCACACACTGAAAAGTATGTCAAATAGAACCACTCTTAGTAGTGCATTCATTAGTTTAGTACGTGGTTTTGGACACAGACCCCAAACTGTTGTTAAATCGACTGCGTTTTTACTGGATCCCGCGATACTACTCTTACAAGGCTACATCTCACATTGCTCCCTACTCCCTATATAGTGCACAAAGTAGTTCATTAAAAAAACTTTTACGGCCAATTACCGCGCTATGTGTACCACAGAGAGATATTTGGCAATCAGCCGCAGACTGAATGAACATATACTGCAAGATTCGGCTGTAAGGGCCATTACTTCAAAGAACTAGGTAGTGCACTATGTAGGGTGCACCAAGCCATTTGAGGTGCAGCCAAAGAGTTTCAGTTACAAAGCGCACGGCGGGTAGCTTTAAGCTAACTCCAGAGAAGAACATCAGTCGTCTGCAAGCTATTATGTCCTGCTTTCACTAAAGAAGGCAGTAATCAACTTCTGATAACTGCGAACTGGGGTCTAATTACACAAAAGTACACAATTTCCACAATCCCAGTGGAACCTGAGTGAACCAAATGGCTTTTGATCCGGTCCAAACTCGCCCCCCACGTCGCCACGGTAACACCAGAAACTTTTTTCTTTTCTCTCTGTTAGCAGAAAAAGACTTCATTTCAATGAAAAAGCTCCAAACTTACGGTCACTCTCCCGTTGGCCTCTGACAACGGCTAGTAAAACAAACTGCGTTGCTGCCAGTAGCAGGACAGTCCGTGAATCCACAAATCTGAACATGTCTAAAAATGAGACATGCAGGTCCGCCGGGTGGAAAAGTCGCCGAGATCGGCGAAGCTGCAGTCAGTGCTCAGGAGTGGGTGAGCAGGCTAGTAGTGTGTGTTGATGGGGAGTTTCTTGGGGAGATCCCGACGGTAGCCCACCGCGTCAGCCCGAGCTCCGCGGTTTTAAGTCTGCAGTGTGCATTTATGAATCTTTAGTATAGTCCACAAAGCTGGGCCGCCCCAGACCCCCACGGGCGCTGAAACATGAGCTTCGCCATCCGCCCCAAACACACCCCATTCAAAAAAAAGGGAAAAAAATCCAGCCGCCCCTCTATCCCAGAAGAATTTCACCCTGAGACATCCCGCCCTCCCTCCTTCCATGCCTCCATCCGCTCCTGCTCTGAGGAGCACATTCACTTTTTCTCTGAGTCTTTACCAGCTTGCTCACTGCATTCTGTATGCCAAAATGGATATTAAATAAATGGTTGAACGAAAAATCCAATTTACACAATTTCCCCCTGCTACCACACATAGTCAGTTGGCCAAGACATCTTTAGTGTCCAAAGTTTGCTTCTTTACTTTTGGACTGAAACTACCAGGATAATTAATTTGTATCCAATGAGGATAATTGACCTAAAAAGTAATGGGTGTCTATGTAACCCCATATCTTTCTTTTTTAACTCCTATTTTATTAGCCCTGCAGATATTTGGACACCAGAGCTAAAGATTTTTTTTTTACTCACACTGTCTCTGACATGATGGCTTATGTCTGTACAGAAACAGAATCTGTCTTGCTAGACCACAGATCTGCAGCAACAGTTACTTGATGAAGAAGTAAGGCCTAGTTATAGCAGTAGTAGTTAGCTAGTTATAGAGCGTGGCAATAGTTATCGAGTACATAATCTCAGGACCAATGATGATGAAGCAAAAGATGGAGCAGTGGGGCAGTTGTAATCTGAGAGCTTGGCCTTCTTTTCCTATAGGAAGACTTTAGGATGCTCTGGGAATTTGCTTAAATTTGGTACAGTTGATTAATGTCTTATTAAAAGTGATCAGAAGGGTAAAAACGAACTAATTGTGTAGCTGAATTGCCATGATTTCAGGTGTGTATTTCATTGTCTGGGTTGTTCAAATATTGGAAATAAGAATACCTTGCTCCTTGTCATAATCTGTTATGGCCTGAAAAACTTCATTTCAACCTCTGATTTCTTTTCATTCCGCTGCTTCTTTAATGTCTGAAGAACCATGACAATATGGTCAGATGGGTGGTTACATTTAAAGAATTCCAAAAAAATGGTGTTTAATGGTGATTTCTAGCTTCAACATTCTTTGCACATTTGAATAAGGCATGAAATCAAGAACTAAGATCATGTACAACAAAAGGATTCCTCTTTTGGATTTAGGGAACCCTCCTGTTCCAGGGCCGTTTTGAATAGGGCTGCTTTTTTAGGACCCTTTCAGACAGTTTTACTTTGTTCTGTGCCATCCAAGTGGAGCATCAAGTCTTAATCTTGCTGTCTGCAGGCAGAACATCAGTATCTCTGCCAACTTTCACTGGAAACTGTTGACTGCTGAAGACAAATCACATTTTCAACATAGCAGCAACCCAGGTGGGACAATCCCCAGCTCTGGAGGCTGATGCCTTATCCATTAGGCCACTGGGTCATGTGAATGCTGCTTCTTTACTGTTCTTGTCAGTGCCTAAATAAGAGGCTTGCACAGTCCCAGAAATAAATAGCGTAAGAATGAGAGTGGTTCCACAAGAAATCTGCACATAAACTAGGCAAAAACAAATCATAAAAACAAGTCAGCAGACCCTCAGGTAGATCAGGATGCTTTCTGTTCGAGCAAAAATACGATTATAGAACCCAAATGGCTTCCACAGAAAGAATGTTTACTCCTTTGGCACCAGCTGTAGTTAACAACTGTTACAGCCCTGAAAACAAATATCAAGGCAGACTCTGCACTTTCTATACATCACATTGTTCCAAATCTCAGTAAACTCTATTAACCATTTGAACCCTAGGGTTACTATTCTGTGATTACAGTACATAAAAAAGGTTTCTGTGACAGCAATACCAGAGCTTCTTAGTGCTATATAGAGCCATTTTTAAATGTTCTTTAAAGAACCATGCACAACAGGTTTTTCATAATGGACCATTTAACCATGCAAAGAATCATTCAAATAGTTCTTTGAGTTGTCACGGTTCTATATATAACCTTTGTCTTTACTAAGGAACCCTTGAAGAACCCCTTGTTAAGGATGAACTGTGAAGCTACTATGTAAGTTATGTAGTTATGAGAGTGAAGAACTAAAGTGTGGACCCACATAAGGACTCTTTTAGACAAGGCTGCCCAAAGTGTGTCCTGCAGGCCAAAGTTGGGACACTCGACAGGTACCTTACCCCGACCCTCTCACTCAGACATATTTTATACTTTATGTAGCTTATGACACTCTGTATTTTCCTATCTGTTTGTCTTTTTTGGCCCTCAGTCCACCACGACCACTGTTCTTTGGCCTCCAAAGACAGAAAGATGGGGCACCCATGCTTTTAAGGTTTATGGGTGTATCTTTAAGAGTAGCAATGTGAATGCACTACTTATGACCTCAAGGCATTTGTATGACTTAAACTTCTAGCTGACATTTGTAGAGCATTTCACATCAATATAACAAATGCATGCAAAATAGTCCTGTTCTTCCAACAGTTCCTTCTCTTCATCCAATCACAATAAAACATCAGACATATCAGTTGTCATACTGTGGGAAAAAAGAACTTTGGTGCCTGAGGGAACAGGAGATCAAAATAAAGGGAGCAAGGGAGAGCCAGGGATGAAAAGAGAGGAAAAAACATCCAGGAACAAGACTATTGGAATTCCGGCCTCCGTATGAGACATCCTGTGTATGCAGATGAGCAAGTGAACAAGCAGTGTGTGTGTGTATGTGTGTGTGTATACACTTGGGTGTCTGTGGTGTGTGCAAAATCATTGACCGATCTGTGTGTCTTTATAAATGGATAAAGTATCTGCACTGATAGATGTAAATGTGTGCGCGCTTGTCTTAGTGTGTGTGTGTAGTGTATGTCTGCACTGATATACCTAAATGTGTGTGTGTGGTGTGTCTGCACTGATGTACCTGAATGTGTGTGTTACTGTGTGTGTGTGTGAAGTGAGTTCTAACTGTGTACTCTGTCCTACACACACAATGCGGCTCTGTGTGAAGGCCTGAGGAATGTGTGAGTGCGCTGGGCAGTGGGGGAGCGGAGCCGCGGGTGTAGGTGGAGGGCGGGTGAGGAAAGGTAGAGGATGGAGGCAGGAGAGGAGGGGTGGCAGGAACACGGCGAGGCTCCAGGGGTGTGTAGGGTGGCTGGGTTGCTCAGACTGGACGATGGTGAAATTTACAGGTTGGCAAGAGAGCTCAGATCAGCACCAACCCACTGACCACAAGCTCTGCTAATAAAAGGCATGACCATGCCCAGTGCATTGGTATAATTTTAATACCTTTTCTAGAAAGGTACATTCATGAAGACCTGACCATGGAAACTAGACAAAGAAGGCAATTACATTTAAAGAGTTCCAAGAATTGTGGCACATAAGACTGATCTATAGGCTTCCACTCTTTTTTCATGCTTAGAAATAAAGGTGACAAAAAGGAACAGTGCCATAGAAGAGCCACTTTTGGTTCCCTAAATCAGGGGTTCCCAAACTTCATCATTCCAGGATCCACATATACAGGTGGCGTTTGAGACCCACCAAATATTTTATGAAGTGGAACAAGACATAAAATTGACAAAAGTCTTTAAGCCCTTAAGCTATCAGTCTACTTTTACTTAAAATATATAGTTCTTTAATTCAACAAACACAATAGCATACCATCACATAAAAATGAAAAATATGCTTTGATTCAGCTTTCTCGCGACCCACTCCTCGCCATACTGTGACCCATGAGTGGGTCATGACCCACTGTTTGAAAATCCAATGGAAGGTTCTTTAAAGAAGTTTTTTTAGAAATGAGATGTATGAAGGTGAAGAACCTTTTAAAGAACTCCCACATATTGTAGATTCAGTGGAAACATATATGGTTTCTACTGAAAACCTTTATTGGTAATTGAATCAACAGGATCTTTTGATGCTTCTTTGTATATTCAGATCCCAAAATGTATTATTTAGTAGCTACCTTGACAGCAGAGCAAAAAATTAGGTTATTAGTGTTTTATAATATTTATAAGAGTGAGCTATGGAGCTTTGGACCCACAGATCCTTGGAGTTTAAGAGCTACATTGGTATGCAAAAGTTTGTGCACCCCGTTCTTTGAGTTTCTAAGTGAAAATAAGTAAACACGTCCCCTACAGAGAACACACTTCTGCACACATTAATGCACAATTACTCTTTAAAAAAAACATGAAATGTGTCCTGTGCAAAAGTTATAGCACATTTAACTTTTCATCTTTTCTTTTTTCCCATTATCTTAAACTTTGCAAATAACTAGAAACTGTGCCCTGTAAGGAATGTGTTAATTTACTTTCACTTAGAAAATCAACAAAACATGTAATTTGACTTGGAGTGTTCAAACATTCGGATATGACTGCATACTTGATACAAAAATACATATATGCTGTTGAAAATACTATCATAATACAGTATAACAAGCTGTATGGTAATGTTTAATCACATGTGCTCACTTTGTTGATGTTACAGTCTGTGGAGAGAGGAAACAGCGCTGAGTGCCTGAAACTACTTTCTCTTGAAGTTGATTAGACTGTAATAAACAACATGTTTATCCACCCACCTCTCTAACAGCAAAACATAGATTTCCTTATTCTTGCTCTTATAACACTCACTAGACAACTAAATGGCTTGGGGGTGAATAGACTTTGACAAAAGGGCTCTAATTCTAAATATAAATCAGGACATTTCCAATTCTGCTTTTTGAGAAAATACGCAAAATACCACCACAAACATCCAAAGACCTTAATGATCCTAAGGTGTGCAAATAAAGCTATAGTAATTACTCTAGATAGAGAGACTTTGGAGCTCTCTCTCTCTCTCTCTCTCTCTCTCACACACACACAAACACATAATGATTACTTAGACAAAACAAAGCAAACAGTTCACAAGGACCCTGCATTCTTAGCAGCCCTTTGGCACACATTTAAGGGGGAGAGAGTAAGCCCTGTGAACTGCCATGAGAAAGTGACCCAATTTCTAAACAAGACTCCAACAGCCTTGCTAAATGCTGAACATGCCTTAAGAATCCAGAAAAGCCACTAAAGCCTCCGAGTTGTCAATACGCAATTAATTTGCAATTGTCTCCTGAATATACATTCCATTATATCGTTATACTGTAACAGCTGCAGAGCAGATGTAGCTTTATTGTAGAGTAATTAGTGCATCTACTGATGTGACTAGGCCTACACGTTCACCTGCAGAGATTTAATGTGAATGCAATGTCAGATTATAGAATTTGTCAGTAATTTAAAGTTTCATGATTCTTTCTACGAGTGTAAAAGTCATACAAATACAAAGTCTGGACGAGGGAGAGATCAGAGAACGCAGGGCGAGGTAGTGGAGAGGAAGATGGAGGGAGAGAAGGGGGTCTAAGATGGCGCAGGCGGACAAAGCCAGCATTCATGGCATAGAGGAGGAATGAAAAACATTCTCCTTCTCAAGACGCATGGTCATCAGTAGGGCATGGGTTAGGATGTATGTGTGTGTGTCAGTGTGTTCATGTGTGTGTATGTGTGCATATGTACCACCAGTGGCGGATATGACACGGAGGAAACGTATGTTTGATCTGATAATAAGAGGGTGTAATATGACCCAGGGCTTTGGTGTAAAGATGCCCTCCACCCAATAACTACCAGCTGTGGTAAGGAGAGGAGCAATTTAAGGCAAAGAAGCTTACATTCTTTAGCTAACTTACTACCTGTAAGGTAGACTTAATTCATTGTCCAATTGAGCTTCGAATCTAGACCTTAAATCCAATCTCTGGACCTGGAGGGTACAGTACTGTGCATAAGTCAGGGACCACTCTTCATTTATTTAATTTCCATTCAAATTGCAATAATTTTTAAGAGATACTTCTGAGATTAGATACAAGACAATCCACTTACATAAGACATAGAAGAAATGGGACTCCTAACAACTGTGCAAGTCCTGGTAGACCAACAAAATGTTCACAAACAGATAAACAGCACTTAAAGCTTTCATCTTTCAGAAATAGAAGAAAATTAAGCTCCACTCTTGCTTCAGATCTGAAATAATCCACAGGTGTTTCTGTTCATGATTCCACTTGACAAGAAAACACAGCGCTGTGTATCTGAAACAAGGCATAGATGTCAAGAAGCAAACAAAAAAGGAAGAAAACTTGCTGATCAAACAAATAAGCTGCTGGTGTTCACAAAACAATGGATTGGCCACCCAGATCTCAACCATATTGAATGTGTTTGGGATTACTTGGATTGTGAGAAGCAGAAATTGCAACCAACGTTGGAGACTGAACTAGACAAATGTCCCTGCAGATTTCTTTGCAAGTCTCCTTAAAACATAGGAAACTGTAATAAAGGCAAAAGGTGGATGCACTGAATACTGAAAAAAGTACTATATACATACATGAAAAATAAATAACTTGTACTTATCAACCCTTTTGACAGGAATTAAATACAAAAAGGGCTTGTCTTTGACTTTTACAGGGTACTGTATGACACTAGAAGGCCAACCAGTTGCAACAACAGTTCAGTTAACTGCCAGTTAATGCAAAATAAAGGACCAGAAACTTGATTCAAGGTCTGGATTTCAAGACCTCTGATTTAGATGCCCTTTGCCCAGTCTTTTGAATATGAAGCTGACTTTCTCTCTCTCTCTGTCTCGTCATCACACTTATTGACTCATACAGGCCCTATAGGTAGTACTCAATACCCAGACACCACTATACTATCAGTAGGGCAGGTGCCATTTTTTCTGATTCTCAAAGAGACTAACTGAGGCTGTTGGTCATTCTGAATGGCATAGGTCCTGCACTGGTCTTTGGCTGTGGAGAAGTGTGGCTTATCTGCGTCACTTGCTGTACCTCTAATGGGTTACTGTGAATCGAGCACTCGCTGGACGTCAGTGGGTGCAGAGCGCCCCCTAAAGGACAAACCAAGACTAAGATAGAACACTTCTGACCTAGGATTGCAATGTGGGAAACAGATTCAGACTTCCTAGTGGCAAAAATAATCATCTTAAGCTCCAAAATCACATGTTCAATTATCAGTTTGTAATTTTATTCCAGCTACCATGTTGGTGAGCTCATGTTATCAGGCATCCAATTAACTATGCTGATCAGAATAGCAAATGCTAATAAATATATCATAAACACCAACTTTGCAAATGCTTCATAGGTCTAGTGATAACAGTTCACAATACATCAGAGTGGACTAAAACGATGTAGTTATGTTTTTGTCCACTGGGGGGTGTTGTTCAAGCACCTTCACAATTTTATGAGAGCCACTCACTACTAAGGAAAACAGATCAGGCCTATAAGATGCTTAGGGTGGCCCTGATTGCCTTTGTGCACATGTTTAAGCTCAAACCTGATGGAAAATGTAAAGCAGTAGAAATATAGGAATTTAGTGTCCATACTGTTTGGAGGAACCACATCCAGGTCTGCAGTGTCTGCAGTTGCCAAGTTGCTTTGAGAATTCCCTTCGTCTCAGTAAGGGCGTCCCCAGTGACTCCTTCAAGACTTTGTTTGGGCTCCAAGGGTAACCTGGTGTGCAGCTCTGAGGACATGGATCCCTCTCTCCCAGCAACCTCTATAATCTAGCAGACAAATATAAAGGTGCCAAAAAGGGGTCTTTAAAGGAGTGACATAGAAGACCTCCTTTTGGCTTCAACGGATAATTCTTTAAGTAATCATTTTTGTCTTGAAATAGCTATTTTAATGAATGACACATTGTGTCAATGACACATTTTCTTCACAAGTGTGAAGAAATGTTTTCAAACTTAAGAACCTCCATAAAATGTTTCCATATCTGAGTTCCCAGAATGTGTCTTAGGGGCCGAAGTACATTTGTGGTGGGCTTGGGGGCCAAAAAGGCAAAACAGTAAAAAAAAAGGTATCTGGGTTTAAAATAATGTTTTTAAAATGTATTTTATAACATTGTACTATGTTTTGTTACTAAAAGTCTTCAAATACATAATTTTAAAAGGAAAATGAGAATTTAATAAGGTATATGTAGTATAAAATATGTTTGTTCTCTCATTGAGGAGGGAATGTTAGGGAGAATAACTTTCTGCTGGGCAAAATCAAACATTCTTACGGGTCAAATTTTGGCCCAGGGGCCACACTTTGGGTGGCCTTAGTCTGTACTAATTAAACATTTTCCTTGTATCCAAATGTCTACACTAAGAACCATTTAGGAATCTTTACTATATATTTTTAAAGTGCAGTTGGATGCTTGAAGGCCTGGCCTGGACATCCTGCTAAAAAGTGGCCAGGAACTGTGTGAACGCTTTTGATCTTCCTCTGAAATTTGTGCCCTGATTACACAGAATTTCAAAGAGCTTCGCACACCCAAGTCATACACTTGAATAGGATCACTGTTCATTTATGCTGACCTCCTTACATTGAAAGAATTATGGACACAGCAGTCAACCCTGATAGAAGAGCCATCATGGTAGATGGCTGGATTAAAGCTTTACAATAACTGCCCTATGTTCTCTGTGTTCTTTGCTGGATTGCGATGACCTCAGCCCTCGACACGCTTGCGTAGATGAGAAATTGCCTCATGTGCTTGCAACACCAACACAAATAATATCACCTGAGTAGACCTCGAGGCACACCAAAGTGGTCATGGCCTTTGAGAACCACCTGCATATACATTGCTAGAAGATTTTGTCTTGAGCTAAAGGTTCTTGTTTTTTTTACCTAGTTATGGAAATCCAGGAACAGTTTAATTTAACAAATTATTTTAATTTGTTCTTTGTTCAATCAAGCCCAAATTAGACACTTCTAAATGGTTTATTCACTATGTATTAAGATATATTCATTATAGCCTGTGTTATGAAACTAATATTTACTTTATTAATTATAGTAATGCACAACTCTTTAAATCTTTATAAACATATTTAATATATATAAAATAAATCACAATATGTGTTCCATAATCTAAATTAGTTGAAGTGACCACTTATTAGAAGCAAAAAGACAATTTGTCATTTATTAACTCATAAAGTGTAAATTAAAATTAATGACATTAATCCATGCTCAATAATTTGCATAATAAAATCTTAACAAATAATACAATTATTAGTCATTTTCACATGAAAGACATATACCTCAGTTAAGTCCCAATGAGATAAACACAAATTGTTACCAACTTTGTTTTGTGGACTGATGAGTCTAAATTGGTAATAAAATTGATTCATTTGGATCATGAGAAGCAAAAAACCTCAAACCTGAAGGCTGAACTTGGAAGTGTGGAAAAATATCCCTGCAACTGACTCCTTAAATACTAAAAAAAGTTATATTATAGAGGCTTCTGTGTAGTTGTCTGTTAAATGTATGCTTTTTTACTTTTTTTTCTCTGACAAAAACAAATTGTAACTTGTACTAAATGGCCATTTTGAGTAGAAATTAAATAAATGATGGGTGGTCTCTGCAAATACTGTATATGTGCTTGAATAGTCCTTCAAGCACAGGTGTGGGTTCAGCCATTTACAGTGAAGCCTCTCCTTAGCTTAGCTCAGCTGGTATCGTGCCTAGGGAGAGTAAAACTGTCACCTGTTGCCAACTTTGGGAGCTGATCGAGTCTCAGCGTGGCTGCTCATTGGCTCAAACGTGCTGTAACTGCAACCACCTCCCCCACATTTCCCAACTCAACTTCCAGCGTGTCCTCATGACAAGAGCTGCCGGTTACATTTGTCAACAGTGCAGAACTGTCTGGTGACTGGAAGGTGCTAGAAAGAAACATAAGGGAAGAGACTGTGAGCTAAGCACTGGACAGGCCACTAAGAAATTTTATTCCTGATAGCTACAGGCATATCTAGTAGGCTTTCCTTTTTTGTGTGCCGGTATTTTCTGACCAATGATGCACTGTCTGAAGCACTTAGGAACGTCCAGTGTGGGAAAGCTGCTGGTTAAGCAAGCGGGGAAATGGACGAGAGCTGGAGGCAACGGTGGACATTTGTTTCAATGGCAGCTTGTTCAGCTGCTGCGAACGAGCGCAGTGTCACCTATGCAGCATCCACACCAACAACATGTGGTCCAGGATACCGATACAGAGGTGGAAAGGTAAGAAGAAAACATTAGACAGCTTCCATATCATATACTGTTACAATTTGTAATGTTAACTGGGAAATATTTCATTCACTTTAAACTGCAGGCTTATTATTCAGTTGTTAACTCCATAAATGGCCAGGATACAGACCTAAACTTTTGTTATGCACTACTATAACTTCAGAATACCACAGTTTGCATTATGGTCTATGTAACTGCTGAATAATAAGCCTTATGATGTAATAAGGTTGTGATATAATAAGGGGTAATAATTGTTAATCTTAAGGCTTATTATTCAGTGTTACATTAACACCTAAGTGCTAAAGTCCAGCTGTACACAAATATACAGTGTAAGAGTTAAAGGTAAATTCCATTTCTGCATAATTTAATAGTTAAGACATAAACAAAGTTGTTCAGAGTGATTTGATGTGAAATGTTCCATTCTAAAGAAACTTACAGAGTCAAAATTGTTGACACTGGTGGTGACAGGATCCAGAAGTCGGAAGCATTTAATGCCTCTAAAAGCTACCTCACAGAAAGTTATTACCTGAAATGATTATGAATACACTGTCTGATGCCTAAAACATTGTTTTATTATACTTTCGAGATAAGCTTTTGGCCTAAAATTTATATTTTTTAAATACATGGAAAAGAGGTACATGCAGGGTGTAAGGAAAAATAGCACCCAATAGTAACTTATTTCTTCAGATTTAACATTATCAACATAACCTATAAAAATAACTATAAAAGACACATATAATTTCATTTGTTGTTTTGGATAGTACAGTGGTTCCCAAATTTCTACAGTCCTGCACTCCCTCAGGCATTGAACTTCCTGCTGAGTAATCCCTCTCTGTCATACACATACACGCACACACGTGTAAATTGCCATGATGCATATGTAAGAGATTTAGACCTCTAAATAAATAAATAAATAAATAAATAAATCATTATCAAAAGAAAACCTTGCATCTCCAAAATGCTAACTTTACAGGAGAAGGATAAAAACTACTTTACTTTTAATGTAAGTCAATGGAACCAGACTTTTTTACAAGTTATTTAGGGCCATTTCTTTTAGTCAATTCATAATGAAATATACGTACAATGTAAAGGGTAACAGGTATTTTCAATTATGTCAAAAACTGAAAAATGACAAAAATGGAGATACAAGGTTCTCTTCCAACGACAGCGATATCTACATCAATATGTATTATTGAAGAAATAATTTCTTTCTTCTTTTGCAATAAAATCAGTTGTGCTTTTCTTTATTCTGGTTTTGTTAGGAAGGGAACATTGACTGGGCTGGAAGATCTACTGTTTTACACAATTACTCAAGGAGAGGAGAAGATTTCTGTGGCTCGCTTCATCAGCGTATGTACAACTAACAATGTTGTGCCACATTATGAAACAGTGATTCATAGGTCACACTGGACCTTAGTGAATGTAGAGGCCATAGGTGATGGAACATGTTCTACTGTGAACATGTTGTGCACTGCCTCACATTCTCTAAACGAAGACATGCACACACACATACACTGTGCCAAAGTCTTAGACACCAAACCATATTTAAATAATTTATCTTGGCAATGAGTGTGTTTTTGCTTGTACATACATATTTAATTGGATATATATTAAACTCAAATGACCATAATGTACTGTAAAAATTAACAAGAATTTATTATTTTGAAAAAAAGTAGTTGATAAGATGTAAGCTAGAACAAAATCTGGGTCCAAATCTCTCCTGGAAATCCACAGCCATCACATAGATTTATTAAATTCCAACACCAGTAGACTTGACTTACTAAAGTATTGTTTAACTAAACCAGATATTGATAACTACTGGTAATACTGGGTATGCCACAAGGAGAAGTTTGTTAAGGGTTAAAGAAAACCCTGACATACATAAAATCACTACTTATTGTATTCATTTTCAATTCCTTTTTAAATCTAATCTTCTCAGGTGACTAAAACTTTTGCACAATACTGCACATGTCCAGGATAGTTGTGTGTGAGTGTGAGAGTTATAGTCAAGGGTGTATAGGCAAGTGCGCTGTCTGTGCACATGCCACCCAGAAATAGACCCACTGCTGCGTGATCTCACTCCAGTACATACACACACACCCATACATGCCACATTCATTACTAAGAACTTTCTGGGTTTCCACGTGCTTTTGTCCTATGATTGAATTGGCTTTGATGATACTTTTTTGTTGCTCTCATGAATAAAGTTTCAAATGATTTTTTGAGTCATCTTAATTTTAATTAACATAATGAGGAAGTTCTAACTTGAAACACTTGCAATACTCACATGCAGGACCCTCCACATTTGGCAGAAACTCTGTATAGACAACTGTTTCAAAGTTTGAAGAGTGTTCAAATGTTTGGAATCAGTGTTTAAAATTTGAGAATTAATGTTCACAAGTTTGGAATCACATTTCAAAGTTTGGAATCTGTGTTCAAAAGACTGAAATCAGCATTCTCAAGTTTGGAAGCAGAGTTCAAATGTTTGAAATCAGTAGTTTGGAAACAGTGGTCAATATTTTTACTGATATAAAAGAATACAGTGCCATATAAAATATAAAATAATTGCAATATGTTAGTCCTGTGCAATTTCACAACTTCATGCGATTACAAGTAATTTTAGAAATAATACTAATGAATTGGAAGCTTTAAAAATTAGACATTTTAGACTCAGAGTTTGGCACATCACTAATAGACATCTAGTCATCTCTTATGTCCTCAAATGTTGCACGTATTTTTATTATCAGGATCATTTTATGTGTGTTTGTGTGTTTCTCAGGCACTGAAGAGCACAGGATTGTTGACCTCAGACCCTCGACTCAAGGACTGCATGTACCAGCTTCACCAGGCAGTGTACGAGTCTGCTGGTACAGCAGTGATGGATCAGGAACTCTTCAGAAAGTATGTGTGTTTGTGTCTATTTAGGGCTGCATAATGTACTGTTTGGTAATTGTTATTGTGATCTACTGATAATGCAGAAGGCTGAAATATGCAAATGAGTCCTCTGACAGTGATATGAGCGTCCTGACCAATCACAGTCCTATATCAAGATATCCATTTAATCGAAAAAAAAAGATAATTTGGTCAAAAATGCAGACAAATATTAATTAATTCACCAAAGTGTTTTAATACAGTGTAAGGTGTATTGCAATCACAATATGTAGCAATATAATCACAAAACTAGAATTTTGTCCATATCGTTTAACATTTATTCCAAATTATTCCACATTATTTACACCATTTTTTTTATTTTAAATTAATCATTTATTTTCAGTCTGTAATTTGGATAACAGGGGTCTATTTTCAAAGTGACCGTTTCATAGGAGTGAATGTGTTCATGTGACAGGTTTCAGTGAATGTTGTAGGACACAACCCAAAAAAATATACATTTATATAACCTATAATGGATGACTCATGAAAAAAGAATGTTTCCAGAATTAAATGTTAAATGGATTTCCACATTAATGCAAAAGTAATATGATTCTGAAGTATTATAATGATTTTATTAAACTGTAGATTGAATGCATATTAAAGATGTTCTTATATTAGGCTGCAAGAGGCAAAAGTGCTGTAGATTTTAGTAAATGTTTGAGTCATTTTACATGCACATAGGTTGTTTTGAAGGACACTTCATCTATATTTAAAATGTCTTCTACTTCAAATGCAGATTTTTAAATGTAATATCGCACAAATACCTATTTGTAGAATCAACCATTTGCAGTTAAACAATTAAAAAATCTGGGAGTGCTGCAGCCGCCTCAGTATGCCCAGTTCCCACGTTCCTGTGTTAAGGAGAGTAAGTTTGCATGCTTTTCCATACAGTAGGGCACAGTTACTCAACAGTCAGATATCCTATACAGGTTACTAAAAATTAACATGAGATTGACAGGATCTGAAGTTTTATTACACGCAGCTGTTGTTGCACTCGCCCACACACAGACAATCACATGTGCACCATACACATAGTCTCAGAAATATAAGTACACTACATCATCCGACTTCTTGTGCTTTCATTCCAACAAGTATTGAGTCATCTTGTTTTGCATACACGTATGTATGTGTTTTGGCACAGAATGATATGGGCCACAGTTAAGCCATATTAACTGGTAACAGGATGCTTGTTCTCTCCCCTGAGCCCATGAGGGTAATAAAATATAAGTGTTATCTAACAGGGAGCACCACTTTCAGTCATGAACGCTATGTGGTGGCTTCACAGACGGAGATTAAACCAAACCTGTATTACATTTTCTACATTTTCAATGTAGAATCTCCACTCAGAATGTTGTGTAGTCTAGGACTAGGCTTAGTCCTTGATCAAAGACCAAGCATTGATTCATCGACCCTCTAAAATCTCAAGCTTTATACATACTAACGCTTATTATTCAGTAACTACGGAGACTTCAGTGCAAACTGGCTGAGCTATTCTTAGGTTATAGAAGTGTGTAATAAAACTTTGGGCCTACCTGTGGGCCCTGGCCTTTTAAGGGTTAAGAAATGTTTTGCCAGTATTTATCAGTTGGGCCACAGTGACATCTGTGAGTTTGTGTGTGTGTTTGTTTTAGTACATTTTCTGGTCAAAAATAATCCAACCAGAGAAAAGCAGGGACAACCTACACTGTCAGGCACTGATGTGCCTTTTATAATGGAAAAGGCACATTTATTTCTTTTTGGTTACTTGGGTTAAGACTAAGGTTTAGTTTAGGGTTAGGCTTAAAGGTGAATTCCACCATTTTTTTTTATTTCTGCATCATTCATTTATTGAGATAAACAATGTAATTCAGAATGGTTTGATGTGAAATTTTTCACTGAAAAGAAACTTACCAATGTCTACAAGGCAAATATAGCCATTATATTTACTATCCAAAATGACCAGTGAACCTACATGTGTCATCTGAGTTTATGTATGTGATGCTGATAATGGTAAAGTAGTGGTAAATTCTGAAAAATATGTTTTGTTTGGGTACAATTTCGCCTTATAATGCCCAGCATGTACCTTCATGAGTGTATTTTTTTCACCAAAAATAAGGTCAAAACCTTAGTTCCTATCACCACCAGTGTAAACAATTCTGACTCTGTAAGTTTCTGTAGAACAGCACGTTGCACATCAAACCACTCTGAATTTATTTGTTTACATCTTAATGATTTAATTACGCAGAATTATTGAAAACATTCCCTTTAATTATTGTTACATTCAGGTAGCTACATATCCACAGTACTGTGCAAAAGTCTTAGGCACCTGAGAAAATGAGATTTAAAAAGACATTGAATTGGGCAATAAGCAAGACTGCTGTTGTAATTTCTACAAAATTCACACTTTACCTCTCTGTTGCTGGTTTGCAGTTTACCTTATGTAAGTTTTCTGTTAATATGTTTCATGAAAAATTCACTTTTTGAAATAAATACAAATAAAATTCAATAAATACATAGTAAATACAAATAACATAAATACAATAAATAGTAATTTTGTATTTGTCAAGATGTTTACTTAACCATTTCCAAACCTCTCCTTGAGGAAGTCCAGTATTAATAGTTATCATCCATCCTGGTTTAGCTAATCAAAGCTTCATTATATTAAATCAGGTGTGCTGATATTGGAATTATACAAACTAAACTTATTTTACTAGCTAACAAGAGATCAATTGCAGTTTTGAAAACAATACATTCTTGTACTTTTTACTGCAGCAATGCTTTTTTGCAATTATTCTGTTACATGGTGTTTATACTAGCAAGAAGACACTTCTTGTCAAGATAAATGGTTTTAAAGAAATTTGCTTAGTTGTCAAAGACTTTTGCACATTACATATGGTACATATAGTATGTATAACCCTAGATTCTAATATTATATAAAAACAAACCTGTGAGTTTAAACCTATTTGTTTTTGTTGTAGATGTGTGGGCAGCAATATTGTGCTGCTTACTCAAGCTTTCCAGAAGAGGTTCATTATCCCAGACTTCATGACCTTTGCATCTAGTATTGACCAGCTGTACTACGACGCACAAACACTGCAAGAAGGCAAGGTAAGCTCACAATACACACGTCTCATTTTATCTCTCTCATAAAACAAGCTTACCGTGGCTGTGTGTGTGTCTTTCTGTGTATTAATGCACAGGTTTCAGACTACATCCCTCAACTGGCTAAATTCAACCCTGACCTGTGGGGCGTGTCTTTGTGTACAGTCGACGGTCAGAGGTGATTTTATATGTCTATGCAATTTATCATTGGTGCACATCATTACTATGTCTTTGTCTTCTTCCTATGAGATGCTTAAACTATATCTATGTCTGTCTCTTTCTCTCTCTCTCTTTCTCTCTCTCTCTCTCTCTCTAGGCACTCTGTGGGAGACACACAGGTGCCGTTCTGTTTGCAGTCGTGTGTAAAGCCACTCGAATACGCTCTGGCTATCAATGAATTAGGGTCCGAACATGTGCATAAATATGTGGGAAAAGAGCCCAGTGGCCTCAAATTTAACAAACTAAGTCTAAACGAGGATGGTAAGAAACTGACCTTTCATTTCTGTACACTACTAATAAAATGTTTGCATGCATCTTCTGGAACTTTATAACAGTTTTTTAACATCATAGTTGTTTTTAAAACCCCTTAAATGGCCAGGACCTGCAGGCAGGCCTAAACCTTATTTACTTTATACCTTTCAAAAACTTAAGAAAAGCTCAGCTGATTAGCATTAAAGGCCAATGAGTCACTGAATAATAAATTTTCTGATGTAAAAGCTTGGCTGTATAGAGTGCATTTACAGAAAAATGTTACAATCAAATAAAGATTATTATAATGAAGTATAAAGTGCTTAGAGACAGGTTTATCTAGTTTGAAAAAAAAAGTCAGTATTAAGGCACATTTTTCCTTGTTCATTTCATTGTCAGTTATTCACAGGAAAGAGGATATAATACATAATCCTCTTAATTAAAGCTTTGGAAATCCATGGCAGATAGGAAGACTGATTATCAGGCCATTACTGACATGGCAAACATGTCTCCAGCAGAGTAGTCTAGTTTCTAAATTCAGTCTGATATCATTTCTCTTTCTTTCCCCAGTGGAGCTCTGCATCCATGCTCAATGAACTCTTACTTATGTAACCTTACAATTATAAGCTCCAGTTCTGTTGTTTGTAGTTGTTTAGTATGTGTTTGGATTATACTCACTTGTGTATTTTTCTTATCAGACAAGCCTCATAACCCCATGATGAACGCAGGGGCCATCGTCATCAGCTCTCTTCTGAAGGTGAGAAGACAAATGTACTATGCACAAAGTCCACTGTTCACATTAATCACAGCTCTCTGGCTATATACGAAACTAGAAGTGGGAGATATGGTAAAAATATAACATCATGAAACTTGAAGACATTTTCATAGTACACAATATATATCGCAATATTTAATTTTTCTGAAATTTGATAAGTTGGAACAGAAAAACAGAACCATAGTGCCACATTTAAAAATACCATATATGAATACAGAGATTTTTGTTCAATATTTCACATAAATACAATTAAACAGGACTAATTATGCTCTCCTTGTGTTGAAACTCGCAGTCGGTCAGTGTTCTTTAAGTACTAAGGATATACACAATGTGCTCTGAAAAGCTAATGTATCATGATAACAATATAATATCGTCATATTACTCACCCTTATGTGCCCCATTCACTTCATAGTACATTTTGGGAGTCATTTTGTAGTGGTGTCTTAAAAACAGTGGAGAACATCCAGTGCACTCGTACACTCCCACAGTACATTGAAATAGGTACAGTGTACCCTATTCAGAATTTGGTATTTGGCCAAATTTCACTATATTTTTGCCAGTAGTACACTTGACACCACCAAAAGATGGTCCATGAAGGGTTCTTTAGTAAAGGGAATGCTTCTATTTAGAACCATGAGTTCTGCATTCTTAAAAGACATGGTTCTTCAAGAGTTCTTTAGTAAAGAAAATGTTTTATGTAGAATCATAAACATGCAAAGAACCCTATGCATAATTAAAGGTTTTTCTGTGCCATGAAATGGTTCTTCTGATTGATGGAGAATGTGCTGTAGATGGTTCTATGTAGAATCTTTTTAAAAAGGGTTCTATATATAGCACCAAAAGGGGTTCTTTTATTGTTACAGGCTTGACATCATAACGTAAAAAACCATATACAAGTACTGTTTGAAAAACCATTTCAGCATGCAAAGAAGCATTTAAGCATTCTACATAGAACTCATGGTTCTAAATGGAAACATTCTCTTTACTAAAGAACCCATCTTTTTTAAGAGTGTAGCATGTGCTTTTGTGTGTGAAATTGTTTACACAAATCATGAATTCTGTTCCCTACAGTTGTGCTCTATATTGTCTATATTGTGCTGTTGCTTTTTTTTCCAGTAGGGAACAGTGATAAGGGGACCAATTATCAAACATAGTGTGTTGTTTGGCTTAAAAGTGCCAATCAGGTCACGGTTCAGAAGTGAAGGCATGTTTTTAACGTCTCTTTCATTGCTGATTGCAACAGTTGGTGGGAGTGTGAGAGGGGGTCAGAGTGATGGCCCAGGTAGACAGGTGGTATAACAAACGTTGTTGGGAAGAATGTTAGGAGGTGTGTTGTGTCAGCCAATAAGAGTGATTGTCGAAGAGGGTGTGCCATGGAACAGCTGCAGATAACAGAGAAAGACAAAGAAGGGAGAAAGATAAAGAGGGACTGTTAGAGTAAATTCATCCAAGAAAAAAATAACACTTCATATTAATTATTAGTAACAACTTATTGTTTGTAATAACTAATATGCTTTGAAGATGATAGCAGTCATAAGCTACCCTGACTCATCTGACGGCCAGGCCATGGCCAGGCCATGCAAAGGTCAGTATTAGTAATATTCCCCAACAGTTGCTTGTCTGTAGAGACTAAAATGGCAGTGGCTGTTGTGATGGTGGCATTAGAGGTGTTTCTGATTGGGCCTGAAATGTTTTTTTTTAACTACAGGGGTGTGTGGGGGGAGAGCAACATAACTTTAACACAGCATGAAGTACTCATATTCATTTTATGTTATCAGAAACACTGCACTTTGTATGTTTATAGTTACTGAATGTAGCTTATCTACTGCAGAGAAAGACAGAAGACAGAGAAAGAAAGACAGAGAAAGAGAGTATTAGACTAACTTCATTAAAGATCAAGAAAACAAGAGACTATTAGACTATGTTAATATTAGTTATTAGTCACAGTTAATTGTAAAAGATGACAAAAGATGATAGCACCCATAAGCTTTTGTCATAGTATATGAATTCCTACAGGACTCCTATAAAATTCATGTCATAAATTCAGACAATTAGTTCACTACAAGACACCACACAGGTATTATAAACTACAATGAGACAGTATTACAGGATTATTATATAGAGGTAAAAATATTATAGATTATAATAGTATTGTACAGCACAAAGTATTTTACAGCACATCTTAATTTCTAGTTTATAGTTATGATATTTCTACAGTTCTTTTTTCCTAAGGGACAGAAAGGCTTCCTACATAGGGCTTTGATTATTTTATTGTAGGTCACAAACAAATTGGCATACATAGCTTCAGTTTTAGTATGTTAATCTCATAAGGAAATGCAAGTGAGAAAGCTCAAGTACCAGAGAAGGCACTTTTGGAAAAGAGCCATGCTGTTACATAAATGAAAACAGAACTTAGGCTCACATGCTGGACTCAGGGAGTATTTTTAAGATGTACACATTCCCTAGCCGGACCGTGTACTGCCTTGACCTTTTGCTGCATCAGGTGTCCCTCTGCACTTCATGGAAAGCTGCATCTTAACCGCGATTTTTATGACCCAACCATGACGCTGATAGGGAAACCAAATCACCAGATTGTTGTTCCAGCTGGCACACACACACACACACACATACACACACACACACACACACACACACACTCCCATGTGGTATACTTGGAGCTTTTTAGAGAGAAAAGAGGGTGGCCTGACCTGACTTGGCCAAGAACCAGGCCATGAAGCGCAAAGGTCAGCATTAGCAATATTCCCCCGACAGTTGCATCTCTGTAGAGACTGAAAAGACAGTTGCTGTTGCCATTGTGGTGGTGGTATTGCTAGTGTTTCTTCTCATTGGGCCTGATTTGGTTTCTTTTTACTTTGGCAAAGCAACAAAAATACCATTTCACATACTCATAATCATTGTGAAACACATACAATATAGATACACTTTGTAGGTTTACAGTTACTGGCTGTAGCCCATCTGTTTGCTGCACAATTTATCAGCCCCTTGTACCTCATTCATCAATGGAAGAGCACCTCCATAGAACCACTGTAGTGACAGCAACATTGTAATGGTAATGGCATTTTAGAGTGTGTTGTGCTGTTAAGAGTGAATCAGACAAAGCAGTATTTGTGGAGTTTTCAAACACTGTGTGCACTTACTGACCACTATATTGGACACCACTTTGTTGGTCTACAATCAGAGACTATTGCTTATATTTGTTCATGCACAATTTGTTTGAGTCATCCTCTTGCCATTTATCAGTGGTCAGTTTCAGATCCCAGGACTACTTTTGGCTCAAGGTTTTCGGTTAGTGGGCTATTTTTAACCCCACAGTGACACTGAGGTGTTTGAAAAACTCAGCTGCTGCGCCTGACACAGTTATACCAGCACTACACCTACTACCATACCACTATCATGTCAGTGTCACTCATGTGTTGAGAAAAGTCCACCACTCAAGTAATATCTGGTCAGTGGTGGTCCTATGGTGGTCTCATTCAATGGATGAGGTAGAGGGGACTGGTGAATTGTGTAGCAACAGATGGGCCGCAGTGAGTCAACTGTATACTACAAAAAGTGCACTAACAGTTGTATGCAAATATTTGAATAAACCTGGTCAAATGACCTCTTTTGCTGATTCTCTAAGTGAAAAAATTAACACAGCCTTGACAGGCAAACTTAAATATGGCTCATAATATTCTTCTATATTTATAATATATTTACAATTGAGTGCTGATTTTAACGTATTGGAAAAAAATAAAAAATGTGATTTAAAGTGGGCCATAACTTTTGCACAGGTCACACTCTATGGTTTATTTCTTTTCAATATGTATTGTTTCACTTATGAACAATAATTGTGCATTAAAATGTGTAGACGCGTGTTCTCTGTAGAGGGTGTGAAACTTATTTTCACTTTGAAAATCAGCATAACATGTAATTTGTCAATGGGTGCAAAATTTATTGCATAGGACATTAGATGGTTGATATTTCTGATAAACTAGCCAATCAGCGTGATCTCCCCCTATCGCTCACTCTTTAGCTCTTTCACACGTGTGCACACTGCCACCCTGTGTCAGAATGACTTACTGTGTTGTTTCACATAAAGAACTCTCCAGTGTAGTAAGCAAATGTAAGCAAGTCCCAATACAAGCTATAGCTGTTCAGAAGAAATGGTTGCACACATGAATACATTTCCATCTTTTTTTTGTGTGGGAGACTATACAACACTTTCTCTCTCCATTTCTTTCTCTCTCCCTATCTCTTTCTCAATTTTTTCAGCCTGGGTCCAAAAAGGCAGAGAAATTTGATTATGTAAGTATGACCCTCCTATTTCTGTGTGGTTTAATATTATAGTATATCTGTTTAAGATTTGTTGTATCCACTGTTTTACTGTATGTATTAACCTCTCCCACAGATGATGGACTATGTGAAGAGAATGGCAGGTGGAGAGTATGTGGGTTTCAGCAATGCCACGTAAGATACATCAATTCAGTTCTAATACTGACTCGCTTCTTTAGTGAGATGGATTTGTGTCAATGGACGTACATTACTGTGCAAAAGACAACCCCTCATTTATTTCATTTCCAGTCAAGTCCTCGTTCCTGCCAAGTTCCTCATTTTTCAAGAGATATTTCTGAGGGTTTAGATGTAAGAAAATCCACTTGCACAAGCAATGGAAGAGTCAAAGGAAAAATACATGAGTTTTCTAAAACTGGAGTTCATAAAATGATTAAAAGATGCAGAGAAAATAGCCATTCAATACCTGGTAAAAAAAAACAGACCAAAAATTAAATTTGCAAATCAAACAAAGAAGATGCTGCCATTCTGAGGACAATGGACTGACCACCCCAGAGCCCAGAACTTGAATGTATGCAACCACATGTAATACTGAACTTTGGATGTATGGAAAAATATCCCTGACAATTTCTTTGGAAAACTGAAAATCTCTTAAAAGCTGTAAAAAAGGCATGGGCACACTAAAACTGAAACAAATGAAATTGTATTTAGTTGTTGAGGATTCTGTGTAAATTTATGTCAAATATGTCAAATGTTTTATTGCTGATACTGAAAAATTAATAATTTGTTATTTTTTTCTGACTTTTTTGCCATTTTGACTGGAAATTAATTAGATGAAGGGGGTCCCTGAAACTGTACATGCTTTTCAGTGGTTTATTAATGCTTAGTGCTTTATCCCATAGGTTTCAATCAGAAAAAGAAACGGGTAATAGGAACTTCGCAATTGGTTATTATCTCAAGGAGAAAAAAGTTAGTATTGTCCTTTTTTATAGCACAAGATAATAGTTGTATCCACGGTATCCACTTTAACTCAACATCTCCCCTCTCTTTATTTGTCTTCTACAGTGTTTTCCCAGTGGAGCAGACATGATAGCAGCACTTGATTTCTACTTTCAGGTGACTGGATTTTTATAGTAAATAAAAAATCAAAATAATAAATAAAATCATAGTGAAATCGAACAAGAGAATGAATAAAAAAATTTCACGGTTTCTTCTTTTAACCAACCTCTCTATCTGGTGTGCCTCCCTCTAGTTGTGCTCGATTGAGGTGACATGTGAGTCAGGAAGTGTCATGGCTGCCACTCTGGCTAACGGAGGGATCTGTCCAATCACAGGAGAGCGTGTGCTGAGTGCTGAAGCTGTGAGAAACACTCTGAGCCTTATGCATTCCTGCGGCATGTACGACTTCTCCGGCCAGTTCGCCTTCCATGTGAGTTTTTGACCAAAGCACACTCCCAGTCCTTCCAAATGCATGCTTGCCTTGTGTTCCAGTTTTTGTAAAGAGCGGCACTCTCAGACTTTCCCTTTGTCCTTGGAAGAATCCATACTGCCATCTTAAAGGGTATTTCAATTGTCAGAAGGGTCTAGGGAAGTTTCTACCAGCAGCACCTCAAACCCTTGATTTGGCTCAAGGGAGGAAGTATGTAAAATGGTAGACCAAATGTAGGGACTTGAGTCAGTGACTCTGAGCCTGTTTACACCTTGCATTAACATGTGCTTTGTGATCATATCCAGATTAACTTGGGCTGGATTCCATTTACACTTTTCACTAAAATGTGTCCCAGTGTGACGTTTTACCTTCATTTACTCTTTTCCCCATTACTATAAGAGTGGATAAGCTCAGTGTGAATACTTTCATTGGCCTGGAGTGCATGAAGGCTCTTGGGTCTACTTTCAGCTTCACGTATTTTCGTTTTCATTTACTCATTTATTTTTCATTATGATTTAAATAATGCTAACTTATCATACCCTGATAGCAGAGTGGTACACTCTTAAAAAAATAGTTTTTCAAGGGTTCTTTAGTAAAGGCAGTGGTTCTGTTTTATTTCATGCTTAAATAGTTCTTTGAAAGGTAAAATGGTTCTTCAGATTAATGGAGAATGTGTTGTATATGGTTCTATATAGAACCTTTTTGAAAATAGTTCTATATAGCACCAAAAAGGGTCCTTCAACTGTTACAAGCTTGACGTCGTAACAATAGCAGAACAATTTTTGGTGCTATATAGAACCATTTTCCAGAAGATTCTATATAGAACCATACAACTCATTCTCCATCAATCTGATGAATCATTTTACCATGCAAAGAACAATTTAGAAAGAAATAGTACTATTTATAACTCATCTTTCTTTGTAGAACCATTGCCTTTGCTAAAGAACCCTTAAAGAACCATCTTTTTTAAGTGTGTATAGCTAAATGTAGCTTAGCTGTGATCAAGTTGAGCTAAATTAGATACCGCTTGGGCAACAGTCTGCTCCAGCTCCATGTTGAGGTTAGTGTTTGAGGTTAGTCTATGACATTTCAAAGGAATATTCCTGCAGCTCTCAACCTGTTTTCTGTCTGCTGCATCTGTGGTATACAGTCGAATACTATAAACAATAATTCCAAGGCATTTTTCTGTACTTATTAAAAGAAAAATGGGCAACTGCTCATTGGCTTCTCTTATGAGTATGTCTTCAGGCAATTTCTGTTCTTTTCCAAGCACAGGGAAATTTTAGTCCCTGCTAATCAGCCATATGAGTCAGACAGAGATCAGGTTGAAAAGCACTGGAGTATTCCTTTTAACTTACCTTACTTACTTACTTAACTTAACCTACCGCCCTTATATTTCCTTCAGCACGTCAGCTCTGCTGTTATGTACGATGCAGATACAATGTTTGGGAGGTTGGAAGGGAAGTCAATGACAAAAAGCAATAGAAGTTACATTCAGTACATTTGTATATTTTGTCCATCACTCCTCTAGGTGGGCTTGCCGGCTAAGTCAGGAGTGTCCGGTGCTGTGCTTTTGGTGGTTCCTAATATCATGGGTGTGATGTGCTGGTCTCCGCCTCTTGACCGTGTGGGCAACAGTGTGCGAGGCATCCACTTCTGTCAGGTACACACAGATTTTTACACACACATAATCACACACTCTCTGCTGATACTGAGTAACTGATTTACTCACCATGGCTGGGCTCTCTTTCTCAGGAGCTGGTTTCTGTCTTTAATTTCCATAACTATGACAACCTGAGACACTTTGCCAAGAAACTGGACCCTCGCAGACAGGCTGGCCACGAGAGGGTGAGACTTGCACAAGTGACAAACTGTCACATATATAGAGATATTCCTCTCACTGTAGTACTTAATTAATGTATTAGTTTGCTTGAAATAAAGTGAAAGTGCCTGCAGAGACAATCACAAGTTGAAATGCATCATATGAATATTTATAATATAGGATCTGACTACATGTATATATTTTTATAGAATAAGGCTGTAATTGAGCTGATGTTTGCTGCATACAGTGGAGATGTTTCAGCACTCAGGAGGTAAAAAAACAGTCTTTTTCTTTTCTCGCCACATACTTCTTTGTTGCTGTTTCACTAAGCCTTATGTGACTTCGATTTTAGCCTAAGCTTAGGCTTAATCTATTGGACACCCCTGTTTGAGTTACGTTTTGTTGATTATCGAAATAAAAACAAGCTACACATCCTCTACAGAGAACATGCTTCAATGCACAATTACTGTTTGTTTGCATATCTGTATTTAACATATTGGAAAAAAATAAAATACAAAATGTGGTCTGTGCAAAGGTTATGGCACATTTTATGTTTTTTTTTTGTAATATGTTAAAAGTACAGTGTGTAAGATTTAGATTTAGTATACAAAACTACAAAAACATGAATAAACTATGAATTGTTGTGTTTTTGTTAGCATAAAAAAATGAGCACTGCCTATGCACATAGGAGCCCAGAGCCCAGAATGGACCAAACAAAAACTCTATAATCGCTAGAGAGACTTAGAAAAAAGAAGGCTAACCATTATGTTATGTTGTGAGAGGTTTGAGAACCAAATTTTTGACAACTGGAGGACTATACTTTATCCTTCTTCACAAAAAATTGTGGGGGGGTTAATCCTCGTCATCAACAAAGCGAAAACATGATGGCCATTGTAGGTTCCTCTACACGCTTGGAGAGAGAGGGGTGAGGGAGGGGTATTGAGTTGGTTGCAATCTGCAACCTCACTGCTAGATGCTGCGAAATATTACACACTGCACCTTAAACTTTGTTGTGCACTAAAATTAGCAGAAAATGCCATTTTTCAGTTTGTTCCCTGTAGAGGATGTGTTAACCTAGTTTCATTTAGAAAAACAACAAAGCATGTAACTTGACTGTATGTGTTCAAACCTACGCATATGACTGTATCTTTTGAAAAAATGTTCTGAATGTTGCATTACATGTTCTTAACTGTATGTTCACGGACAGAGATATTACTGCAAGTTATTTCAGATCATTTTTTGTTCATTTGTTGAGAAATGTAAAGTGTGCCTGATCTTTTCAAACAGTGAAAAAATGGAGTTATGGTTTTGATATGACAATGACGATTTACTGTTGTCATTATCACTTAATGTTCTCAGGTTTGCTTTGTCAGCAGTGGATATGGAGTTGAGGGATTATGACTCTCGGTCTGCTCTGCACGTGACTGCTGCAGAAGGTGAACTGCCTTTACTTACATGTTCATTCGCTCTGTCATTCTTATGTATGTTGTCAAAAGTCTGAAATGTTTGTGACCTTTGTTTCCTCTTAGGCCATTTGGAAGCTGTGAAGTTTTTAACAGGGACATGCCGAGTGAACCCGCATGTTAAGGACAGGTAATGGACACTGCATAACTGATTTTTTTTTAGGTTCCTCCTTACATACTGTTTTTTGCAAAAGTCAGAGACCACATTTCACGTAAACAGCCATCAAGAACAAGCTATTCATTTTGAGGAGATTAGATATAGAATTCAGAGAAAAATAATTTAAAAACATGAGTTTTCAAAATTGGAGTTCATAAAATGATTACAAGATGCAGAGAAAACAACCACACAAGATCTGGTAGACCACCAAAACTGTTACCATCAGATAAACAGTAGTTAAAGCTTTCACCTTTGAGAGAGAGGAGAAAAATACCCTCCAGTTTTACTTTAGATCTGAAAAAATCCACAAGTGTTTCTGCCTATCCTTTCACTGTGAGAAGACGACTCAACAGTATGAATCTGAAAGGAGGTGTGGCTGTCAATAAGCCGTTACTGAGAAAAGGACATAGACCAAACAGAAGAACATTTACGCTAGAACACCGAAACGGATATCTGACATGAGGTTTCATGGACTGAAGAGTGTAAAGGTGTAATTCTGATTCCTTGGATCATGAGAAGCAGAAATAGCAACTAACTTCTCCTTAAATAAATGAAAGATAGTCTCTGACTTTTGCACAGTACTTAAGATGATTGTAATAAAACATACCTTTTATCTATTGTTCAGGTGGGGAAACACACCTCTGGATGATGCAATGCAATTTGGTCATGAAAGTGTGGTAGAAGTGCTGAAGGAATATCAGCGCATTTACTCTCACACACTCATGCCTCAGGAGATCAGCTCACAAGCACAAGCACTGGACGCAGAAGATCTGAGGAACATGGAGACTCTGGAGGGGTTTGTGTGATACATGGCACTGAGAGGCATGTGGTACACTGCCACACACACACAGACCATGTAATGGCTGGCTGTTGCTATTGCTGTGTACAGCGATGGGAAGTTTGAGTCTGTTCACCAAACTGATTCTTCTCTATTTAACTGTCACTTTAAATGAATCAAACGTCCAAGTCAATGCTTCATTGATTCACATGTCAAGTTCAGCTCTATTCTCATTTACTCTGCATTCAATTACCTTTGTCACTTTATTGTCCTCTGCTACATATGTTTCTGTCCAATGACCACTGGGATAGGCTCCAGCACCTCCCATGACCCAAGAGGATAAGCGGTTTAGACAATGTGTGTGTGTGTGTACTTCATAAATGTCTGCTAATTCTAGTCACTAGAAGCGCACAAAGCACAAACACGTAACAGAGAAAGCTAGCAGAGAGACTATGTAAGCATATTCAAAAAGTGTTCGTAATAATTTATTTTATACGTTTACATTTTAAAAGAGTGTTTTTTGGACATCACTATTGCTGTCCTGCTGCGATCTTAAACTAGGCTCAATCTGGTCTGGTTTGGAAGTCCCTAAATATCTATGTCATGATTTCTGAAGGTCAGAAAAGAAGGACTGCATTCTCAGGTTAGTCCTGTTTGTTTTTTCACCTCCTTCAACTCTCAGCACACCTGAGCCAGGTAATAACAGGTTGTAAAATGCTAGTAAAATGGCTTAGGTGTGAGAGAGAACCAGGAACCAAAACCATACCAAAACTCTGAGCTGATTTCCCAGATATGGATTAAGCCTAGTTTTGGACTAAATGGTAACTCACCATTGAAAATGCTTTTTAGTGTAGGTTTAAACTTAATATGGGTCTAGAAATCTGGAGTAAATTTGGAGTAAAACTGCTTGTTAATTTAAGTAATCAATAAAGAACATTATTTAAAAGAATTTTTTTAGCACAGCAGTACCACTACCATGCTTTAACTTCTTGGCTTAATGTAAAGCTGCCTCTATACATTTGAAATGTGATAATCTTACCTGTACTTAAGAGGGGGATGAATGCTGTACAGATGAATGCTGTACAGTAGACAGACTGTGCAATCAGAGTGCTCATGTTGTATATTTGTAAATATGTATCTGCATATAATGCACTGAATATATGTATATGTATGCACATGTTTGTATTTAGACTTTTAACATTATAAAAGGCCCTAGATACAATATTATTTATTACAGGCAGAATGTGTGAGGTGTGGGAATCTCAGGCAGAATGCAAGTTGGTGTTGCAATACAAGAACTCATGAAGACAATTTACTGTATATTGTTTGTACACAAGTATAAGGTCACTGTCATTAAAAACAAAATATCTGTCATTTAAATTGAAAGTTGACAGTTGATAAACTCTCTCAACGCTTTGCAGGTTTGGAGATGTAGACAGTGATAATGAAGTTCCTATTAGCTAAGGAGCTGAATGTACGGTAAAACTGAGCATATGAAATATAAATAAAGATGGTCACTGCCAAAGAGTCTCTCTGTTTTATTGAAAAATATTGTTCATGCGTAACACTTGACAGTATAAATGCATATCGAGAGACTGCATGAGCAGAATTTTAATATACTTATTACACATCCACTCAAATCACTTAAATTTGCATATCTGGACCTAGCTGGTAACACAAGATACAAATGATGGAAAATATCAAGCTTATTAATGTTTCAAGTAAGCACATTAATTCATAACACACTCCGTCCCATCAGTCCCACAGTTCACCAGCATTTTCATCACATTTGTTCAAAATAGAGTTTATGGTTGCTGCAACTGTAAGATTAGGAGAGCTAGCTAGTTCAGCTGCTTAATTTTGTTCTTCAGTTAGTGTAGAATTATCTTGCAAGACAGTCCTGAGGTACTGCTTTCCTTTGGGATGGTCATTCTATATTGTCATGTAGATACATTAACTGTCAATACATTTAATGTCCATCTGCTACATCTGTAGCATAAGAGACTATCATGGACAATAATTGCAAAGAATGTCCTTGTACTCCAGAAATATTTATAACAGAATCCATTGGGCAGCTGTTGAATTCCATCAGTAGGCTAACTGTTTATGTGACAACTTTTTTGTAGCACACAAGAACTCTTCAGTCAAAGGTAACTGTAAATTAAGCTATTAATCTGTATAATTAATTCCTTCAGAGATGGGACTAGATTTTTTGAGAGAAGAATTTATGGAAATACATTATCAGTGAAGTGATGAGGGTGGAGCTTTTCAAGCCTGCATGATATAGTCCTGTATTTTACTCACAGAATTCACAGAATTTAGCCACTGCCTTGTGAGTTCTATTAGCGAATTTCAAATCAGTGAGCTTCAGTGCTTTTTTTAAGTACCGAAAAAATTGTCAAAACTATCCGTAGAGTAGTATGGTACTGTTCAGATGGGACTGACATCGACTGAGTTGAATAACACTGGAGTATTCTTTAAAGAGAAAGGTGATGGCTATGAGCGAGTGTTAGGATTAAAGCCCTGGTGGCACTTCTAACCCAGAATGTGTGAGTATTTCTCCATCCCACAGCGCAAAAGCAGGGCTGACTGGTGTGCGGAACTGTGTCTTTATCGTGTGGACCACCTTGGCTGTCTGGGTATCCACTAGGCTGAGCCGGCCTTCCTCAAAGTCTAGAAGCAGGCCGACTCGATCAGGCTTCCCCACCAGCGTCACAGGCACCAGCTTATTCGTGGTCATGGCGTACCATTTCTTCTGCAGGTAAGCAAACACCCAGGAGGAGGAGTTCGTGCCAATGCACTCATCACGTGATGTTGCAACATCGGCAACTCCCAAGCGGAACTCGTCAGACTTTTTTACCGTAACCTCCCAGTAATAGCGCCCAGATTCGATGTGGCTGTCGGCAAGCACCACGGCCCAGTCTCGGAATCGGAGAGGAGAGTCCTGCACGTGGGTGGGGTCAAGGCCTAGTATGCGGTAGATCACACCGGTGTCTTTCTTGAAGAGGTCAAGACTGCTGTGGGCCGTCCGCTCGTCCAGCTTAAACTGCAGCTCTGACGAAGAGATTGAAGAAAGAGAAGAGAGAGAAGAGAGGCCACTTCATATTACACAACCTGGAAAGGAAGATCCTAACAGCAGTGGTTCTCAATCTAGAGGGTATTCTTGCTCTAATGCACCTAATCCAATGAATGAGCCCTTCCTGAGCTGTTCATAAGAGTAATTCATAAGAGAAAAAATTAGATAACCAATAAGGGTGTAACAGGTACTGAAAAATCAAAACAGCAACAGTGTATTGCAGTTGATATACCCCCCTGTCTCTTGCAAGTGTCTTTCATTAACCTTCTATGGTGTAAACCCCCGTCAATCTAGGAATCTGGGTTCATTCTATCTGGGTAAAGCAAGGGTGAGGGGGCAGGGCTTATGCTATTCCTGTACACACATTTTCACACTATAACCTTCAATTTTATGTCAAATGAATATCTGCCCCATTTACTCCATGTATTCGTTATGGCCTCATTATTATCTAATATTCAGTAGTAAAAGTAAAAATTCAAGTAAAAATATCAGCCCTGAAAAAATACATATTGGTCGCCCCCTATTTTCAACACATAAAATGTTAAAAAAAAAAATCCAATCTTGATCTCAGAACTGAAAATTGTACTGGACATAAAAATAGATGCATTGCACCACCTAGACCTAGTAACCAAATAACCTGAGGTCTGTATAAACCTTAGAGCACCCTTCTGTGACTTCCACCATTTCGGTACGTAACTTCTGTCACTACAAATCTGGGATGAAAAAAAGACAAATCTGAGATGACAACAAAAGCCTTAACCGTCATTAGATACGTCCAGCCTGACCTCCAGATCTGTTTGTTTTTCTTTGATAACACTAGTTTGGGCTGCTCACTAGCCGCGGTTATTAGGTCACTGTGACAAAGGTCATCCCACTATTTGCTTCCACTGCTCCAAGTTACGCAACCTAACAAACAAAGACACAGCAACCACAATATGTGGGTGCACTTCAGCTTAAAGGCGGTCTTGTGTGTTTGTAAATCAGTTATTGGAACGAGGCTTCGTGACCTTGTCGCGGTAAAGGTAGCAAATAAATGATCAAAGAATGATTATAGAAATCCAGCGGTCGAGGGTCCGTTTACACTGAGAGCGCTATCGGGAGAGGGGGGGCTCGTAGGACTCATGACCTTAAGCTTCGAGTGAATCTACTGAAAATGACGACTCGTAGATTGTTTTTACTCACGGTTTTGCGTACTGTTGTTGATATAAGATCTCCGGGAGAGCCCGTCTGTCCCTCGATGAGAAGCGAGCAGCAGCGCGCCTGCACTCCGGCCTGCTAAGCGGCCGTACAGCACCATGCGGGAGGGCAGCGCCATGTTTTTACGCAGGAGCCATGAGCTTCCTGCTTTCGAGCAAATCCCGCCGCGTGCACGAGTCGTTCAGTTGATCCGGCTCTTTACAATGAATCGATTTACAGAGACTCCCACGAGCAACTGAACCAAACGTTTATATAGCAGTATTTACATTCGTGTAACAGACAGAAGACTTATAATATAATTTCATTTTTATTATTATTTACAATTGAACTAGTTTAAAATCGTAAAATACCTTTATCTGTTGTTTGCGCTGTGCGTGTCAGTCACTGAACGCCAGAGTAAGAAGGAGATGAGAATTAAATTAGGGCCGTCACGATTAAAGGCGAATTCCACAGTGTTTTCAAAAAAAAAAATGTATAGTGGTTGAGTTTTAAATCAAGATATTCAGTAGTTTGCTGTGAATTGGTTCATTTTTAGAGAAACTCATAAGACTTAGATTTACAGTGGTGGAACCAGGAGTCCCAAGGTCTACAATGCAAATCTAGCCATTTTATTTACTATCCAGAACCACCAGCAAAACACTGGTTGATCTGAAAAAAGAAGTTTTCTTTGGGAAATTTTGCCTTCGCACACTCTTCATGCATCCCTCCACGATGAATGGACTAAAATAAAGTGAATAATATACATTTTAGAACAAAACTACTGTAAAACAATTTCTTAGATATCAGGCAGTGTATTTATGACTATTTTATGTAATGCTGTCTGAGAGGGAACTTTCAGAGGTGTTAAACTCCTCAGACGTCTGGTTCCTATCACCACCACTGTGAACAATTCTGACTCTGTAACACCAAACCACTGAATGATTTTGTTTAATTCAATGGTTAACATGTCAACATTTAGACATTTTTAAAAATTGGTGGACCTTCTTCATAAACCTGCCTTGACTAATTGGCAATTTGCATGGTGATAATGCATATTTTCAAATTCCCTCTTTATCTGTAAAAACCCTTCTACATGTTTTAAAATCTTTTTCCATTAAATAGCCTACATCCTACATTTGTATTTTATTTTTGGTCCATAGTGTGTGTTTATGCACGGAAATAGTCATAATTTATTTTTACATGACCATTTCCAACTTCTCTTTATCCCTTAAACAAGCTGTTCAGTTGCTGTGCCCTTGAGACTGGTATACATAAATGACCTCTATTCTGACTGGCTCTCCTGAATTGCATCTCATGCAAAAAGCAGTCCAGGCTGAAACATTCCTTATAACTTTAATGTGAATGGGTGGGGCCAAATTGCTGCAGGCTGAAAAGGTAGTTATATGCCATATGTTTTCATGCCATCACAAAAAACCAATGAATTAAAAATGGGCTGTTTTTGCACAACGGTAAATTTTAAAACGTAATATTTACACACATCAAAATCATTTATTTCACACTGTGCCAGAAATTCAGTTTTCCATGGGCCCTTTAAAGTACTTTGGACACTTTAAAAGGCCATGTATGGTTTGTTATTGTTCAGTTAAGTACATTTTACTGTTACTATTTCACTATATGTATCAATTCCTAAATTAAAAGAGCATACACATAATGACAGTCCCAGAATAAAGTTGACTTTGCTAATCAATCGGAACAAAAATGAATCGTTGAACTGGTCATTCACTGGAATAGATGAACTGGTTCGGTAAACTGACACAGAATTCCTTTGGGTTGCTGCCATCCACAGTATGAGAAAAGCACTGCGTGTGGCAATGAACAATAAAATGCAAAATCTTTTCTAGAGATTCCTGTGTGCTCTTCAACCAACGCTACACAAATAATAATAAATATTACTTCAAATATTCAAATAAATATTCATAACTATCCATGTAATACAAACTCTTTATTAATTATTCATTAACAAAAGGAGGTGATAAAAATGCTCATGACATACTGGATGGATAAATAGTGAATAAAAAATTCAGGATGGAAAAAAAATTACAAACAACACTTGGGCCGGGGACTAATTAAATATTAATAAGTTCATTGCTCCGCTTGGCACATTTTAATATGAATTAACTTGACAATCTAAATCATCACAACAATAATGTCAGGACTATACCTACAAAAAAACACAAACAAAGATAATAAAGGCTAGCTTTCAATACTATCCTTTTTGTGTGCCAGAGGGTACTGGACTATAATATTAGAATAAGAAGGAGAGTGATCTGTAATAACATAACAGCGAATGAACAATTCAATAACTAATCAAATCCCTTGTATTCTTTAGCCACTCAGAGTTGGACACAAATAGGATTTTTTCATCTCCCTGTAAACAGTCCAAAATCAGAGCAGTTTCACATTATCAAGAAAACGTTCATGAGGCTCATGAGCAGGATAAAAAATAACAAATTCAATAGTAAACATGATTTTCTGGAGGTTGGTCAGTAAAAGAGGCAAATATCAGCATGTGCTGATCACGTCTGAATTAAAGAATGATATGTCCTGGGGTTAAATGTATGTAATTTGTGTTTGAGACCACCCACTCCTACTGGGGTAGCAAAGTCTTACCAGACTGAAACAATCTGTACTTCACTCCAACTTATGTATTACTAGGAAGAAAGTATTCTATAAGACTCTAGAGACTTTTAAACATATTTAGTATATAATTCTAGCAAATACTATGGCTGTTGTGAGAAAGGAACTGGCTTCGAGAACTTTTGAATATTTAAATACCAAAGTCAGTCTAATCTTCAGATTATATAACCATCTCTAGGCTTTGGGATTGTTTAGTGTTTATCCAGAATGACTGGGGAACACTGTGAGAAGAGGAGTGATTCTGGTTTCAGCTAAACAGGAGTGTAGTATCATCAGTGGCTATTAAGAGGTTAACTAACCCAGCACCGCTGCATGAAAATACTTCAACCTCGTTTTGTAACACATCGCTGCAGTAAAAAAGCTTGAATGATGATACTAGTGCCTAGAGAATGTACAAGACACTATCCTTTGACGAAAAATACATTGTCTTCATTTAAGTAGCTTTGAAGCAATGTAACATTTACATAGTAAAATTTTAAAGTAGGTTTTATCTATTACAAAAAAAGGACTAAAAGCGGTTTCTCCATTCACAATGTGTTGAGGGATAGCCATAGCTCTTTTGTAGTATTTAAAAAAGGAAAGAGACATCGTAACACTTATGGAGTATTCCGTGCTCATGTTCCTCAGGGCCTTAATTGAAGCAGTTCTGATGATAAGTATTGTAGACGACGTCTTATTAGGATTGGTTAGGGATTTTGTTCTCCGGTCCAGTGCATTTACACTTCACAGTGATGTCATGTAGACCTAGGACTGCCACCATGGCAGGTCCAAATGATGAGTCTGTTTATTACTTGCCTCTTCTCCAGTCAACTTCTCTGTCTGCTCAAGTGTCAGTGTTCACATAATAAGGCGGTACACAACCCAAAGGCCAAAGGTCACCCAGTGACTGATCCAACTCAACTCTGTCCATTTATGGATAGTGTGACCGCCCAGGACATCCTGTGGAACAAGTGACAGAACTTCATGTTATTTATTTTATTTATATCTTCTATGGACTTGTGATAAAAAACATAACTGGGAAGCATTCATTTAAAAACGCTTTTGCACACCTCCCAAGTCTCACTCATTGGCCGTGAGACTCACTCAGCAGTATATATATGTTTATAGTTGGCCACTGTATGCTGTGCAACATGATGGACATCATGTGGTCATATGCTGGTATTACATCATAATTGTGGCAGAGATTAACGGTACAATATGTTCTCTACGGCAGCAATTCTAGTTTAAAGCCCCCGTTTTAGTATAGTAAGTGGCAATGCAACACCCCCACCCCCTTGGCCCCCTGCCCCCTTGTCTCAAAATATATATATATTTTTTTACCTCATCTGAGTCTATATCATCAGTGCTGGAGCCGAAGACTGAGCCCAGGTAGGTTAGGTGGATCACTGCTAGCACGCTAAAGCTTCCATTAATAAAGTACACCCAAAATGCCTAGAAAAGATAGGACAAACTCTGGTAATGTAATCATAAAACTGCCTGAATGCACATAAGAAGCAAACATCCACAAACATCCAGAAACATTCACATATAGAAGGATTTCAAGTTTGGACTTTTTAAACCAGCATCAAATTCAAACTGGAGCTCATTCTCTCTGTCAACTCTATTTACAGGAAACATCACCAAGGCAGAAAGCCCAAGCTGAGGTAGGCTACTTAACTATAAAAGATACAGAATAGCTAAATATATTTTAGCTTCTAGAAGATGGTAAAAACATTACAAAATGCATATCTCAGATTAGAATTACCCGAAATTCTGCCATTATATCTGTGTCATCACATCCCTCTTGAACTTCAGTTAAAAATGATATGGTTTTATGGTCACTTCAGAATCAAATGGCTATTAAGGCTAGTTCTGCATTACCAATTGTTTGTTTGAAGGGGAAAGGTTAGTAGATGGGAGTGGACCAGGTATGTCATGTTACTGCAGTGACTCTTGGACTCTTGGAGTCATTTCTCTTTTTGATACAAGACCAATGACATCACTGGTCCCAAACCTGACCTTTCCCCTTTAATATAGCTAAATAATGAATCACCTTATTATTTTTACAGTATTATTTACTGTAAAAATACTGTAAAAAAATATACATCATAGGCTTGGTCAAATTATATGTTTTCTTAATTTTTAACGTGAAAATAAGTAACACATCCTCTATAGACAACATACTTTTGCACATTTTGATGCACAATTACTGTTTATTTGCTGAATTTAGCATATTGGAAAAATAACACATAAAATGTTATGTCAGCAAATTAATCCTTTTTATTTATTTTCACCTTAAATCAATAAAATCATCAGATCATTTGACTGAAGGTGTTCAAACTTTGACTGTATATGTAAGTACAGCCACTCTAGTACCAGTGAATCGAGACAATCAGTTGCAATGAATCTTTGGAATAAATTCCACTTTCTGAAGCACTAGTTAAGCGTTAAGGAATGCAATGCTTTCAGTGGGAGATCACATTTTGTTTGCATTAGAAACAGTTCTGTAATCACTGATGTTCGCTTCACGTTCCACAGACCAGGTATCTCAAATTGGTTTGAAATTGTGCGTTCATTATGTGCAGGATGTTGACACATGCACAAATAACAAAATAAATCTTTACCCCACCTTCTTATTTTGGTGTTTGCAATCTGGTGGGCATCTCTTTGAGAGGACACACGCATTTAAGATGGTGGACAACCTTTTCCTCAACACTACAACACAGATTAATAGAACAATTTATAACATATGCATGACTAAATGACTGCCACAAAGTTAAGCTGTTATATACTGCGGAAAATATATACAAACAAGATAAACATGTAATTAATGCATTTTAAACAAGCTCAATATTTTGTTTTTAATTCATCTATGATCCATTAATCATAGACACCAAAGTGCTTGCAAATTAATTAATTTAAAATACAGTAGATACTCACCATGCTCAATATATGTCATGAAGCCGAGGGTTACTAACACTGCTCCAATGTGGAAGCTTAATCCCTGAAGGCATCACAAAAAAGGCAACCAAAAAACAACTTCACAAAATCACAGGAAAACTGGACATTGAGAATACGATGTAGGAATAGCTGGGAGATTATGTTATAGTTACATGGCAAAAAGAGACTGGAAAGGCACACTCACATGCAGCAAAGTGCTGGCTGTATAGGTGAGGAGGACAGCCTGAAATGTACCAAGTTTCAGAGCCTTCCTGAACACATCTGAATATGCAGAGGTACAGCATATTAGAGTCTACAGACAAAAAGTTAGACCATCTTATTGCAGTTGAAAGCAAAAGAAGCAATACAGCTAGGTCCCACTAAAACATGGTGTTCTTGTTCTTGTGCTGCTGTGAGTCCCTTTGAAGCCTAAAATATTTACTGGAAAGTCAGAGAGCTGTCAAGTCAGATTTGGCATGTTTTTTCGAACTCTGTGATACATTTACACAGACAGAACTCATGACTCACAATAAGGTCCAGTTACATGGCCTGAACACCCAAGTACCAGGGGCACTGCTTGCACCTATCTCCAAATCCCAGAATATACACAATGCTACTTTAAACAAACCAACATGTGCTTTCAAAAAGTCACGACTGAGAAAAGCTTACAGGTATTGAGCCAGCGAGACATGGGCTGATTCCAAGAAGTTACAACCTCCACCATAGACCTTGGAAACTCTACATTTAGTGGTTTAGCTACTGCAAGATCCCTGCAGAAACAGTAACAGAAAAGGTGGAGGAGAGGTGGACAGACAGAAAGAGAGAGAGGGACCAGGGGCTCCAAAAAAAGGTAAAACCATGTAATTATTTGGGTAGTAAATATGATGTACAAACCACTTAAGGTGATCCTTCTCTTCTGTGAAGCCAGCACCTGCCAGTGTAGTGGTGGTTTCACTGAAGTAACTCACAAAGTAGTTACTAAAATGGAAGGACATTGTGTTTTCATAGGCCAGCAACCACCTGACAAAAGGAAGTAGGGATGTTATTACAGGCTTGAGACAAAAAAGGTTCTCAGAGTTAACCATTCTATACAATTTTATCCAAAGAGAAAGGAAACAAATAACTATATTGAGAAATATGCCTTTACCTTGCAACAGAGCCTCTGAGAAGCAGGGAAGTGAAAAGAAATCATGTAAATTATTCGTGACAACCAAAAAATTGACAATAGCTGCCAATCAGAAATATAAGATGTGTAAGACTGTGACTGGAATACCAAAATGTTAAACTGTAAAGGAAAGATTTTTTTAATTTCAGAAATACTGTTCCTAATTATTGATTTACTATCTGGATATCTTGTTCTATCCAAGTTGTCAAAGGTACTGGGTTTATTCATTATAGATACAGAAATACTACATTGTGTGTTTTTTCTGAAAATAGCTGAACTTAATCAGTTTGTATAATTAAACTACAAAATTGCACTACTTGACTGCTTAAATGTGCATGCATTTTAAACACTGCGCTAATTCTAATAGCGAGGTCATAATAAACCTGGTTTGTGACAATAAGTGAAACAGAGCACACAAAAATTACCTGATTTTTCGCCTCTTCTTACTAGGAGAAGAACAGTAAAAATGATTAGATAAGACAAAACTATAGTTAAAGTACTAGAACAATGGCACAGCAAAATGTATTAAAGCTTTACTTTAACCCCTTAATCCCTGGATGTATTTATTCAGTTATTGATCTTACAGGGCCCATATTGTGTAAAGCCAAATTCCCCCTGCTTTTTCTGGTACAAAAGAGTTTGGTGTAGTATGTATATGTTGTTAAAGTTTCAAACTTGTGCCCTTCACTGCCCAGTCCATAATAGGAAACAAAGATGTACAAATGGCTTGTTTTGAATTCTTTGTTTTTGTGATATCATGAACACATTTAGATATATCCACCTACTCAGCCTACAGCAGTCTGGTCTGCCCTTTCACACTGAAGTTATAAGGAGTGTTTCAGCCTGAACTGCTGGCAGCCAACCAGAACAGAGATAATTTACATACACAATATGGCCAAATGTATGTGGACACCTGATCATTACACCTATATGAGTTTGTTTGATATCCCATTCCAAAACCATGGGCATTCATGTTGGGTTGGCCCACTTTTGTGACTATAACTGCCTCCACTCTTCTGGGAAGGCTTTCCACAAGATTGTGGAGTGTGTCTGTGGGAATTTGTGAAAAGAGTGTTTGTGGGGAAAGGGACTAATTTTGGATGAGAAAGCCTGGCTTGCAATCAACATTCTACTGCCAGAGATTGCATGAGAATGCATGGCTATGTGCTGGATTTTATACACTTGTTAGCAATGGGTGTGGTTGAAACACTGCAGTAATTAAGAGGTCCACAAACATTTGGCCAGATAGTGTATATCAGCCTTGAAAGTGCAGTAACAAAATCAGCCTGGTTAATTCTGAAGACTAAAGAGCGGTTACAAAATAGTCATGTAAAAATAAATTATCACTTTGTTTGGCATAAAAACCATAGAAAAGTCATAAGTGAGCTATACGGTAAAAATGTAAAGTGCAAGAAAAATGAGGATAGAGGCCCTTAAAGACCTATTAAATTCTATGAATTACTCTGTAGTTACTATGAAACTAATATGTGAATTATGCACCTAAGAGAGTGAGGAACTGAAGTGTGGGTTTATAGGCCCAAGCACTAAATAAATGTTCTTTGCTTTTTTTGTTTACTGCTCCATCCATGACATACACATGCATTCAAATTTAAACACTTGGTCAGAAAACAAACCACATTCCATTTGTAATATCGGTTCTCTTTTCTCTACTGTGAGCAGATATTGTCTACACTCACTTGCAAAGTAGTCTGTCTCCCATGATTGGGATAAAGTAAGGGAAGAGATAGGGAGCGACACAGTTGGAGACAACCAGGCAGAGCTGACTCTTCATCCAGCTGCAGATCACCTTCATAAACCAGGACATACTCTATAGGAAAAACAAGCCATCTTTGAGCTTTAAGAACTAGGAATGACTTTTCAGCTTAATTTCTGCATGCATACATAGACTGGCCACTTATAGAAAGGCTGTTATAAAAGGCTTTAAGAGTGATTTTGTGACTCACAAGTTTCCGGCTTTCTACTGCTTCCCTGTAGCTGTTGAAGCTGATCCAAGGCCCAAATATAACCGTTCCCACAAAGTAAACATAACCCATAAACTCCACTGGGGAAGGTACACTCTCCACAGTGCCTTTGTCCAAGTCAAAGGCAAGAGAGATCGCCTTCATGGCAACTACCATCTGCGAGCCTAGGTAGATATGACAATCATACTTAGGATTTCTATAGTTTTGGCATTCTCTCTAAATATGCTACTCAACATACACATGAAGTATGATTTTGTTTTTCTACCATTTGTATTGAGGACTGAAATGTGCAGCAAGCAATGTTCCAATAGTGAACAGCTAATCAATAGATTCTGAACAGAACACATACAGCACTGTTAAGAAATATCTATTCAGTATTATAGACTGACCTCTCATTTTGTGCCAACTGTTAGTGTCCATCATATGCAGCTCCCTGAAATAGAATGTAGTGAGAGTACATAAAAAGGTTAACTTAAAATTAATTGTTGAGGTAACAACGTTTGTATATCATCATTGTCAGAACAGACCCTTGCATCTCCAAAATAGTAACTTTACAGGAAAAGGAAGTAATACTTTAAACCCTTTAGTCCCCAGTCAAAAAGCAGGTATTTCTTCCTTTTGTCACATTTCACATCGATCTGTAAAGAATACAATCTGACAAAGCTGAAAATTTATAGATTTTTATTTTGTTGGTTTTGAAAATTACCATTCTGAACAAGCAAACTACTGAATAGGAAGACAGTTCAGGCTTCAGCCACCCTATACTGTCATACTGATTAAACATATGAATAATAAGCTTATAGAGATCCGAATTCTGCCCTGAATGTGTGCACACACTTCCTCAGAAAATACCATAGGGCATCCAACCATAAAGGCAGCATCGTACTTCTTTTATACAGTAATAGGAAGCAGATTTTCATAAGTTACAGCAGACAAAGACAAAGTCTCTGAATGTATAGCTGGCAGTTATGTTTGACAGAGTTTAAAGCTGAGGTTAGAAACATCCATCAACACATATAAAAGATAATGCTTTACCCTTTACATTTCCTAAAATGGAAGTGTGCATATGAGCAGTTTTGTACTTACCCTAACAATAGGTAGATAAGTACAGTGATAGAAAGGAAGGGGCCGCGACTGCTGGAGTGTCGGCATAGGAAGAGGATGAGGTAGCAGAGAAGGCTGAGCAACACCACCCACACCATGTGAAGCTCAAAGAACAGGTAGAGTGTGTAAAAGCCACCTGCAATTGTACTCAAATGCTTTACGTAGGAGGGCAGTCTGCCTGTCAATATAAGACAGAGAGAGAGTGAGAGAAAGAGAGAGAGAGAGAGAGAGGCGGCAATCCCACACAGCCCAGCACAAAAACATGTGCAATGACTTTTACTAGAAGACAGTTATTTCAGGTTAGACACTTTCTGGAAACTGAATTTGCGACTTTTTATTTTTTGTACAAAATAATGTAACCTGTATATTACTAAATGTCACAATTTACTCCAGTGTAGATGCATGAAATTCCACCAAGTCATATATTCGTCTTACCAATTCTCCATAGCAGTCTGCACACCAAGCAGATGAGCAAAAGCTGCCATACTTGCTGCAGACCCTGTTGAGCAGTTGGAAGCAGGCAGCCAGAGGGCAGCTCCTGAAAAAACTCCTGTCGACTGAGAGCCCCCATTGCTGTGCTTTAGATACAGACAGAAACGTGACTTATAGGCATGTGCTGTCAGTGTACAGTTTACTCATTTGAACTGAGCGTCATCTAAGATGACTGATCATTACTTTTGACATAAAATTAGACATGACTAAATGTAGGTCATCCCCCTTCAGCTGAACAGGTAACGTTAATGTTCCCTCCTACACACTAGCTGCTAGGGTTTAAACAACGTTACTCGCTATTCCGCAATGCAGACAGTAACTAATTGTAGCTACTGGTCTCGACACGACAAACACCAGTTATTAGCTAATTGAACGTCCCTAGACTGTAATAAATCACAGAGAACGAATTAGCCATTAGCTAACATCATCTAATGTGAGTTATAATGGAAGGTGGCATCCAAGGGATTAGCATTTATCCTCGCTAGCAGCTCTGTCAACGGAAACTGTGAATGCAAGATTCGGTTTTGCTTGTGTGTGTATCACATTTCGCTCACCAAATGCGTCCGTTTGTCTAAAATTATCCCAACGGAGGGAGGAATCTTTATCGTAATGTGTTTAGTTTCGTGTACAGAGCGGCTCCACAGTCGGTACTGATGCTGCCCTGATGTGGCTGATTTCCATTGACGCTCTCAGCTGCTTGGCTCTGCTAATCTGACACACAAAATCACAGACAGAAACCGACCGTCCAATCAGCTTCACAGCAGCAGATGATGGAACCAATCCGCTTCAAGGCAAATCTTCAACAGCACAGGCTGTATCTCGAATGGCTCCCTTCTCCCTATGTAGTGCATAGGTGATGAAAAACGGCTTCTATACAAAAAGTGCATTATTTGTCTAATAGAAAGCCACTTATGTTCAGCCAAAGCCGCACAATTTCCTAAGTAACATTTAATGCATTATTTGGGTGGAGAAGCCGTAGTTTCATGTCAATTTCAGTGAACTAGATAGGTAGATAGATAGATAGATAGATAGATAGATAGATAGATAGATAGATAGATACTTTATTGATCCCAAAGGAAATTTAGGCATATATACAACTAGAAATATACAAAAATATTCTATAAGATCTATCCTGAGGTTATAAAAGGTAGTGCAATAATGAATGTACAAAGAGGTGCAGGAAACAGCATATAATGACAATATAGGGAGTAGGGAGCCTATATAGGGAGTAGGGAGCGAGAAGAGATTCAGCCAGTCTCACAGGAGCCACAGGATGTGTGTGTGTGTGTGTGTGTGTGTGTGTGTGTGTGTGTGTGTGTGTGTGTGTGTGTGTAACTTATATATTTTATTTGTTAATTCGTGGCATTTTCCACTCAACTGTTTTTGAAATCAACTGTAGAGGGACTTTTACTGTGGAAGAGTAGGACGTTGTTATTATTATTATTATTATTATTATTATTATTCAAGTTGATTCTGACTCTTGGATGAACAGTGTTTCTCTAGAGTATCCTCTCTTCGGGTCTTTAAACGTCTTAATGGCTAGTTCATAATATCGCTGATTGTATCCATTGTCATTCTCTTCCTCTTTTACCTTCAACTGTTTCAAGCATATTTGTATTTTCCAATTAATTGGTCATTCTCATTCTTCTCAATATGTCAAAAATAAAATCAAGGATCTATATAATTTTCTTTGATGCCCAAGGTTCTCTCAAAAGTCTTCACCAGAACCAAAGCTCAATCAGTTTTTTTTTCTGTCACACTTATTTACAGTATAATTTTCATATCCATAATGAAGCAGATAAATGACCAAAGATCAAACTGTTTGTAGAGACAAATTATTACGATTACTGACAGGTTATAAAGGAGGACAGAATAGTTCATGCAGGCACACTTTGATTGACTGAAGGTGGGACTTTTATTGTATCACCATTCAGAAGTAGCAGCGCATCGCGGAAGAGAATGTTGAAGAAGAGAGAGACTGGTTGACATTGGACATAAAGAGCTGCTGATGATTAAATAAAAACTATTTTAATTTAAACGTTTGACTTCAAAGGAAGAGAGGAAACTTCGATGTGCTGAAATTATGTTTGGCCCCAAGATTCTGTAAGCAGGAGGTGGCAGCGTCAACACCATAAAAGTCGACTTTCTGTGTCAGTCGCTGCAGCTGCGTTGAATGAGCAACTAAACTGTTAATCATTACTGCCTCGTTTTCTTGGCCAACAAAACTTTTAAATACCGTATTAACGATTTCGCTGAATAGACACGATGGCATATTTCCTCTCTAACCAAATAAATTCAACGGCGTGGAAGCTGCCCTTGGCGTTGAGAACTACTTCGGCACGGTTTGTGCTCACTGAAAATCAGCGCAGATACAGCAGTAACACCGGGACGGAGTCTGAATACTTGCACAGAAGTATTGTTCCAACCATGCACTACCAGAAGAGTTTACCGAGGTGAGTAAGCAGTGCACACAGGCTACTGTGATACTTAGCTGAGCCATTTTAGCTATTTCGCTATTCCGCAAACTGCTGCCCACTCAGGTTCTTTATTGGTTTACACAAATATGTTTGGACAGTAGCCGAACTGACCACAAAGTCATTCATTTACATATAGTGTACTGAAAGGATAGCGTTAGTAGTCAAAAGCTGCTGCTGTGTCTTTCTGAAAAAATGTAGGTAAAAGGGCACGAGGTAAAATGATTACGGGTTGGGAGGGGGCGGGGTGTTACATAAAAATATGTCCCCGTTGGAAATTCTCATAAGGATATTTTTTTTCAAAATAACAGACACATCACGGCTATGTATCCATTGTAAACTGTGGCATTTGTAAAGGGGGATTTTTTTTCAAAATTTTTACATAATTAATTAAGACATTTTGTAGAAAATTTACAGTAGTTTGATGTGAAAGGCTCAGTTCTATTGAGACGTCCTGAGGCAAAATGGTTCGCAATGATGGTGATAGGAACCAGATGTCGGAGGAGTTAAAGGGGAACTCCACCAATTTTTCAAACTTACTGCATAATTAAATGGTTAAGATGTAAACGAAGCTGAGACATTATTTTGCCATAACATTGAGAAAAAGTTTTGGCCAAAAACACACTTTTAAAATTCATTCATGGTGAAGAGGTACATACAGGGCATTGTAAGGCAAAACAGTACCCAAAGAAAAGCTTTTTCGGACTTGTTTGGATGTTTTTTCTATTATCAGCATTACCAGAAAAAAAACTCAGAAGACTCATTGGTAGTTTGGGGTAGCAAATAAAATGGCTATTTTTGGGTTGTGGGCATTGCAATCCTTTGTTTCTATCACCACCACTGTAAAAAATGGTAGCCTGTAAGTTTTTCTACAGTGCATTTCATATCAAAACACTCCAAATGACGTTGCTTACATCTCATCTGGTGTAATTCCCCTTCAAGCGTTGCTGCTAACCTTTTTTCTTCTTATTCATTATGGTCAGATTACCAGTGCCAAAACTTGAAGACACAATACGGAGATACTTGGCAGCTCAAAGGCCCCTTCTAAATAATGAACAGTACAGGTAAGCAAAACAAAGTCTTCATATGGATTTTCTGAAAAGTATCTGAATAGCTGAATGTAGAATAATTGAAATAAACTGATATTAAAAAGTGTATGTGCATATTTTGTTTGTACAGTAATACAGAGAAGTTGGCACATGATTTCCAGAATGGCACTGGGAAGCAGTTACATGAGGAGCTTGTGGCTCGTGATAAAAACAACAAGCACACCAGCTATATTTCAGGTAAGTAGCTGCAGGCTGCCACTTAAAATATTTCTGTTGGTTATTCATTATGTAGCATAAATGTAATCGTTGATACAGCAATCATGTAACATTGTGTTGACAGAGAACAATTTCATGGTGTAGAAACCGTGTTTCCTAATTCTGCTCTTGGACTCTCACTGCAGTGCACAGTGTCAAATATCCTCTGCACCGATACACCTCATCAACTGATTATCAAGCCTTTCATGAGCAGGATCAGGCATATTAGAGTGGAGAATAGCTAAAACTGTGCAGGTGGACCCCATGAACAGGATTAATGAGCAAAGTAGAGACCAGTTGGTTCCTGAAGATTGTCACTGAAAAAACATAACAGCAGAACTTTCTAATGTCCCACTATAAGTTCAGGGTTATGTCTGTGGAGTTATGTTTGTTTGTATTACTTTGTTTACATCTTAACCATTAGATAATGATGAAAAATTGTAAAAATCACTGGAGTCCTCTTTTAAGCTTATGCCAGGACTGAGTGTTTACTGTATATTTACTGAACTAAAATTTTCTTTTTTCCAGCTCCATGGTTTGACATGTACCTGTCTGCCCGTGAATCTGTGGTCTTGAACTTTAACCCCTTTATGTCGTTTAACCCTGACCCCAAATCGGAGTATAATGACCAGCTTGTTCGGGCCACTAATATGGTGTGCTCTGCAGTACGATTTATGAAGACCCTCCGTGCTGGTCTTCTTGAACCAGAGGTGTTCCATCTAAACCCTGCTAAAAGCAATACTGATTCCTTCAAGAAATTTATCCGATGGGTGCCTTCTTCCATTTCATGGTTTGGAGCCTACATGGTGAATGCATATCCCCTGGATATGTCTCAGTACTTCCGTCTCTTCAACTCCACGCGCATTCCCAAGCCCAAGCAAGATGAGCTCTTCACTGACGAGAAAGGCCATCACCTGCTGGTCATGAGAAGAGGTAACCTGTATGTATTTGATGCAGTAGATAGGGATGGTAATCTGGTGAAACCAGCTGAGATCCTATCGCACCTCAAGTACATTTTGGCAGACTCAACACCAGCTCCTGTGTTTCCTCTGGGTGTTCTGACAAGCGAGAACAGGGATGTTTGGGCAGGACTTCGAGGAAAGCTTCTGGAGGCAGGGAACAGAGAGGCTCTAGGGTTAGTGGACAGTGCTCTGTTCTGCCTTTGTCTGGATGAGGAGGAGATGCGTGACCACATACACATCTCTCACAACATGCTTCATGGGGACGGCTGCAACCGCTGGTATGATAAGTCCTTCAGTATCATCCTAGCCAAGGATGGACAGGCAGCTATCAATTTTGAACACTCTTGGGGTGATGGTGTGGCTGTCCTGCGTTTCCAGAATGAAGTCTTTAAAGACACCACAGAAAAGCCGCTCATTGGGCCTGGCTCTCAGCCTGCTGCTGTAGACTCGGCCTCTGCTGTCCAGCGGCTGGAATTCAAGCTAAACGCTGAACTGCAACATGGAATAACAAAAGCCAAAGAGAACTTCCATGCTGCTGTCTCCAAGCTCACCATTGATGCCATGGAGTTCAAGCAAGGGGGGAAAGAACAGCTGAAGAAGAAGAAGCTCAGCCCTGATGCCATCGCACAGCTAGCTTTCCAGATGGGATTCCTGCGTCAGTATGGGCAGACCGTAGCTACATATGAGTCCTGCAGCACTGCTGCCTTCAGACATGGCCGAACAGAGACCATCCGTCCAGCCAGCATTCACACACAACGCTGTGCTCAAGCCTTTGTTCAACAACCAGACCAGCACAGTGTGGAGCAGCTTCAAGGCCTGCTGGATGCCTGCTCCAAATACCATGGCCAGCTCACCAAAGAGGCAGCCATGGGTGAGTGAAATCTCAGTCTTATTCTTCTGTGACAGCCTAGTTCACTAAAGGTATAGGCCAAAAAAATTCTGGCTGAAAAAAGGAACTTGCTGTGTTGAAAGTATAGTTTTTGTATAGGTTAATTTTTCCCTAAGGTCCTTTTTTTTAACATTTGTGTTTTTATTAATTCCAAAAAGATGATGGCAAAAACATGATAATTTTCTCTCTTTATCCCTTAGAATTAAACAAGCTGTTTTTGTTACTGTGCCTTTAAACCTGTTCTGTATAAATGATCTCTGTTTTAATTGGCTGCCTTGTACTGTGTCTCATTTAAAAAGCAGTCTGGCCTAAAACACTCCACTAAACTAAAGCACTAACCTGCTGTAGGCTGAATAGCTAGACGTATGTAGATGTGTTGATTTTTATGACATCATTCAAATTGGGCTATTGTTGGAGTGTAATATATATGTAGTAAATTTTTAAACTTTAACAGTGTTCACATAATACATCAAAATATGTAAAATTCAGTTTTCCACAATGTGTGCTGTGTGGGCAGGACAGACCACATCAGCTTTGTGACTGGTGAGGGGACTACTTATGTATGCACAACCCAAGATTAGAACTGCCCAGTTTTTATATCAAAAGTGGAGAATGATAGCAAAATACATTGGCTATTTAGTGGGCACTGGTAGGTTTTTTGAAGGACATACTTTGAACATGTATTTTGTGTGGCCACAAGAGCAAAATTAACCTACTTTTATCTGTACATATGTTTTATAATATGTATTTATTTTTGTCACTGTCATTTCATCTTTTTTTTACCAGGACAAGGGTTTGACAGACATCTTTTTGCCTTGCGCTACCTCGCTAATTCTAAAGGAATGACGCTCCCAAGTCTGTACCAGGACCCAGCATATGCAGCCATAAACCACAACATCCTGTCCACTAGCACTCTCACTAGCCCTGCTGTAAGTCTGGGTGGCTTTGCTCCTGTAGTGCCTGATGGTTTTGGAGTGGGCTACGGTGTCCATGATGATTGGATCGGATGCAACGTGTCCAGCTACCCCGTCAGGAATGTCCATGAATTCCTTCGATGTGTGCACAAGTCCCTTGAGGACATTTTTAATGTTATTGAAGGAAAACCTCTTAAATCCAGTTAAGTGCTCTTAGAAAAGAAATCCACACTAAGACACTTCATTTAAAGACCTCATTTTAGTGTGAGATAAGACCTTAGTTAAAACCTTATCGTGAGTCTCATTGCATTTGATATCATTTACTGTTACAGGTTTACGCTGTAATTGCTTTAGATGCATCACACAATGTTGGAAGAGATATATATATATATATATGTTCATTGTTTGAAGCTAATAATTGAATGTAATGCAGGGATGTATTTTCTAACAAAGCATTTGGATGAACACAACCTGATCATTTTTCTAGATATAATATTTATCTGAAACATTTTCAGCTAAATACGCATGATCTGTAAGTCCAGAAACTCATCTGCACTTTCAGTCTCATTGATGAAGGTATTGATAAAATTCCATAAAGCTGGACAGGTCAGAAGAACATTGGCTGTTCAGAATATGTCCATGCTTGTTATATCTAGTTTACTGATTGCAGTTCATCTATGTAGCCTTAATTACAGTGAGGAGCATATGAGTTTGGTTTTTTTTCTGTTCATGTGATGTGTAGTTGCCACTATGTAACGTGGAAGATGCTGTGAAATGATGTTAATGATATACACTGTCCCTGTAGAGTTTAAATATTTGTATATATTTAATCTCAGCTGAGAATGATCATTATTAATGGACTAAAAAGAGCTGTTTTGCCTCACCAACAAAGCACAGGGGATGATTGTGTCCATTTATAATTCATTTATATAATGAATATCTTTGCTCTTATTTCATGTGAGCAACACATTTGTGTCTTTAAGGCAGCAGTCATCAATATTGTTATATCATCAACATGCCTTTGTTGATTTTAACGTATTAAACCAAGGAAAAGCCAAAATAAAGCTGTTGTTGTTAAAGGTTGACATCTTTTGACCTACAGTGCATTTGGATACAGGCAGAACTTAACAATACACTATTACTGGTGGTTCACCAGTACAAATAAGTTTTAGTTTCCTTCAACCAGTTCCAGTCCTTTGTCCATTATGATTTTTAATTCCTACTAGGTCTGGGCAACAGGGCGATGTAATCGGATGTAGTCCATAACTGACAAGTAATCCGTTGGCGATGCGTAAAAGGCGATAATTGACATGGTGGGGGAAAAACAGCCGATAACCGGAGTACTAATTTACTGTTAAATATGTTGGACAGTTGTGGTTCACATTTGTGAAGTGTGTGAAAAATATTATATAAGTCGGCTTTTTCTGGTTGAGAGAAAGAGAGACATACAGAAGCTGCTCGTTAGTTATCCCTGCTACACACTGATGCTAGTTTTACTGCACGGCTCCTCCCTTTCTGTTTGTTTACTTTACAGCAAACCTATTATAATGACAGGCGAAGTACTTTTCAGATGATGTTGATTTACTCTGTATTATTGTATTTAATGAGTTTTATAAAAGATTTATTAAAATTTGTTATAAACAAGCATATAAACAACAAAATAAAGTCTAAGCTGCTAGACTTTCTGAACTAAAAAAATATAGTGCTAATTATTTTTTTTAATGTCACCCAGGCCTACTTCCTACTTTAAAAAAAGGAACTCCCACGTTTGAGTGAATCAATCATTTATTTAAAAAAGAAAAGAAAAAAAAAACAACAGCAGATAATCAGAAATTTACAAATGTTAAGAAGCCAAAAAAACAAAAGAACTGTCACACTGTAAAAACTGTTGAACTTAGATAGGCTTGATCTTGAAATGGAGCCCAATGAGACTGAAGACAAGACACTTGAGGTCCTGTACCAGGTAGTAGAACACCCGGAGGCCTTCTGGGTCCCTGAGGAATAAGAAAATTCAATGGATTAGCAATGTTGATGTAATGCAGGCCACAACAGCAGGTAAAACCTGTGATGCAAAGCTGGAAGTTTCTCATTACATCAAGGAACAGGACAAACCCTTGCCATTAAATTCACAAGTGAGAAAGGGGCATTCTTCACTGGGAGTCCAGAAGCATTATCTGTATAGCATGAAACCAAATGATGATCACAAGCAAATGGCCACATAACATGAAAACAAGAGGAAAACATCCTTTTTCTGTGTTAACATGAATTGTTTGTAGGTGAGCACTATTTGATTTCTCTCATAAGGTTCTAACATACAAAGCATGTTTTATTTGGACATCAACAAATTAATTCAAATATGTGTTTGAATAACTTTAGTGGGATAATAATAATTATACCCTACACATCTAACTTTTTTGGACAATGAAAAAAACCATTTCCAAATATCTTGTATTTTTATGTTGCTTTTGTATTACATTTAGTAGGTCATGTCTTTTAGTTTGATCACCATGAGGGAAACATTTGTGGATTTTCAGAAGTATGTATAAAAAAAACCCCACATTTCACTCCTTTAGACATATTCTAAACTACTGTGTGACAAATCCTTAAATGTTCTATCAACGCTTTTGTTTAAAAATGTTAATTTATTTTCTGGTTTAGGCAATAGGCAACAACTGAATACATGATCAGCTCCAGAAATCCTGGAGCTGACTCCAACTCTTGACTCCTGCTGGTGGAGATGATGGAGTTGACTCTCCAACTTAGCTTGTTTTTAACTGGTAGCACCATACCATTGATAAAGGGATATAGCAAAGATTAAACCTTCTCATTGTAATTTACAGCACTATCAAAAACAGGACATTTAACTACATGGCAGAGTTATGGTAGGCTACAACTGACTTTTTTTTTTTTTAAGTCATGTTGCTTCTGTTGAGTGTAGCCTTAAGCTAATTTTTAAATGTGTTTCTTAGATAAAAGTTACCCCATGACAAAAAAAGCTTAAAATCTACAAGTTACTGGCTTTATTGATTGTTGTTTAAACCAGTGGTTCTCAAACTGATTCTCAGACACCCATTTTGGTCCTGATTTTTTGCTCTCACCCAACACATAGGAACAGAGGTAAAATTTGAGGACCAGCTTAAGAACAACTGGTTTAAACAATAAATATGAACTTTAAACTAGCCCCGGTCAGGTCATATATGTTTGTTAACTTGGGCTAACAATGTGTGGTAAATATAAGAACATTAATAATGTTCAGCTATCTGTCAAAACAATTTACCAAAAGCACAGTTCACTTATTTACATTTTGCATTTACATTTGTCACACTGCTGCAACACTTACTTAGACTGGTTGACATCAATCAAAGATCCAATTTTGGATGTTGTGAAAGAGATGTGTTCATCGCCAATGACAATCTCCAGTTCCTAGAAAATGAAAATGAAAAGAATCAAAATAACTGAATACTTAAAATGACCTGAAAACTTACTTTTCCAAAGTTTGTGACTGACTGCTTTCCTTGCAGTGTGAGGAAAAAGTAATGTTCTAGTTGCAGGACAAACCTGTCTTCCGACCCTATCAGGAGGGGGCCACAATGCATCGTCTTCCTTGGTGATTTCACTGTCGTCAATGATCCTTTTCAGCTCCTCCATCACGCTCTTGTGAACATAAGCCTAAGAAAGACGACATAAACCTGAAACCATGCTCTTCACACAAAAGAATGTTTAAAATATAAAGAACAAATGTTTTACCTCCTTTCTGATCATGACATCATTTTTATAGTTGCTGTTGTTGGCGTATCTCAGCTTCCCTACACAAAAAACAGAACAATCATTACCATACTCTACAGAAATCTGTAATAGTTAACATCTAATTGGTGTGTGTACCTTACAATTTACAAGTGTAACTACACTGGTTTAACAACTGTGAGGACAGGGCTAGGCAGACAGGGCTGCATAATATTTAACCTCTTGCAACTAAGGGTAAACAATGTTGCAAAATATAACATCACATACACAAACTTGCATCACGATATTTAGTTTTTCTGTGGTTTGATAAGTTGGAAGAGAGGAAAAAAGATCGGTAGTGCCACATTTAAAAACTACTAGATTCCTATTCAAACAACCATACATACAACATTTTCAACAAAACCATACTGTAATGCAATTATCTACTGCCCACCCCTAATCAAAACCCAGTTGTGGCCTTTACAGTACGGCTCTTGCAAAAGATTGCAACATTCAAAACAGGTTCTTCATCAAAATAAAGTTTGAACTTTGTAGTGCTGTAAGTATCCTGACCCAATAAGTGTTTATGTAGGAGTTTATATAAACATACCCCATAATCCAACAAATATAGAAAAGTAGAATTACATTAGTAAACCTTTCAAATGTATCACGAAGAAATTTTAATTGCACCGTAATCGCTATACGTTTATTTGGTTCATATCGTGCAGCCCCAGAAGAGATGGAGTTTAACAACTGAACCGCCTTCACTGAAATAACCTCCGAACACGAACTCAAGTCTACGTAGACCGAGCTAGCTAGCTCACCACTATACTCATCTATAATATTACTAATATTATTACAACGACAAAACTTTTCTCTCCTCGCAGAAGTTCGAGTGAAACCTGATTTTCAGGCCTGAAGCCGGTCGCTCACTCCGACGGCACTGGTCGCTGTTAGCACGCTGGCTAGGTAACGCTAGCTTAGCTCACTGGCGCTAAACTGGAAGTTACTCACCGTCCGGCCTGAATTCAAACTCCAGAAACTCGTGTCCGAATTTTCCCTTGTGGCCCACATAATATCTTAAATAGAAGTCGCTTGTCGACATAACTGTGCTATTAAAGTCTTGAAGACTCCCGGAGATGTAAAGCGACAAAACCTCACGGGTCCCAAACTGAACCACCGATTAGCAACTCGTACGAGCTTACAGCGTCGCACACTGACGTCATGAAGGGCGCGTTTTGATGATGATTGGGGCGAGCTTGTAATTACCAACGGCGACCTCGTGAGGGCAGTAAAAACACAGATTCTCCTGGGGCGGTGTGGTGGTGGGGGTCCAGAGAACTTGTAGAGAGGAGAATTATCAGTCTGCAATGTCTTCCGGGTTTCTCAAACACTAGAGGGCGCTCCCGAGTGAGTCCAAAATGAATGGGTTGATATGGAGCATTTGAGCAAAATCATAGTTTATAAATGCTTAAACATTTTAATGTAAAATAATACATTCATTTCCTAAACACAGAACAGCATAAAACATTTTAACACTGCTGTTATATGTTTAAGAGCTTTAAAACACGAGTTATAGGAGTTTAAAACGGCTCTTCATGTATGTCCATGACGTCAGTGAGCGCGAACAGCCAATGAGCTGCTCCGCTCGCCAATCAATCATCACGCTCTAGCACTAATGCCCGCCTCCTGCTGTCCAAAACCCGTTTGCTGTAGAAAAAAGGAAATATATAGGTAAGATTTCTTTGTTTTTTTAGTGAAATACATCCTTTTACTTTCTAAAATTAAAGAAACGTTCTGGGCGATTGATTAGAAACTATTTTAACTTTTCGTTTTTAGCCGTTGAGCGCTATTCATTGCGGACTTACTCGCGGGCGCCCTCTGCTGTTTAGCAGTCCTGTTTTTGATATAACGGGGGGAATAGGAAGTGGCCAGGCTCCTCATAAACCGGCTCTGGGGGGTCTCTGGTAAAAAAGCGATGGCCTATATATTCTGGTTTAAGGGGAGCCTGGCCATTTTCTATTTTTGTCAGAAACATGACTGCAAAACGCCAGAGGAATTTCATTAACATATAAGAGTGTTAGTGAGGTTAGTGGATGATTGGTTCTGGATCAGTTGCTACTCCAACAAGATATTTGATATTTGCGTCCCATTTAGAAATACTTTTCTATAGATTATACAAACTGTATGCGCACATTGAAGAAGCTGAATTCGAAGAGGTGTCTGGACACTTTTGGACACAGTGTATATGAACATTATAGGCAGACCACATGCAAGGTACAAAACTTTATTTTAATCTTTCATTTCATTTATCTTTTTATACAACTTGCTTAATTCGTTTAACACATTTACATTACAATACAATGTGAATGATTGAGACGCTTACAATGAAGACCGAACACATCATCCAGGTTTTTAATTCAGATATTTTGCAAGCAGTAGCCTATAGATTGTTGTTTGAACGCAGTGGCTTGCGCTGCTTGCAAGCTTTCTGACAGCAGAACCACCATCATCTCATGTGTGGACCTTTCATTCAAAGACACCTGGAATCTGATCTGCATAAATCTATCATCACAAAGATCTCTCAGCTTTAAATACAAGGATCATGGCCAAAAGACATCACTCATTTAAGATCAACTCATTTTAAATACCTGGCCCACCAGGCATAACACTGCATATATGCAAGCTTCTTTTAACAGTAGAAAGTGTCAAATTTCCAGTTTGGGAATATCAACATTTATACATATGTGACATAATCTAGGAAAATCAATACAAAATTTGCAATTGAGTCTATGGATGCATTGCACAAGAATAAACTCCACAGTGAACTTCACACCTTACAATGAAATCAAGTGTTTTGTAATCTGCATCATTTGTAATCACATAGGATTATGATGGTCACATAGTGGTTTTGTGTCAGTTACAGTGATCGTGTTTAACCTGTTTCTATGGTAATGAAAGTGGTCAGTAGCAGTTGATATAAGGCATATTGCAGTTTTTTTTTCCCAAAAGCTGGCATCTGAAGAAACCAAACCATGGGTATACCTGATTTAGGTGTGCATGTTTTGCATGAGTATTTGTAGATGTATACAAGCAGTACATGCCTTAGACAGGCTAGTTAGGAGGCAGTTGGTAATGATTTATATCAGAACACACTGATCCATAGACATTAAATACTGTACATAAAACATGAGCAGTCTAAAAGCAATTATTTACACAACTTTTGGGGACAGGCCAAAAACCTAGCAAACTTTAAGTAACCAAGTCACAGAGTAACATTTATATGTTAGGCCCTTATGGCAGAGATTTTTATTGGACTTTGGCCCCCAAAACACCACAATTATGAATATAGTGTATAATCACATCAAATGCATATTACACTTGTAATTGTATGAAATACCCTGTATCATAGCAGCAGTGTAAAGGGAAATGTGTCTGCCAGACGAAAAAAAGAACAAGAAAATCAGCCATACTGGTTGTTTTCTCAGGGTCATGAGTCATACTTGTAATTTCCTGAGGGTTGTCTTGTTTAAAGAAATTAAGTAAGACCTTTGTTGTGATTATGATATAAAAAATGGGTTCCCTTTTTTATCTACCTTCAGAGAAGAGTGTTTAGAGTGTTTTGAGAAGTAGTAATGAGCCCTTTAAGGGAAAACAAAAAGGAAACACTATCAGTTCTCTGGATACGTCCCTGAAGCAGCTTAAGTAGAATATTATGGGAGATGGAGCGAGCATTGGGATCCTGAGCAAGAGAAAAAGTGAGCCTTGTGCATCCTTCAATAGACTGAAAATGCATATTAAAGAATGCCAAATGGATTCTTTGGTGATTTTTGTGTTTCATAGTGATTGGAGTGGCATCACGGTGTATGCTTCATGTTGCTAGGTAACAAAATCAAAACAAAAACATGGCCAGTAGTGCTAAACACTAACCCAAAATAAAGAAGGTCAATGATCTCCTAAAGACATGCAGGCAAAACAATCTGATGACCGTAGTCCTTAATATATAGAGCATTCATGACCTAAAATACTTAAAGACTGGCAAAAGTTCAGGAAAAAAAAACAAACGAAAAAAAACAAAACAAAAAAAATATTTAAAGTACATGATTTTTCATCGGCCTATAAAAATGTAGAAGACAAAGGATGCAACATCAAGTATGGTACACAAATGACACTGATATGGGTTCTGGACTTATTTAATCTGTGTTAAAGGAACTGGCTACATAGGACCTGGAGAATAACCAAATTCCCTTCTGGCTTTAAGTGTCTGTCACAGAATTACTACTTCTTTTTACAATACAAATTCCACCCTGATGTGTACAGAAGATGGATATTTACTGAAATGTAGCATGAAGATAGTTATCTTTCCTTAGGAGCGATGATCAGATTGTACTTTCTGGTGAAATAATTGGTAACAGGCCAAAGACGGAAGTGCTGACAAAGTGCTTGGCAGGAAATATCATGCCAATATATGACATTAACTCTAAGTAGGCAAGGGCTCTAGCAGTAATGTTGAAAGATGCAAGACCTTCACTTTGTATTCCCACCTTCACAATTTTGCACTAGCCTACTACTCTACCAGCTAGGTCCATTTGGCAAAACTGTAAAGCCGTGTGGACATTCTCCTCCTTTACTTCACAAATCCTCTCAAACAGGGGGGCAAAGAGTTAAAAGAATTCATAAATAAATAAGACAGAAAAAAAAAAGTTTGACCTGTCATCATTTTGAACCAGGAGCATTTCCCTCAAAAAGTGCACAGACCAAAAAAAAACCCAAAAAAAACAAAAACAAAAAAGGACATGAAACAATAATAATACAAAATCAAAGAAGGCATTTCTTGAATTTCTTAACTGTTTTAAATACAGTATTTGTGAACTGCAAGTATGTACAAACAATCCTCCATTTCTCCCTCCAGTCCTTTACTGTCATCCTTCTCTCATTCCCACGTTCAGTGTGCATCAGTGTGGCCTGCTGCTGGACTCTGACGGCTGCCGCTTTCGTGGTGCGCTATGGCCATTGAGACAACCGTTCAGCCGTTTGGTCAAACCACCATTCAGAATGTCCTGGATGTGCTGCACTATCAGATTTATGGCAACTGAAAACAGATAAGAAGCATGCAAAGTTAAACAGAGCTGCATATAACATCTGTAGTGGGTAGGCATGATGACCATCTTCAATGGGATGGTATTACACCAAGTAAAATACTCAAACATGGGGATGCTCAGTGATATTGGTACCATGTGGGTATCAGCAGATGTTTGCATGAAAAAAGAAATAACAGCATCAAACAGATGTTTAAATGATTTCCAACTGATATTTGATGACTGCTGTACTCTGGAAGACTACAATGTTGTAGTGATGCTGGGTTACTTTGCTAAAATGTCTCAAAGTTATTTATTTTACTGCACTATAACCCCTTTACAAATAAGTGTTATATTTTCCCTGTAATCAAGCTGGATTTAGTAATAGTTTCAACATTTTATAAATGTTTATGTATTGGTATGTACATGAAAAATATTGCACTGGTCCACAATTCCCATATCCCTAATCAAAATATCTGCTATCATTAAGGTGTAAACAATGGAAAAGGTCAGAGAATAATTTGAAGCATTTGTAAGATCTGGATTAAGGAAAAGCATCTGAACTGTTGTTCTGCTTTGCTTCATTTTTATAAATCTTTTTTTCACTTGAATAAAATATTCTAAACTGCTTGTTACCACATAAGGGGTCAGCAATCTAGCAAACTTGAAATGACTAGGAGTAAGTTTTGGGGAGTAAACAAGCACCAGAGGGAGTGCGGGGCACACAAACACACATAGTAGAATCTGAGAATGGCCTTGTTAGACACCATCAAAACATCCCATGGCATTCCAAAACAAAATAAGAGATAGATGTTACCAAAACATTTCTGCAGTTTCATGGTCAAGCAGTGCCTAATCACACATTTGGACAAAGAAATAAAGTAACAGACACCCACTTACACACATTCACACACTCTAATCTCACCTAGATTATCAGCTCCCCTTGGGATGATCACATCAGCATATTTCTTTGTCTGAGAACATAAAAACAAGCAGGATTATGTAAGAGTTCCAGGGAAAAATCCTGTCAAGTGAGTTTCAGTTCATAAGCATTTCTGAACCTGTTCCTTGCTGACTTCATGCCAAACACATTCTTTGTGAAACGGACTCCTTGGAAAAGTTTCCAATGTCTGACTCATTTTAACTGGGACCAGGAAATAACGATTTAATAACACATTTGTGAAAAGACTTGTAAGACTTGTAAAAACAAGTAGTTGCACAATCAAATACTGCAGCATGTGAACAAATATGTTGACAGAACTCAAACATTAAACAGCTACAAAACAATAATAAAATCTGAAATAAAAACTTGGGTACACTTAAGGTTAGGACATAAATCATAATATGGGTTCATAATTTGCATTATATTCCAATTAAATTTTGCGCTTCTTTTATGTTAACTGAAAAAAGGGTTATACAAACAACACTATTTATTTTCTATAGAAACACAACAAAAGGAACATAGTTGGCTGCTCAAACAGCAGGTGTGGTAGTGACACAGAGCAAAGAGGTAAAAAGAAGGGCAACACCTGGCACAGGAAGGAGGAATAGTGGTTCACTGATAAACATGAAGACAGTTAAACTGAATAGTTAGTGAAAAACACAATGACCACAAATAGTGCTGGGTGACATATTGTCTGTACTGGTATACCAACAGTGTGTCACAATGATATTGGTCAGCAGTTTTACACTGACAGATAGCAAGCATTATATCCATTATATTATGTCATTCTATCTAAAAAAGGTTCCTTTCTGAAAATCTGGTTAGCATTTACAACACTGTTCCCTTTGGTATAATTTCAAAAGAAAAAAAAAACAGAACAAAACAGTCCACTCAAAACAAACTTATGTCAGGTTTGCAAGACATTCTGTTAGCATAGTGTACCAAACTAAAAATGGTTTGATGCTTTAACTTAAAGTAACCTGGTTACCTTGAAATGTTGAGTTCACTCAACCTTTAATAGTAAGCTAACAAATAAAAATAAATCGGTAATATACATTCTGTTACCTTACTATGTGAAGTTCAATGAATCAAATGAACAACTGGTTACTGAATCACTAAATCACATACCATAGTATTGTTATATTTGGAAAATATTTTGATACTTCAGTTTATCAGTACCACCCAGCACTAACCACACACACACTCCAGTTTCAACTTTCCAGTCTCAACCAAAAATGCTGTGCTAACTTCATATACGATTTGGAAGCCACTCAGTGAAACCCACTTGTAAAAACATCTAACTCGATTCAATCATCATCAAAACTTGAAACAGTGGAAGGAAGCAATATTGTTTGGTTGATTTTTTTTGTAGAAAAGAATAAATAATGCAACTTCATTATGTATTACTCAAATACTGCAGTGTCACCCAAAATGTTAATGTATGTTCTGCCAGATTTTGAACTGGGAGAAAGATGGAAGGTTCTATAAAGAGAAGTAGGGTGTGGAATACAGCTTGACTCACTGGCAGGCAGAACTCTTCGAAGGCAGGCTTCACAAACGTGATATACTGGTTTAGCACCTGCTCTAGGTCCCGTCCTCGCTCACTGATGTCTCTCAAGACTAAAAGACAAACCATGAAATAAAATTACATAGGAATTAAAAAATTTTCAGTTAAGTATGTATTATTTAAACATAACACTAGGAATTATTCTATATTCTATGTTATTCTACTATGAAACTAATGTTTAAGCTATGTAGTTAGAAATGTGAAATAAAGCGTAGGCTCACATAAAAGCCATTTTTGGTTTAAGGGATTAAAACTGTACAAACCAATCAGATTTTTTCCTGGTTTATTTTGTGTTGGATTTCAACTGTGAACAATGAATCCTTTTTTCTCCATTCACCTCTGCGTGAGAGTCGTGTATCTGCATCTGTATCCACAAACAGCTTCATCTGAAACAGGTCCCGGATCTCCTGTGAGTAGAACATGAGGATTCCCTCAAATAGCACCACGTCAGCTGGGTACACAGTGACCGTTTCCTCTTTCCTGTAGAGAAACAAAGCCGGAGGGATAATGAAAACTCAACAAAAAAGCTTCTTCAACCAGGTATTCGTACACATAAACGACAAAACGCCAAAAATGGCTGTAACTTCAAGCCTCAGTCTTAAAAAACACACTACTGAACTATCGCTGTCCAAATCAAATTCATAGTTCTTTAAGAAGCATTAAGAACTGACCTTGAATGGGTAACAAAGTCATAGACTGGGATCTGAACTGTTCTTCCATCCATGATGTCCCACAGAGTCTTCACTATCAACTCGTTATCAAATGCATCTAATGACAAAAGCAAACAAGGGATGAGCCTCAAAGATCCACAGGTTGGTAATCACTAGGGCAAGGTGACAAACTGTTACAAGGCTAGTGTGACAGCAGGTCTGTTAAGTCAGGAAATTCCACACACTGACACACACTTCAGCATCTGCTGAAGACTGCAGATACCTGTCATTTGTTGTATATGTCCAAAGATCTGGTCAACACACATTTTTTTTCTGAAATCAATTAATTAATAGGCAGTTTGCCCACTTTTTGCTGCAGTAACTCTATTCAGGTAAAGAAGAGCGGCTCCACAGTCCAATGCTGCGAGACTTTATGACCTTCTAGCCGGCCACTGGCATTGGGCATGGTGACCTCAGGCTCCTTAAATCTTATGCTTTTTTTGTGTAAATTATACCATCTGTGTTTGTGTGCAATTCAACACTTGTGTCAGCAATGCACCTTAAAGGAATGGTTTGGCAAGAAATCAAATTTACACTATTTTCCACATACCCCAGATCAATCAGCCAAGACATGTCTGGTGTCCAAATTTGCTTCTTTAATTTTAAACTGGAGCTAGGGGGTTAACGTTGTACAAACACTAGCAGTCAATATTCAACCAAATGTGAACTAAAAAATACACAAATCAAAACTTCACTGTGTAGCAAAATCAAAAAGAAAATCAAAGGAAAATCAAAAAGATCCGGTCAGACAGCAGTCACCCAGCACACAGCCTGTTCACCATCCTGCCATCAGGCAGGAGATTTTGTAGCACACAGGCTAGAACAACCCGGTTAATGAACAGTTTCTACCCACAGGCTGTCAGGATTTTGAACAAGCTGTGAAGCTGTGGGTTCTTCCCCAACTACCATATCACTCAGTCACTTTGTCAGCATTATTATTAGAGAACAATAACACTAAGTCACTTTAAAATGTATATTGTCTCTATATTTTTGTATACTTTCTCTATAGTTTGTGTATATTTAATATATTTCAGTTTGTTTTTCTTATATTTTATTTTTACTTATTTACTTTCTGTCGAGTGATTAGCTGAGCCTCACCACAAGCATTTCAATGCATACAGGTCCTGACATGTTGTGCAAATAACAAATAAACTTGAAACTAGCTAAACGCAGCAGGCAGTTGTGCTGAATTCTGACTCCTCACAGACTCCCCTTCACATTCAAATGCATTACAGGGGCATATGGACTCTAGAGTGTTGCTTTTCTGCTTAGCATAATAGTACAGAGTGGTTATCTGAGTTACTATAACCCTTCTGTCAGCTCAAACCAATCTGACCAATCTAACCTCTCTTCACTGCCAGTCATATTTTTCTTTATTGCATCTTTCTGAGTAACCACTAGATACTGTTGCGTGTAAAAATCCTAGGAGATCAGCAGTTAAAGAATACTCAAACGGGCCCATCTGGCACCAACAATCATGCCATGGTCAAAATCAGTGAGATCATTTTTCAAGCAAAATCTGCATACCAAACATGTCTCAGCACTGGGGTAAATGGAATATTGTGTAAATTCGATTTTTTGTCATTTTAATGTCATTATTTGTAGGCTTGGATACTTTTGGACATACAAGGTACATCAAGCATTCTGTAGAATGGGATCAAACACAACAGAAATGGTAACAAGATGATGGAAGGGGTATAATCATTTAGCTGTTTTAAAAAAAAATGAATCTGTAAAATGATACAAGAGTGTAATATCCAAATAGATACATTATTTAACTATTGTTCTCCACTGCTTTTCAGTTCTATTTAACTGAGTTATATTACTGCTGCCTTACCTGGGTGATCAAAATTGAACTGTCCTTTGAGAGCTTTGGCCTTTTGCTCTGAAGTTAGCACCTTGTAGAAGCTGTCCTGACTGAGAATTGCAACCTGCCTTTGGTGATGGTCAATCTTATTTTGGCCAAGGAGCTCCATGATCTTTGCACAGACTGATGACTAAAGGTAAAACAGAAACAAAAAAAAATCATTCAGATAACTTTTCAGACAGGGTTTTGCATTAACCTCTGGAACCTCTGGAAAATGGGTTCACATGTTAATGACTGAAAATTGGATTCTGTACTGTAAAGTGTAGAAGAAATTCATCAGCATTCTGCAGATACTGAAGTTATAAATAAGTGGTAAATTAAACAATAGTTTACATTTAATTAACATAAACATTAACATAAAGCACTATAAGCTGCATTATATGTCTGAATGGTGCCATATAAATAAAACATAGAACACAGACGCAATATTGGTGCACGTTAACAAATACTACAAAAATTACTTTTCAAATCGGATCTGGGCCACTTTCATATATGTTCCTAGATCGGGTAGATATCTGATTCGTGCCCATGAGACCATCATGAGAACGGTCAGATTAGAATCTATATGTTGTTTTACAGCGCATGCACCATCTTTTAATCATAACGCAGTATTTAACCCAACCAGTAAACAGTGCAAAGGCATCTGACCTGTTTTTGCCTTTGTCTTGCTCTAATAGTGAACAGCTGAAAGCTGTACAAAATAAATTATCTTCGCAATGGAGGCTTTTTCCACTGGTTAGTTTGTTTGTTGTTCATGACGCACATGGTTCATTCATGTGACGTTATTGATTAGGGCATGTGCATGCAGGTTGTTTCAGGACGCAAGTTCATTTACATTAATGACAGATTTGAGTCACTTACCTACAGTTAGAAAGATTGGATCTGAGCAAAAAGTCAGAATTGAGCAACGAGGCTTGGAAAGTAAATAAAGCCTTTGAAGTGTAATACTTTTACATCTTTTCAAGTCTAAATGAGTAGTTTGCCTTGTACAGCAAGTCGTGAAAAGGCCTTTAACACCTACAGTGTCACATGACTTGATCAATGGTGTTTTTAACTTTGTTGCACAGTTTACTATTTTGTTTAATATCAGTAAGTAATCATTAAACAAAAAAACTTTATATTAAACTACATGAATGAAATCAATGTGTAATTCTGTGTAGAATTCAGTGTGTTCAGCTTTGTACAGCACAATCTTGAAAATCTGAATTTTTTTTTTTTGCCTTTTCTAATATATTTTTTTTTTTTACACATGCTTGAGACTTACACCATGTCTTCATCTGAGATATTGTTGTGAAATACTATAGTGACCTGTAGTGGCACAGACATGCAGACTTCTTGTCTTGGTTTTCATGTCCTTCATTGTAATGTGGAAGACTCTCTAAAGTAATTTTCTATTCAGGGAGTTAAACCGCAGGCAGATCACAGAATTCACAGCACATTTTATTCTTTTGCTGAAGGCCTGCTTGTTATCATTCTCACTTACTTCGGCTTACTCATGTGTTATTTCTCAGTTTCTCCAGTAGTGCCTTTTTATTCCATGTATAATATACTGTATATATTCCCTGCCTGTGGCATGAATCAGCAATAGATATTTCCAGGAAAAGCCAATACCTTTATGGTACCAACCAAATTATTTTTGAAAAACTATGTCATTCAGTACCAAAAACCTAAGTAGGTAGTCTTGGCATCTGTGAGACAACAAGCATACCGTTCCAAAATCTAGACTGCTGATTGGCTGTCTAAATTGCATCCTGTAAGCTTGTTATTAACACTTGCCCTTTTTGATTACTCTGCAGTCCAGCACCTCACACTCATTTCTGATTTAAGCCACACTCACTTTCAGTTTGTACTTTTAAAGGAGGTATTACAAGAAGTAGAGTTCAGGAATCTGTATTGAAATTAATGTAGTGATATTACTATCAATATCAAAAAAATGAACATTACCCAGCCATAGATGTCAACTCAAAATATGCTGACAGGGTGTACTGCAGATTGTAAAGGCAGTATAAGGCAAATTACTGATAAAACAGTTTACCACAGGTGGTCTAATTTCTGATTCCTGCAAAAAAAAATACTATTTACTAATAACTAATGTGTAACAATATAACTGCTTTCAATCCCCATCTACATTGTCTTGTATATGAAATTATTTCATAGACGGACCAGTAACTATGCAGTATGTAAATTCACATAGTATATTTAATTGGTATTTTATTATTGCCAAAGGCTTACAATGCCCCTGTAAGAAGTTACTGCTCTATTGGGTCTGCTGTATCTACTACTGGCAGAAGTGTACAGTTCACCCAGATGTTACGTTCTCATCTGTTACCAATGCTGTTACAGACACATTTTAACAATACTGTAGCTTTATTAAATGTGTGGTAGGCACCGTACAGTCACAGCAATATTTATATCATTTGCTACAGACCTGATCAAGGGAAAGTTTGAGGGAACTGGGCTCTGTAAGGCATTTTCTATTTCAGAAACCACCCACGCACACATACACACACAATCTGGACACAGTGTGCTATAGAGAAGAATTTGATCTTCATCTTTAAGTAATTTGCTATTTGCAACTCTTTCTGACCACCAATATTTAGCCACATTGCAATCCAGCCACATGGCAACAGTCTGTCACAATTCGTACAAAACATATGAAAGCAAAAAAGCTCAGAAAGGCTGTATGCTCTATGTTTCTTCAATAATAATAATAATAATAATAATAATAATAATAATAATAATGTCTTTCACACAATCAAGGAGGTAAAATTACATGTTTAGTCTATTTTTCTGTGGAAGTGAAAATAAGTAAACACATTCTCTACAGGCGACAAACTTTAGTGCACAATTTCTATTTTTTTATGTATGAATTTGACATTTGGGGGAAAAAATGCAACTAAATATCAAATGTGCCATAACTTTTGCACGTCACATTTTATGTTTTAGTTTTTTCAGCAAATAAACAGTAATTGTCCATTAAAATGTAATGTGTGTGTGCTTCTTTTTACAAAATGTAATTTGACCAGGGGCACCCAAACCTTTGCATACAACTATACATGGAATGCAGCTTAAGTGTCTTTAAATGTGCATAAAAGAAAAACAGCTAATAGAATAAAATAAAATAGAACATTAAATGCAATAAATTTAAAAACAACTAATGACACCAAAATGATAAAACAAGATTTAAGCATTACAGCAGGAAAGTCAAACTAAACAAGTATGTTTTGAGCTGGGTCTTAAAACTAAGTCAAATCACTAAAAATTGATTTTTTTGCAACAAGTTCAATATGTTTGGAGCATAAAAACAGGAGGCAGCACCATGTTTTACACAGGACAGGAAGTTCTGTGCAAGACTGCTGTAAACACCAATTTAGTCATTATTCAGTGGGACAGTCTGAAATGTATACAGGGGATGTACCATTATGTAGCCAATTAAAGGTTGTCAAAATACATTCACTGTTCCCACTTTGTTTATGTCACCAAAGAACTCTCTAACAGTCAAGAGCAAAGTAACATACGCTTATCAGCAACTTTGCCACTCTTATGCTGATGAGTGAACTGGTAACAGCAGCTTACATCTAACCTAGCAAACAGTAGAGAAACCAACATGTAATATCACAGACTCCAACAATTAGTGGATACAATAAATGTATAAATAAACAAACAGAAAGGGTGAGACTAAGAGAAAATGAATGAAGTCACCACAAGGTTTGAATAAAAGGACTAAAACACCAAAGCTTATACACTAATGGAACTTGTCTACATTTAATATGCTACAAAAACGGACATTCAGACAGGAGACAGAACTCATTAGGCCAATCTATCTCTCAGCCCTGTTCCACCAGGTCTCCCAGAGATTTTACCAGCTGCAGTACTGTCTGTCTCAATCCATTTAACATATAATCCGCAAGCACTCTCAAGCTGTTCCTGGCTCTTTGTAAGCAATTATAAACATGTGCTCCCAGCATCTTTTAAGATAAACAGACATGACCACCTCAGGCCTTTGCATCATAACAAGTTCAAGGCCTTTACATGTTCTAATACTATGGCTCATCTAAGGTGCCATTTATATTCATGAAAGAAAGCCTGAGAACTGTTAAACAGAACCTTTACATTAAATTTCAATATTTTTGTTCTGTGTTGTGCTACTGGTCCTATGTACAGCAACATAAATTAGCTTGTAAGCTCCTTAGCATCACTAAGAAATAGTAAAAAATAAATAAATTAATTAATTAATTAAAAATGTCAATAACCTTAGGGAATTAGTCTTTTATAGGATAGGCCCCTACTGTCCCCACTGACCCCCCATCAGTGAAAATGCCAGAACAGGACAGATCTGTTGTGAGGTGGGAAACCCCTGCCCTGGCCTGTCATTGCCCATTACTGCAGACACAGACTTAACCTTGCAGGCCAGACAAAAAAAAACTGTCCAGCCCTTGCCAGTGCTGACTAAACATTCTTCTGCCTCAGTCTGAGGCCCTTTTGTGTACCCAACAAGCTACTCTGCAGTTTAGAGATCTAATGCCAATACCACCTAGGCTAGGCCGGACACCAGTGGTACGACGCACTACCATGAATGATTGGGATCCAGAAATTCTTTTATCCAACATATATAAGCAGACTGAATTAAACAAGGTTCACTCTTTGGCATCACTCTAATATCCAACAACTGCAAATTCTATCAACAACATGTCCCTACATAAGTACAATGAAGACACAACATTCCAGCATAACTCAGAATTATAACTCAGAAGAACATCCAAACGAGGTCGATAAGAAGTGATATCAACCACTACCAAGTACAAACAGCACTTCCTTCAGTGCAGTCTGAATGCAGTGCAGAGATGCAGCAAGGCCACCTGCCAGCTGGTGCTAGGACTATGCTAATAAATAACAGTGATAAAACCTCCATAACTCTATAAACACGTGCAAAAATGTAATGTGCATACATTGTTTTGTTTTTTTCTAAAGGGTGCTGAATATGAATATATAACTAACAGGTTAGATACATAAATATCACAAAAAAATGTCATGACATTAATGTGGAAATGATGCACATATATGAAACTGAAATTCAACACCATTTTTGTATAAGCAGAAAAGATGTTCACACAAACTGATTTTTTCTGACTTTTTTCATTTATCAGTTATTCAAGGAGATTCAAACAGCTGATTCACACAACGCTTCAAGCATGTCACGATCTGTGAGCCAGAGAAGTGGCAAATCCATCCACTGTAGTGACCCAATTACCGTTTACCAACAGCATCCTTAAACATCTACCGTTAGCACTTCAGTATCACCAGTTACTGAGCTTAAACCAATCATTTGAATGCAGAGAAAATATAACTCGGTGGACTGTAAAAAAAAACCGCGTCATCAACCAAACAAAGGGGGTCACTGTTCTTTGTGAACGTGTGCGCTTAGAGAAATGTATTACAAGACACTTGCCGTTAGCTGTACCCATCAACTAACTTAACCGAACGTTTTGAGCGACTGAAAGCGTAAGATCCATATTTAATTGAACATCCTGACATAGTTGCCTCAAAATGCTACCGGTGTGTTGAGGTGGCACTGACGGCTGAATCTAGTCCGGCGAATCTGATGGAATCTGTCGGCGAGCTGGCTAAGCACAAAAGCTAGCGACTCATGCTTTTCATACACCAGCAACAACACAGAGCAGTAACTGGCGCTTTGTCATCTTAAAAATAAATCTAAGTGATGCTGAACAACGAGACGGGCGTGGATAAATTCATTCCTGTTAAACTCTTATTAAAAGTTGAGCGGTATGACGTTGACAGTTCCGCTGGGCCAGCCACACGCTGCTCCGACAAACATCATGGTAAATGGGATGGATTAGGCTACATTTTCATAAGTGAGGTCACCCATTGTCTAGGAGTTATCGAAAACTAACGTCTAACAGCACTAACGCACAAAATGACTGCTAAAACTGATCTCCCCGGCTTACTGACATGTAGTTAGCCAGTTAGCCAGCTGGTAGATGACACTAAAACTCACGGACAATACAGTAAGGAAAGGAAACATGTTAGGAAAAGCAGTGAGGTCTGACAGAAACCACGCGGTCACGGCGTCCTCCTCATCCACACACAGAGAGTAAAGAAAGGTTAGAAGCATCCTAATTCAAACACGCTTCCTTGGTCTAGGGGAAAGTTAAGTCTGTAGTGCCTACCTTTCCGCTAGCCGTGCCGCCAGCGACCCCGATGAGGAAGGGCTGCCGGGGGCCGTGCTGGTCCTGCGGCTGCTCTGGAGTCTCGCACTCGGCCTCGCGGTCTCCCGCCATGCTGCTGCTGCTGCTGTGCGCGCCAGGCTGCTTTTAGCAAAGGAAACAGCACGCGCTCCTCCTCCTCCTCCTCCTCCTCCTCCTCCTCAGTGCCTCTCACCGTGTCTAGCTTTTTTTCCCTTTGTGTTTCTCTCTCACTCTCTCTGCATGTTGACGTTGGTGTGCTATTTGCCCGGTCCTAATATTTCTTTTTTCTTTGTTTGCCTTTAAAGTAAAATAACAAAATATTTCCTTTTGGTTTCTAAGATGGAGGTTAGACTTGAGTCTGGGTTTAGTAATACTACACATTCTCTGGTTTTATGATTACAGACAAATCAGGTGACACCCAATAAACACCCCCCACCACCACAACCCCCTGCCTACACACAGGCAAAGGAGAAGAAACACCGTGCGGGTGTACCACAGATAACAGTCTGAGAGGCCAGAGGACCATTTTGAGCATTTATAAGGTTATATTCTATATATGTTCAATAAAAGAGGACCTTTTTTTACATGGACCTTTTTACAGGGCTCTTGCATACCTAACCTCCAGTTTTAAAGAAGGTAGCATTCTTTTGATTCAGAATAGCATTACTGATAAAGAGTGTGTGCTAAGGGGAGAGAGAGAGAGAGAGAGAGAGAGAGAGAGAGACGGGTGGTGGGGAGGGGGAGACACTGCACCTATACCAAAGAAGTAGAGATTTTTGATGGATCAGATTCCAGAAACAGATTAAGCAAATTCCTAAAAAAAATTGACGTTACATCTTAAGAAAAAGTTAAAATTTTGGTAGGTAGGATAAGAAACTATCATAGGATTGATTTCCTATGACAGAATTGAATATTTTTATTAGTCTATATCATCTGCGCACCAAGGTTTAGTGCGACATTTTGTCAAGAATAACAACAGGCAAAATCACTCCAGTTTTGCACGGAATTGGCCTGTAAGATTTGTTGCCACCTCCATGAGATCTTCTCCAAGACAAGACTAATCTCTGTCCAGATATCTGGTCCATCTGTTACATAACATTTAGTTTGTGAAAAAAGCTCCTAACAAAAGAGCTTTATGGAGAAGAGTGAAACCATCTACAGGATTGGAATGGTCTGCAAAAGGAATCAATTCTATTCAACTCTGCACACAAATATACAAATATATGTAACAAGAATGAAAATATAAATAAAAATAATGAGAAACAGAAAGAAATACATAGTGCAGCTTTATAAGTAGTTAAAATAATGACTGGGAAAATGCAGTAGTAAATATGTAATAAGTAAATACTTTACATGTCACCATGTAGTAGCATGAAATGTAGTACGCTATACATTAAAGCAGCAGTTCTGAAACTTTTTTGGTCTAAGCCCTGCCTTGTGGATAGTAAGTGTCATATATACCATCTTTAAAAGAAACATCATCAATGCTTGTTTATTAACTATTTTAAAATCAGTGCACTGCATGTAAACACATACTCTACCATGAACCTAGTAAACAGCCACTAAATTTCCTGCTAAAGCCTGAGTAGCCTGATAAATCAATATGGTGTGCCAGCTATTATTCTCAGCATTACTGAGCCCTGCTGAAGTCTGGGTAGACTGATAAATCAATGTGATGATCAGTTACAATGTTACTAAACTCTTTTGAGATATGAATGAACTGAACACTCTTCTCATTAAGGGACATGTTTAATAGTGATAAGCCTAACATCGATGTTGTACTGGACTCATGCAGGTGTTTTGTGGCTCCACGCATGCTATTAGCCGGAAATCTCAAGCGTACCCACTTTATAGTTAAATTTGCAAAATTTTGTTATTGGGATATGGCAAATTGTTTGCTTAGTTGTGTAATGGTAGTGGGATTATGGGAGCAGCAGTGGACTGAAACAGGCAAAGAGAGCCAATATAATGTTGAGAATCTTGTCTTTTAATTTAAATAAGTAATTTTTTGGATGAAACACATTAATAGACGAATTATATCAGGAAAACTAGCCAGCCAGTAACAGCGAGGAACAGTACAAATTAAATAAACATTACAATAGCAGAGTTTTCCCCATGTGCCTTGATTTTATATGTATTCTAAATGGATTTTAAATGTATTCTGATTGTATATTGTAATGGAGTGTGTCAGTGAATGCATTTAGGAAAATATTTTCAGAATTCAGCCATCACTACTTTTTCCAAAGTATTCTGCCCGCCACTAGAAACTTCCTAACTAATGGGGTAGTAGTTGGCCGGCAAGCTGTACATGACACCAGTTGCCTATTTGTACACCCTCTATTATGGATCTGTGCGGTAGGTGAGCCTCATACAGTGGACAGTGGGCGAAGCTGGGAGTTTCTTAAGACATGGATAGTCAGTGTACATTTTACAATCCATTCCTTATCGCCTGAAAATGGAGCGAGCTGTAAAACATGCACGCAGTGGCTATCTCTAGGCAAGGCAAACACTCACCAGCGATGTAGGTCATGTCCACTAGGGGCAATGAAGCGACATGACAGCCAAGTGGGCGCATACTTATAACGTCACTTAGTGCTGACGCTGCTCATTGCCCGGAGTGGATAGCGAGAACTCGATCACATAAATTCAGATAGACAGTTATTCACAATGAGTACTATGTTTGCAGACACAATACTTATTGTCTTCATATCTGTTTGCACAGCATTGTTGGCCGAAGGCAAGTAAACTTCATGAGATTTGCGGCTTAGCACGAGATAGCCAGCTTGTGAATAAATGCACTGGCTAAGTAGCTTAGCTTAGCCTAAGTCTTCTGGATTCTCTGTTAGTCGAATTTAACGTCGTCTGTTCTTCTCACTCCCCGAAATGTTTAGGTATAACATGGGTGTTAGTGTACCGGACAGAGAAGTACAAGAGGCTCAAGGCTGAAGTAGAAAAACAAAGCAAAAAGTGTGAGTATAAATTGCTGTGTGTGTAATGTTTATGGGTAGTTACGTTAGCTAGTTAGTTAGCATTAGCTCGCCGGCTACTGTGTTAGAGAAATTACAAGGACATTTGGTTTATATTATGTTCCTGCTCATTCTGTTTTTGGTTAAGTGGAGAAGAAGAAAGAGACAATCACAGAATCTGCTGGGCGTCAACAGAAGAAGAAGATTGGTACGTGTAACGTTCACAATTATTATGCTGCGTTTCCTTGGGGGTGCATTTTGTATAACAATGTCACTTAGCTGGGATGATGCTGTGTTGAAACTGGTGATGAGTGATATTTAATTTCTTTCTTTTTTGTTGTCAAACAGAAAGACAGGAGGAGAAACTCAAGAACAATAACAGAGACCTATCAATGGTAAAACAATATTGGCAGTACTGTATTTTTAATCAGTCATTCTCATTTTAACTTGCCAAAAAGTCTACCTTCTATATCATGATTTATTGGCTTAAAGCAGTTGTTTTCAAACTGTTCCTCAGCACTGGTTTGAGAAGCATCGCCTTAAACTGAAATTATTGTGTGTTACAGGTACGAATGAAGTCCATGTTTGCCATTGGCTTCTGCTTTACTGCATTAATGGGCATGTTCAATTCTATGTAAGTCAACCGATATTTAGTTTAATTACACTTTTGAATAATACAGACTTGCTGAGGTGCTCTGTGTTTGACATTTATCTGTTGTTTGTTCATTTCAGCTTCGATGGACGAGTTGTAGCAAAGCTTCCGTTTGTCCCTTTGTCCTACATCCAAGGTCTCTCTCACCGTAACCTGCTGGGTGAAGATTACACTGACTGTTCTTTCATCTTTCTTTACATCTTGTGTACCATGTCCATTAGACAGGTAAATCCTAAAAACTCTTCCACTGGTTGACTGATCAGAATGAAAGCTTTTCTCCTACTGTACATTGATGTTCCCCAGTTTGTGATCTAATGAGAAATATTCTCCCTCAGAACATCCAGAAAATGCTGGGTCTGGCTCCATCTCGTGCTGCCACCAAACAAGCTGGAGGATTTTTGGGACCCCCACCACAAGCAGCCAAGTTCTCTTAAACTCATTGGACAATAAGCATTCTCTCTTCTGTTGGCTGGAGGAAATGGCTCCCTCTGCTGCACATTGTGCAACCAGCACTCCTAAAACATGAGAGAACAGTATTTAAAGGCAGCAGCTACCACTGCCTGTAGCGACCTCACCATGTATATATTCTGTATGATTCAGTTTGGCAATTTACTCAAGCTCAGAATAATCATCTTTAAAGAACAGTTCAACCATGACAAATCAGTGGCACATCAGCGGTGTCAAATCCATTATTTATTTATTTTTTTCCTCCTTTGCATACAGTGTGAATATGGAACTGCCTGGCATAGACTATTTAATTGCTCCTGGCTAGCAAGCCAGACTTCTGGGAAGTATGTATACACAGCCGTGCAGGTAGCCAGTCAGAATGTAAGTGACAAAATTGCAATGGTTGTGGCCAGCTTTGTGTGCAAAAGATATCAGACGATCAGTTGCTGGGTGGGCAGGGCATCTGAGACTGGCCTCCTTGTTGGAACACTGAGGTGGTCTGCTCTTTTCAAAGGCAAAGGATAGGCCCTGTAATCAAAAATTTGACACGTGATGTTGTATGCTTTATATTTATTGCAATTTCATATATTTTTAAAATTTCTTTGTTGGTATTTATTTCAGGAAACTATGTTTTCGGAGCATGTTAAATGAAACATTATGCATTGTATTCACTAGTAAATATTTTAAACCATAAGAGTCATGACAAATGCAAATAATGATAGAGCTATAAAGAAGTAGTACCAACTAAGAAATAGTAGTTCTTTTCAAAATAAAAGGAAAACTTCTTGGTGATCATTCACTTCAGTCACGCAGTTGCATTTACACTGTTCAAAACTGCATGCAAAGCAGGGAGGAAGTTGCGTTAACTGGGTTAACAGAAGACACGATTTAATTCACTAAAAGTTGAACTATTCTTGTAAAAGATGGAGTGCCCTCATTTTCATTTTAGTACATAATTGTAATCATCTGTATTTTTATGGGTCATCCTACTGTGCTGCATAATACAGATGTAGATTTTGGTGATGGTGAAGAACGGATAAAGCTAAATGCTAACAGGTGCTTTTAGTGTCGCTAACCCTTTCAGAACCTTAAATTGAAGAATAATATTTTTAATTAGGACTTTCTTTACAGTTAATTTTATTTAAGTGTATTTGTGGAACAATACAATAAAAGAAATTTTGTTAATTTTAAGTGCGATTCTCCATTGTGCACTGTGAATTACATTTTATGATGTTAATTAAATTGTGTATATGATCACACTGATCATTTGGTTTTGGTGAGATTTTCTTGCTCTGATGTTTTTGTGACATTGGTCCGGTTTACGTGTATGTAAATACTCTATAATAATAGTTATGCTAATAAGTCGTTAAAGTTTTGGAAAGAGACAATAAAAGATCAGGAGGTTTAGCCTGAACATGCAGTATTAATAAACTAAAACAAAGATTGGTGAACACTGATCAAGTAAAGGGCATGTTCGTATCCTTGACCTACTTACAGCATAACTATGTTCTTGTTAGATGTCCTGTGATCCCCGAGCATTGACAGTCGAAGAAGTTATGAAACTGATGGTTGGATTCTTGGAGTACTGCTGATGTGGCGAGTAAACAAACATGCTGCTGCTCATTTTGGGAACTAAAGGCTAGGACCAAACAGTTGAATGAAACTTGCTTTCCATTCTTGATTTTGCCTGATCTGTAGCCCATATATAGCCCAATATAGTGTCAGAGCTGACCGGCAAGTCGATCCACATCAATGATAAGAAAAAGTCACACTCAGCAATTCCAATGCAGCCCAAGTACCCTACGGTGAACGTGGAGGATCTAACGATGGGTGTCATAATGATGTAGACCCTGCTAAAAAAACAGCATAGACCAGCATGCGTTGTGTTTTGGGTGCTGGTATGGTGGTCAGCAGCAATGGAAGTTATTAGGCCAATCACCAGCAAACCAGCATATGTGTTTTGATGCTGGTATACTGGTCAACCAGCATGACCATGTTGGGATGACAGGCTAAGTCCGAACCAGACCAGCATGAAATTCTTGCTGGTCTGTGCTGTTTTTTTTTCAACAGGAAACCTTCCTCACCTCCTTGGACCCAATGCTGCTTTACAGAGCATTGTTATTTCATTTTTAATATGTTAGTCATACCGTTAAGACAGTGAAATGTCAAAAGCATTTTGTTTTTCCATATTTCATTTTTCCAGCCATTACACACAGAAATGCAAACGCAAATACACATATTGCATTTGAATTTGAATTATCTTAAATAATGCACACTCAGACAGGAAATGCAATTGTAAATACACAGTGTAATTAACATTTTCACTTACATTAATATGTGTGTATGTCCTTAAAACGTGTGGACATTAAGTACATGGTTGCTAGATAGAGCTAGTCAACGATACTCAACTTTGTCAAAGTTGCCATATTGTGCAAGCTGGCAGCACAACGGTAACCCCTGCTGAATAAATACCATTAGGATTAAAACCGTATCTGGAATCATGGACGTTAGCATTATAATCCATTACTAAACATTAATTTCAGTAACGATTGTTATGGAGCAGAATGTGTAGTACTGCTAAAAACACTGCTAGTAGCTACTAATAATAAATCTCTCCATCTTTTTACAACCATTGCTAACAAAATGTAATTTTTTGGATTAACTATCCCACAATCATCCTTTATAAGAAGAAATGTTTTAGTTTAGTCCATAATGTTGTAGGCTAAGGCTTTTATAACACCTAATTACATGACACATTTGTATTCCTGCTCTAACACATGCTGAATTAACTAGTAAGTTGAAACAAGTGTGTTTGAGCAGGGAAACCACTCATTTGTGATAGACCCCAGCCCTCCAGAACCAAAAATAATCACCCCTGCTCTAAGGCATACTTATTTTTTTTCAGTCGGACATGCCAGCTATCAGAAGGTGGTGGAACATCCAGCTGCTGGAGAAGTTTCCACTCAAAAGGAATAACATACATATTTTTAAAGTTGGGCTGAATGTATCTTTTCAAATATTTTGATTGAATTTAGTAGACTCCTCAGTTCCAGTGGAATAAAGTTGTCAAAAATATAATTAAATATAGATTAACTTCCTGACTTGCAATCTGATCGTACATTATGAGCCAACATGAACTCAGCCGTGGACGCTGCTGTGAAACACAGACTCATGAACTTACGGTATGCAGGGATGGCTTTAACAAGAACCTTTGCATCAGATTTTATTAGTACCCTTTTAATATACACATCAGCACTGCAACTTTCAGAGAAGCCTATATAGAAACATTAGTTTTTGTAATCACTTTTTGCTTGCATATTTAAAAAAAATTATTTGTTTCAGAAATGTGTAGTAGGTGACTAAAATAATATGCGTTTTAAAATTATCTACATAGCAAGCTTGCTATTTTTATACCATGTAGTTTTTGCTCTCAAGGCAACAATAATTATGGAATTATAATTATCCGTTTTTTTTAATACAGGAGTCTTAGATGAGGAGAAATGTTCACGCAGCATTCTCCTGGTATTTGACTATAAAGAGAAATTCCTCGGTGAAGTCTTCATACCACCCTGTGTGAAACAGTATTTGTAACTGGATTGGAAGAGATAGACTTTAGAGCTCCTTTTAAGCTCACTTTTGAAGCAATGGCAGAGGAGATACAGGACAAAAGAAGAATCCCAGTTTACCGTGTTGATCTTCCTCCTAATGTGTCTTGAAACATTATGTACTATAAGTCATGCAGTCTTGGGTGCTGCTGTGATGTGCAGATGGAGCAAATGCAAGTAATGTTCATTAAAGTGTCCTGGATTACATATCCTGTGAAATTCAATTTTATCAGTTCCTCCAAAAGTCTTAGTATTATGAGAAAAAATTGGTTTATGTTTTATTTTTATGTTTTTTTTATTTTGAATGTGAGTTTTTCTGTTATTTCATGTTGATCAAGGTTCACTTGTCAAGTATTAAAATTTAGTTAAACTATAGGAATAGATGCATGTAGAGTTCTTCTTATATAATTACGGTATCAACATGTTTGTTATGTCAATTGCAGGACAAATTCCATACTTTGCTAAGCTGACTGGTTTACTTAAATCATACAGAGAAGTAACACAAGAAACCTGCTACGAATGTCAGGAATAATAATAGCTGAGCTATGTGAATATACCCAGCATATATACAATTTATTGTAACAGTATGACCTGAAAGGTACCTTTTGTCAGCTAAGATGCTTTTAGCATTTGTTCTTTCATAATTATAGTATTGACTTCTTTGCTATATAAACTTGCTGGTCAAGATGACAAATTAGGCACTTTACTATGCTAAGTAAAGTACCACAAACAAAGGTAAATGAACTTAGGATCCACGTCGGGATCATAAAACCGCAAGACAGTACTCCATACAAATCTGCAGAAGCTACACATTCTCAATGATTTCTTTTTTAATGTCAGATGCTTTTTAGGTAAATATGTGGAGACAATTCTAAGTTAGAATGAGTAACTTCTTTACAAATACTGGCGTGTTTTCGCCATTGAGCCGTCTCCACCAGTGAGAGAAGCCATTTTGCGGACATAAAGGCCAATGAAAGATGAGGGGGCGTTTCTAATGTGGGTGTTCTTGTTTTACAGAAAGGGCATTCATCAGCTACAAATGCTAATAACGCAGTCAGAGTGAAGGGTCATTTAATTTGCTCATCCAACATGTGGGCAAAAAGAGGAAGACACTACATTAATTTCTCTACAATGAGAACTGTTCATTTATCACATAAAATATAATTATTGTAGATAATCTGTTTATCTACAATAATTTACCTTTACACTTATGTAATTCCTCACAGTGTGGATTAAGAGGGCGGTAAAAAGTGGTATTATTGACTTTTAGATATACACTCATATTCACTAAACACTGAATATCTAGGGTTCACTAATTATACAGACAATTTCTTTCAGGTACATTATCTATATATAAAAATGAAAAAAAAAAAGTAATGTCAAACCACTTGGACAGCATAATCTTTCAAAGTCATTGGAAACAAACTAATGCTAATAATGCTGTCTGTGACCTTCAAAGGGTTCTTCTGCAGGTCTCACTGCTAACTGCAGTTCTGGAGCTCCATCATTCACATGTATGTAGGTAGACAATGAAAAATAAATAGAGAAATGTAGTGAGACAGACTGTTATTTTGCCTTTGGCGAACAAGTGACTAAATAAATGAAAAATCTTTTACCTTTTCAATTTGATCACTCCTCACAGTGTGGACCCAGATGAGGAGAGAGGTTAAAAGCAGTATTAGTGTCTTTTAGATATACAGTCATATTCACTAAACACTGAATATCAAGGCTTCACTACTTATACAGACAATTTTTTTCAGGTATATTAACTATATATAAAAAGAAAAAAAACACAAACTAAGATGTCAAAACACTTTGATGACATAATCTTTCAAAGCCATTAGACACTAAAACTACTGCAATGTTATTAGCTTTAGCTAAAGATGCTATTAATGCTTACCAGTCTGTGAGGACTACCATCAAAGGATTCTTCTGCAGGTCTCTCTGTTAACTGCAGTGCTGGAGCTCCATCATTCACATGTATGCAGGGAGAAAGACAAAAATAAATAAATATGTAATGAGACAAACTGTAATTTTGTGTTAGGCAAACAAGTGACTAAATAAATGAAAAATCTTTTACCTTTTCAATTTGATCACTCCTCACAGTGTGGACCCAGATGAGGAGAGAGGTTAAAAGCAGTATTAGTGTCTTTTAGATATACAGTCATATTCACTAAACACTGAATATCAAGGCTTCACTACTTATACAGACAATTTCTTTCAGGTACATTATCTATATATAAAAAGAAAAAAAACACAAACTAAGATGTCAAAACACTTTGACGACATAATCTTTCAAAGCCATTAGACACTAAAACTACTGCAATGTTATTAGCTTTAGCTAAAGATGCTATTAATGCTTACCAGTCTGTGAGGACGACCATCAAAGGATTCGTCTGCAGGTCTCACTGCTAACTGCAGTGCTGGAGCTCCATCATTCACATGTATGCAGGGAGAAAGACAAAAATAAATAAATATGTAATGAGACAAACTGTAATTTTGTGTTAGGCAAACAAGTGACTAAATAAATGAAAAATCTTTTACCTTTTCAATTTGATCACTCCTCACAGTGTGGACCCAGATGAG